GTAGTAGTTAAATTAAAATTGTACTAATCTAATAATCCCAAGTACATGTAACACGAAGGAGATAGTTCGTTAGGCCGCACGTAGCTACCTTATCTGCTCTTCTACAAGTCGCAGAAGCGTACTTGCTACACTTCAACTCCCCGACCCGATCACCATCCTTAGCATCCTTGTGGTCAATAGAAGAAACGTAGTCGCACGTGTCACTGAAGACTTTTGTAATACCCTTGATCGAGTTCGGCATAGAAGCGTCTCTAATAACGTTCCCGTTCTCCCACCCAAAAGCTACACTGCATGTGCTGTAGTCTTCGTAGTAGGCAACTCCCTGTTGACCGTACCGTGCGTTCCACCAGGAAATCCCATTCGCTCTAGTTGTTGAAGATGCATAGAGATCGAACCTTGGTTGGCGATTCTCTTTGGTTTCAGGCACGCTAGGTCTTGGTGGCTCGGGTTCAGGCTCGGGTTCTGGGGCTGGAGGTGGCTCGACGTCGTTGTTTTGCTCTGGGTCGATTTGCCAGAGGAGACAGTTGTTCTGTCGGACGCCGCCTTGCTTGTCAATGATACCTTCTTGGTCGCACCCGTCTACGAGCGCGGTGAACTGTTTAACGCATTCGTCCGCGTTCATTTGCCAGCGGCAGTTGTACTTTGCTTCGAGCCGGATTAGAATGTTGAGCCCGGACTTGTGCACTTCTTGCCAGCCAAAACCGACCACGGCGGCTTGGAAGGAGTTTGCGAAGACGACGCCGTCGTATGTCTTGCAGAATATGTCCGCGGCTTGGAGAATGTGCTCGCGCGTGGCCATTTGGCCGTTGTCGTAGCACGCATTCGTATTGGTGCTCGGGTTGGAGAAGTCAGGGGTTTGGATGGGGGTTGCGGATGGCTTGGTGGTGGTGCTTCCGCCGCCGCCTCCGGCGCTGGTTTCTGAGGGCATTATGCCGGAGACCTTTCGGGTGCTACTTGTTGGAACCTGGGTGTTGCCGCTTCCTGGAACCGTTCCGCCAGAGCCGCCAGAGCCGCCACTGCCTCCATCACCGCCGCCGTCATCTGAATCTCCGCCGCCGTTCCACTGGCATTTTCCGTCTTCATCGTTCTCCTCATCTTCTTCTTCATCCGGATCGTCTGGCTGTGTGCCTGGTTGACACTGAAGATCCGTGCAAGTAGTGCTACCGCACTTACCCCTCTTGCAAGAGACGCAGTCCTCGCCCTTGCAAGTGGTGCATTCTGGCCCTTTGCAGCCAGAGCAGTTTGCGCCTGTGCAAAGGTTGCACAAGGGGCCTTTGCATGACAAGCAGTTGAGCCCGTGGCATCCCACGTTCGGCACGCAATTGAAGCCAATGCAGATGTTGCAGAGTAGCCCCAATTTGCAACCGCCGCAGGAGCTGCCGCAGCCGCCAGAATCGCAGTCATCGCCTGTACAGCCTCCGTCTCCTTTGTGGCCACCTGGGGTGTTGTCATCATCATTTTCATCATCAGGACCTTCTTGTTCTTCTTCGCCGGGTGTACAAAGTCCTGGAAGCGTTGCGCACGGTGTAGGGTAAGGCGTTGTTGTTGGCCGTACCGGAAGGCCAGAGATGAAAGTGATGCGAGGAATTGCAGAAGATATGAACGGCGGTGGTGGACTGGGTGTCTCCGTGGCCCTTGTGTGGAAGACACGTCCCGCAGAGTCAGTCGTCTCAAACGCAGGCCAGGTCTTGGTTGTCAGCAGTGTAACGCCGGGTGTAATAGTCTTGTCGCCAGACGACTGCCCAACGACAATCGTTGAGATCCACCAAATGGAAATAGTCATCGGTGGCCTCGTGATAGTCGTCGTGTATCCTGAGCTCGTGACAGTTACCAGTGGATATGCCGTCGTCGTGGTAACACCCTGGAATGGTGGAAGCACGACCGTACATGGGAATTGACAGTAGACTTGCGGATTCGGCTGCTTCCAGATCTCAGGCGAGACCCAGACAAGGTCCTTGTCGTTCCCAGTGTCGCTTGGAAGCTGGGCGCCTGCCTGTGCGTCGTAATCAATGGACCAAATCATGAGCCCACCGAGGCACAAGGAATTCGCGAATAATTCTTTGAGCGTAAGCGTTTCGTCGTCGTCGTAGCCGACCCAACTATCACCCGCATAGGTAAAATACTTGACCATGGCAGTCTGATTGAAGTATGGCGTAATCCCCTCCTTCTCGATCATTGACTGAATCTCGCGATTCGACAGGACACCTTCAAAGGCAGTGCATTCTCCGGCAGCGCCTGGGCCTTTGAAAGCACATCCCATCTTGCTGCAGGAGGCATCTGCGAGTTTGTAGCTGCGCCCGTAATATGCGAGACCCATGTTGACTTTCTTTGGATCGACGCCGTCGAACCAGAGAGGCTTGAAGTTTTGGTAGATTTCGGTGATGTCGGTCTGGGGGCGGACAATGGAACCAAGTGCCTTTACATCGGTGTCCCATGGGCCATGAAGATCGTAAGCCATAAAGCCGAAGAAGTCAACATACGGCTCCATAGCTTTCGGTTTGAAGCCACGTAAATACCAGTAGTCGGGCGCTAGTGTCAATGACAGGCCAAAGCGTCCAGCAAACGCAGCTTGCATCTCTTTGACCAACAGCACCAGGTTGTCGGCATCGCCTGGTCGACCACCTCTATTCACTTCCTCGGGATATTCCCAGTCGAGATCCGCGCCCTGAAAGCCATATTGCTCCATGAAGGCAATTGTCGACTTGATGAACGCAGCGCGGTTCGCAGCTGAACCACACATATCGCTCCAAGCAGTGCGATACGGCCCCTTATCGGAAAAGCTCCAGCCTCCTATCGCCACCCAAGTTTGCAGGCCGTTTGTCGCGAGCTTTGTAAACTCTCTGTATAAGTCCACATCCGCCGCGTTCATCGGGACGATGTTGAAACTGCTTGGGTCGAAAAAGACGAATGAGTAAAACAGATGCGTCAGTCCCTTGGTGTTGATCTGCGATGGACTGACTTTGTCGCAAAGTCTCTCCCGGGTATTCCAGCCTGCATAATATCCAACTCTGCGGCCTGTAGACGCAGAATTTCCACTGCATGATGGAGATGGATACTTCTGGCACGACCCAAAACCTTGCTGGCATGGCGTTTTGCCGAATTGCGGCTCGGGATCGTAGCAGTGCACATCTTCGGTCCCGCACCAACCGTAGTAGCTGCAGCAGAGCTTGAGAGCGCAAGGGGTTTTGCCATCAGCTGAATCGATACCGCACATTGCTTTGGCGTCGCAGTTGGACGTGCAGCCGGCACCACAGTTATGTTCTTTGTAACCACACTTGCCTTCTGGACCGCAGCAGCTGTTGTCTTTACACGGCGAGCCTGGGCCACACTGAATCGGACCATCGACGCGCTTGTGAAGCGACAGAGTGAGTGGGGTAGTGTTGGGGCTGGTAATTTGCTTTTCTTGGTCTTCCACGGCAAGAACTTGTGCTTCGACAGCTTCATGTTGGTGAGAAGTGCCGTGGTGATGGGAAGTGTCGTGCTGATGGGCGGAAACGTGTCGTCTAAAGTGTGCTCGCTTAGATTGGGAGCTGCTTCGATCTTGCGAGGTGGTGTTGACAAAATCGTTGGTGCCAGATGTGCTGGAATTATTGGGCCCGTCCACAGACTGAAGGACTCCGCTTCCTCGGTCAATATTGCCTAGGATATGTACTGTTCCTAGGTTCAGGATATCTGGAATCGGCTCTCGAGGTTCCCGATGACCTCGCTGCATTCTCGTATCGTTCGGGTCAAGGGGGTCCGCCGAGTGATCCGATATTCTGCTACTGTTGGTCGTGACCGGAACCGATGTATGTCCGACATGTGAAGAGTTCGAGCCTGACTCTTCGCCAGGGATGGACTGGTTGGAGCCCATTTGGAAACCTTGGTCGAACATGAAGTTGCCACCTTTGGCATAAAAGTCGTCACTGGCAATTTTCTCCTCCAGGAATGCACCGGTAGCGTTGGACATCACGGTGCTTCCATTGAGAGTCACTGCCCAGTGCTCGCCTTTCCACTTGCGGACGTCTTCCCAGGTCAAGCTGGACATGTATCGTAACCTCTCGATGGGCGTGCCATTAGGATCAGCGCCATCAGCACGCTTCGTGATGCTTACGTCTGACGTCTCGCCAGTACGCGGTATTTGATCTATCGGCCAATTATGTCAGCATGGCTTCGAGTAACATGATAAATCTACTTACAGCCTGCAGGATGACCCGCTGGGTCATTCAAGAATAGCACAGTTATGAAGACAGCCGTGTTGTCAAGCTGTGTTTGGGTGGTCCTGCCGGCTTCGTTTCTGGCGATGGCTCGCAGTTTGTTGCCAATAGATAGATGAGCTGCTCCTTGCCAATCTAACAAATCTGATGAGTATGTGAGGAGATGACGTGATACTGGGTACGCACCTTGTTCAGATCTGATTGCTTCTTCCTTCGGCACTGTTTCACCAGCGCAATTGGAGTCCATTTGTTTTGGCGCGCAAAAAGTGTCTCCTCTACCGCCGTCGCCTTCAGGCGTGACTCCTTGTCGAGGAGTACCTACGCCGCCTTCCACAAAACTTCAAGAACTATCAGTATTTTCGGGGCACACGTCAGACATAAGGAGTAATACCTTCTTGGTGGCCATTCTTCGCACGTATAATATCGACCACTTCGCTGGAGAAGCGTCCTTTCGCCTGTCTGAGGGTCTACCCTGTATTCTGCCTCGATTTCGTTTAATTGCAAAGGATCGATGGTCTCCCTCAAGGTAGACCCCCAAGGGCCAGGCATGACGGGCGGCTGAATGAGAACGCCTGCAGCGTTTCTTTCAGGGCATGGATGAGTGGCCTTCCAGTTGCCAGGGCACATTCTATTGCCTCTGTGATCGGCCTTGGCGTGGAAGATATCGAAGGCATACACGTTCACGTTTCCCCCGCCAACATATTGGACGAGCGATCTGCCTTGCCCACGTGGACCGGCCAACCAGTTGAGGTTGTTCTGACAGATTGATCGCATATAATGACAGTTGTAGTAGATAGCGACCAAATTCTGGGGGATGACTACAGCTGTCGGGACGTCCAGAGCTGTTCTCCGCCAAAATGCTGGAAGCAAAGGTTGTTAGCATTGACAGTGATAAAGTGGATCAAGACGGAGTATACTTACGCGTAACGACGCCATTGATCGCAAACCATCTGTTTCATAGGTTGTAAGTGAAAATTACATGCGAGATCGTGGAGACAACGTACTGGTAGTCCTGAATATATTGGCCATTGGTAGAATGCAAGAGCAAAAGAACATAGGATAATACACCAAAGAAAGACGTCTTCAAAGAGCGAAAAGAGTCCATTGCAAGAATGAGTGAGTTGCAGAATGGATCTCGTATGGCCGCAACACAGTAGAAAAGGATGTCTTATGTTGTACTATTACCCATCGGCTGAACGGGTCGAAGATATCAATCTCCTTAGGGCTACACTAACCCAAGAATTCTATCTAAGGCTCGAAGGATTCTATCCGAGGCTCGATTCCTGAATTAGAAGGTTGCTTGCGACATAAGGCCCGCGCGGGTGACCAGCAGCAACATCAACAACACCACCTTCTACATCGGTGTTACAGTCTCAGAATATAGAAGGTTAAGTATTTGAACATAACAAGATCTATGTTATCTTCCTTGCTCTACAATTCTGTCTATCTAGTTTATCTTTTAGTTGCGTTGTTGTAGCATTGTATACCGCGCAACCCGGCGGAGTTATAGGTGTGCGGGAAATTATGTCACCCGCGTGAGGCCTTCCACCGTAATGCTCGGATACTGTGCCCAGAGAGTTGACCTCTATTTGGGCCTCGAGCAAAGGGACTCCTTCAATGGATTTCTCTCTCAGCCAATCATTAGGTAGCTCCCACTGCAGTCTGGTGGCGCGGCGATGCTAAGCGAGCCACCCTGCATCGGGAATCCCGAAAAGGGCCTAGGTCTCAGAATTTCGTTGTATATAACCGGGACTCATTTCGCTTCAGGGCCGTGATTCAGCCAAACACATATTCAACCCCACCTGCCAACAATCTCGCCCTCTACTTGAGAACATCTGACAGGTGTCGATATTTGCTGCCATCCACCCTAAAACCAGTCTACCGAACCAAGAATAGCATTATGCCTACAGAGATACCACAGATGGACATGGACTGGTACCCTCCCCGATGGAATGCAGCCGACATCCCACCTCATCTGCTCCAATCCGGACCACCTCCAGTAGCACCAACGTCATCAGGTCCAGAGCCAAACGATATTTTCAATAGGTTAAAATGGTCTGTACTAGATTCTCCATTGGACGTACAGGTCTTTGGACCGGACGACGAAGGAGTTTTGCAATGGCGCCCACTTACCGAGGAGTCCAGCAAGTCACAGCTTGACGAGACGGCAATGTATCCTCCAAAATCACGCCTGGAAATCACGATTGAACCACTGCAAAGCTGGTGGCACTGGCACGATTCGGATACAAAGCATCTTCGGCCAGCACAACTGCTCATTGAGAACGCAGACGGACAGCCGATCTCTGTTCGGCAATTCATCCAGGCCGTTCACGCCTATGCGCTTCCCCTGCGCAAGCTTCTTCTGCGGTGCATGGATGTAACAGACCCATCGAATCAACAGCGCGCACGGTTCTTCTTCGACATGATTACGGGAGGCTCCGTGGGGGAAGTATCCGGCCAGCAAGGATTCGCGGTCAACGTTGTGGAGGACCCTGCGGGTGATGGAGAGAAATGTGCATGGATTTGGGAAAATGTGGAGATTAGGGTCAAGAAACAGTCTGCCTCTCAGTGAACTCACCCGTCCAACGACAAAGTGGAGGTCAGCTCGGGGGGCGGATATTCTCTAAGAACGATAGTCTGGTTTGACTCTATGTTGGGGCACATGAAAGGGGATACCACAAGGATCATGGAAAAAAGGCCGGACAGATAGGAGATACTCAACACCGCCATCTCAACGTAGGACTGCCTCTAAACGTGCTCTCGGATTTTTCTACCCCCTAATCCTGGATTTATGCCCTCAGATATGGTGACATGCAATAATCCTTCGCCAGGATTCCAGAAAATGGTGCGTGTATGCAGGAACGAGGATCCTGAGGAATTACGGGACAGATACAGTCCTCCCCCCAGTTGAACTGCGTAGCGCCTTTTCTGAGGATTCCTCCTCTTCTATTCGTTGTACACCCCTACAAGACCCACTTCTGCCCCTGCTTGCGTGTTCAATACCCTGTAAAGGAAGAAAACTAAGAAATAAGGCGTTGTTTAGCGCTGTTTATCCCTTGCAGAGGCTTTATTTGTGCCTCTCTATTCGCTCAAAAGGACGCTACGCAGCTTAATCAGGGAGAGGACTGTAGGACCGCCACACGTGCTCTCAGATTCTGCTACCCTGGATCTGTCCCCTCGTATAGGCTGAAGATGAAAAATGGTCAACTTTGACAGGGTTCCGGAGGAGGGGTCTGCATGCAGAAACGCGGGCTGCGCCGCAAGTCCTGACGTGGGCCCAGCGACTAGCGTGCATTGAAATGTAACCTTCCATATTAGCATCGACCTTGACACCAAGGAATACTAGCATGGATGTGAAAAGCAAGACGCTACCTCAGGAGTACAAGCATGTAGGTAGATAGACATAGACGAGAGCTCCTACCTCGATGCTCCGCAGCCACTAAGAAGCATCATGGCCTCGCTTTACCGTTCTTTGCCTTTGCTCTTGCAATTGCTAGCCATTCTGCCGGTGTTGGCTGAAGTTCGATGTCGTTACAATGCCACCGCGCCTCCAATGGTATCGTACTACACCTGCACGGAACTGGCTACAAAGTACGAGACCAGCCTCGAGAAGTTCTTCCTTCTCAATCCGCTGCTCGACCCGGATTGCACCAGCATCCAAGCCGGGAAGCAGTATTGCGTGTCGGGCAATGTTGTACCGACTTCGTCGGATGGTACATGTAAGGCAGACTCGGGCAAATCCTGTTTGGGGTATCCGGGCGGACAGTGCTGTAACTCACAGACGTGGAAGTGCGGCAACACCAAGTAAGAATACTTACCTTTGATCGTGGAGGAAATACACCATAGTAAAGCTGACGACATCATCTTCTAGAGCAGATTGCGCCGCGGGAACCTGCGCCGGCGGTTTGTGCGCCGTAAACGACCCCAGCGCCTACTCCCTCGACGGCAAATGTGGCTCTGCGACCGGTGACAAGAAGTGCGGAGGCAAATGGGGTGATTGCTGCGGCAAGAGTACGAGTACGTGCGGCACGGGATCGGATTTCTGCGGCACTGGCAACTGTCAGTATGGAAATTGCACCTTCACGCCACCCACCGCAGCCCCTGGAGGAGCGTCGCCGTTGCCGTTCTACTACTATGGAAACACCACGGACGGATTGTGCGGCCCTGCTAATGACAACAAAGTCTGCAACGTCGCCTGGGGATTTTGTTGCGCGAGTACGGGCAAGTGTGGCATGGGAGCTGGATTCTGCGGTACCGGTTGCATGCCGGGATATGGAAACTGCACAGTCGCCGTGGTTGCTCCAACGCCAAAGCCAGGCGATGTGAGCCCTGGTGAGTCTTGCTACAGTTGCTTTCGTATCCCAGTATCTTGCTAATCACGTTTAGATGGCACTTGTGGAGGGCAGAACGGCTTTGTATGCAAAGGCTCACCGCAAGGTGACTGTTGCTCGAGTTTTGGCTTCTGCGGCAGTACTGATGGACACTGTAAAGCTGGGTGCCAAAGTAAATTCGGTACCTGCACCGGCGGTAACGTCTCTCCGGACGGCTCATGCGGTGGCACGACTGGGTATACCTGCGTTGGCAGTACCTTTGGAACTTGCTGCTCGAAGTACGGAAGTTGCGGCACTACTACTGATCACTGTCAGGCTGGATGCCAAAGCCAATTCGGAACTTGCACTGGCAACAGCAAAGTCTCACCTGATGGCTCATGCGGCGGTACTAACGGCTATACGTGTGCTGGTGGTATCTTTGGAAACTGCTGTTCGAAATACGGTAGTTGCGGGTCTACCACTGACCATTGTTCTACCGGATGCCAGAGCACGTTTGGCACTTGCTCTGGGGGTAGCAAAATCTCACCTGACGCAAGCTGTGGAGGCTCGAACGGCTACACGTGCAAAGGAAGTGCTTTCGGAGATTGCTGTTCTGCTTCCGGATATTGTGGCAGCACGACGGCGTTTTGTTCGGCTGGTTGCCAGGCTTCTTTTGGTACATGTCCGACCGGCAGCGACAAGATCTCAACGGACGGTAATTGCGGAGGCTCCAAGGGACAAACTTGTACGGGAAGTACGTTCGGAAACTGCTGTTCCAGCTTCGGTAGCTGCGGTAGTACGACTGGACACTGCACCACTGGGTGTCAGAGCGCCTTTGGATTGTGCACGACGTCGGGCACCAACCCAGGCGGCGTTTCCCCGGACAGTACATGCGGAGGGTCCAAAAAATACAGTAAGTTTGCTCTGATCGAACGACGAGATAGGCCTTGGAACCCTGACTCACTTTTGATAGCTTGCGCAAAATCGGCCTTCGGTGGTTGTTGTTCTTCTACTGGAAGGTAAGTCACAGATCTTCCTGTTTAAAATTGACCGAGAGCTGATCAAATACAGTTGCGGATCCACAGTAAATCACTGCGCCCAGGGCTGGTAAGTGTTTGCTAGTTTTCTCTGTCACCCATTACTTTCCCTTTCCATGTTGTGGACACAACGCTAACATGATTCCAGCCAAACTTCGTTCTCCAACTCTTGCATGACTGGAAAGATCCCCACGCTCGATGGCAGCTGTGGTCCGAAGAACAGTGGGATGACTTGTGCCACTGGGCCCTTCAATGGCCAATGTTGCGGTGTGTCTGGTTTCTGCGGCACAACCTCGGCGCATTGCGGTACTGGATGTAACGCCGGATATGGCAAATGTAATTGATCTAGGTATATTGTTAAAACCGTAGGGGAACAATCCAATAGTGTACCTCTCTTTCACTTGCGTATTAGTGATGGCCGAAAGATGTGCATCTGACGGACTGTCAGTCTTGCCTATTATCTATGCTGACAGTGCATTCCGAAGCCTCCTGCGGAGGCACCTACACTCCCTAGCATTGCGGCACCTCGTAATAGTATACATGCGCTGCAGTTAAATGTGAAGCATACGTAGTTGTGGATACTTAGTGGCTGAGTGCATGTTATAAGTGTTGATTGGTGGTGGGAGGTTGGCGAGGTTTGTAGTTTAATCGAGAACGATGTAGGTTATAATGGTCTATATAACGGAGAGCAAGCTGAAGTGCGCGATATCGAAGCTACAATTTTCGCAAGCGAGGAGGCTAAAATGAAAAAGAGGGAGAGGTTGGAGGAGATAGAGAGACAATACCCGATGTTTATGAAGGACCTGTGGGTGAGAGTTTGAGTGATGTGAGGTAGTGGCAGACACTTCGCTGGTATGCGGCATGCACGGGACAAGGATTACCAAGGCAGATGAAAGATCTGTAGTATTAATACAACGAGGGTTTGAAGCCAGAAAGTTTAGTCTATATGTTCGCAAAGTGTAGAATCGCACTCTATATCGCACCAGCGGCACCGGGGAAGGCGTTGAACAGGGTTCGGTCGTACTTGACAAGTTCAGGGCATCCAAGCTCTGCAATGATCGGGTCTAGAACAGAGGCCAACTTTTGCACAGCGACCAAGACGTTGCCAAGTAATCCGCGGAGAACGTCAGGAGCACCAACGCTAGCTGCCTGAAATGCAAGGCACATTAGGTTGTTTCCCTCAAGGAGTGTCTGCGCATTGAAGACGTTGCCTGAAGATCGGTGTGCAAAGTCAGTATTTGTCTCACATGAACTTTGTACAAAGATATCACTTGCCTGTCAAGTCGTCGACATCGACTCCAGTGAACGTGTTTGGTTGGCCGGTGTTTCCACCAAACCGGTAAAATTCGGGGTGTTGTAGTTCAATTGAAACGGCTTCAGCAGCGAACGCTGCGATGCTGTAATCGTCACCGATAACGCGGCGGTACCACTATGGGCATTAGCGTATGCAAGCAGATAGTGTCACGATGGGTACTCACGTTTTCGGGAATCTTCTCTTGCCCACGAGCCCACTTGTAATTACCCTTCTCTCCGGTAACACCCTGGAACGACATGAGCGTCTTAGCATCGAGATAACCCTCAGGGTTCTCAGCAGTGTGGTTGGCGAAGAAACGGTAGGTGAATTGATACGTGGCGGGGTTCAACGCGAGGGCCTGTAGCGGGCCTGAGAAGTAATGACCATTCGTAGCGATTGAGTGCCTTGTGCGATCAAGGCGGAACTGGGTTATAACGGAGGGGTCAATGCCGTTCTTGCCAAGAGGCATAGAGAGGAGCTGCTCGAAATAGCTCAAGTTGAGGGATACGGGGTCGCCACTACGGGTAATGAGTTAAGCTGGCCATGCAACAAGGGAGAGAAAGCTGGGTAGCATACGTTGAGTACAAGTCCGATCGGGTGGGTGATCCATCAACCTCGAAGCGGTTGTGTGACGCACTAAGGCCTTGTGGTTCACCGAGAAGGCCGAGTGATGAGGTAAGACCACCTAGGAGCCCGCCTGACTTGGGTTTACCTCCGATCGAAAAAGAGGTGAGATCACCTGCCATGACGGCGGAGTAGACTGCTAGAAATCCTGATAGATCTAGGCCCATACCAAACACTGACATTGTTAGCACTCTGCAGATAAGAGACTAAAGGAACACAAACCCTCATTGGCGGCCGTAGTCATTTGTGTGATTGTAGAGATGCCATTCCGGGGAATGTAACCGTGGTTTGCCAAAACATTGATACCAGGGCAAGGTCCACGGAGATCATTAGGGCCTGGCGCAATCTGGTAACGAAGCCATCAGCGAATGCGATTCCATGTCGCGCATACCAATAGCGCTACTCACGTATCTGTGATCACCAGTAGTACTGATGCGCTGAGCCTCTGCATCGAATGCACGTTTGACGTGGGCACCCGATCGCTTGCTCTCTAAATCTCTTGCAATCCTCTCCGTCAGAGCAGTGATTTCCGCAAGGGTCGCGTCACTGATGTCACCTTTGAGCATGCTCGCAGGAAAGGCGAAGGTCGCCAAGGAGAAGAGAGTCGCGCCGCATAGTACTGAGACCTTCATGTTTGCGGAAACAATCTCAGATGTGAAGGAGTGTGAAGAAAGGATGAGAAGTAAAAGCGAGAAATGTCCGGTCGGCGAGAGGTAGAAATTGTTCAACTTTCATAGTGGCAAATGAGTGCTGCGTACACGTGAGGCGCTATGATTCTCATCCAAATGTCGCCGACAGAGATGCCAATCTGGGGTCAGGTACCCTTCAGCACAGTCCTTACAACCCGGTTTACTTGCTCGGAATTGTAGAAGGGGAGGGCCTGGGTCAGAGTGATCGACATGTGTGCTTTCTCGGCGCGGGTTGCGATTGGGCCAAATCTATAAGGGTTTGCAGATCTTCGCGCGGTGCCTTCCGTGCAAGGGCTTAAAACAACCGCGATCCGCTCGCGCCAGCCACAGGGTTCAGTCCGTTCCTGAATCTGCTGGATCTAGCGACTCGGGTCAGGGAGATCTGCTGGATCTAGTGACTCGGGTCAGGGAGAATATTGCGCCCCAGCGTCATGGTTCGACCGTCGAGGCTTTTGTTGCGGGCCCTTGTGGCTCGTCACGGTGCCTAGCATCTCTCTCTTTCTCTCTGTTCTGGCAGCAACGCAGAAGCTGGAATTAAAGTTTAGAACACCAACCCGGCTTGCCACAAGTCTGGGCCCCTAACCCACGCACTACAACGTCGCAACAAAAGAATAAGAACAACTTGACAGATACAAAACCAGGGTGCGAGTACTACTGCATTTTTACAGCTCGGAAATTTGTACGTTGTCATACTATTATAAGGGTGACCACGATTAGCTTATATCCCATCTCCGCGTTCCTGCGAGAGCTCTCTGTATACCCGCCGGCAATTATCGATCGGGCCAAGACGTTTCCGAAATTAGCGCTTCTGGTCTAGCGGACATGATCTGTTCAGCGCTGATCTGCTGACTAGGCTGTTGTTTATGCTACCAACGTGCAGGAACAGTCGCACATACTGCCACAAGTGGACTGACAGATGGACTACTACTACTGCGTCTATTCCAGCCCAAAATGATCTCAATTTCTGATTATGCAGGCTGCCTTACCCGCCGCGGACTTCTTAGTAGAGGCGTATGCCAGTTCAAACGTCGCGCACAGAAGCCCGCACTGCATGATTGGCGGCGAACGACGCCTTCATTAACGTCGCCCAACAGCCCGGCCAATGTTGCAACTTGCCCGATGCCTACGTACAGTTCTAAGCGTCCCCACAGCCATCTGGCAACGCTTACTCTTCAGAACTGCTGTCGCACTGTTCTAGTTTGCATTATGGGACACGGCTTCTCAGCCGAGTACCCACTACTCAAGGAAAAGGGTGAACACCGGCCACTATCGACGCGGATGACATCCATCCGCAACCCTATCCTCAACCCTCTCCTCAACGCCGTTGGATATAAACTTGATCCTTGTCCCACGTCAGCATCGTACTGTCATGACCGCTCTTGGATTCTGATATAGCGCTAAGGAGCATATCCTTCAATTCCTTCTCCTTCTCGCCGTTCTTGAATCCAAACCAAATGAGCGGCATCGAGAACTGGGTTAGCAACCCGAAAGAGACCCATGGACCACTCATGTCCGTGGTCACCTGGTCGCTGCTCTCCGTCGCTGCTGCCTTTCTATTCCCTCGGCTTTATATTCGATGGCGTCAAGGCAAGCTGTGGCTAGACGACTGCACACTTGTCGTCGCTTGGGTAAGTGTCAGAACATCTCGATGCAAGTAGCAGTTCGCTTATACGATAAAGATCTTACTTCTGGTCCAAGTTTCCATCAACCAAGTGTCTATCAATATGGGCTACGGAGGACATACACTTGACCGTAAGACACCAAAGCAGAGTCTTGGATTTCACACCTCAGATCGCTAATCTTTACGCTAGTCGACTTGCGCAATCTTGATAAGATGATGTATATCGGCGCAGCAGAATTAACGATATACACCATCGCGATCGCCCTGAGCAAGATCTCTTTCGGACTCACTTTGCTTCGGCTGACGGACGGATGGGTCAGACTCTACGTCTACTTTGCAATATCTACCCTAGCGATCTTTGCAATCCCTGCTACCATCATACCATGGGTACAATGCAAACCGCTAGCCAAAACTTTTGTGGACTTCATACCGGGCGAGTGCATCAACAAGCAACCCTCTGTTGTGTATGGGCGTTTCCAAGCTGGTAAGCAAACAGCTCTCAAGTCAATACCTCCATTCCCTTGCTGACTTGCGACGCGACGTAGTGTGGTCAGCACTTATGGATCTTTCTCTTGCTGTGTTGCCGTGGAAGATCCTTTGGAAGCTGCAAATGCGTACCGCAGAGAAGATCGGTGCATGTGTCGCCATGAGTCTGGGAATACTGTGAGTTCATGCATTGCTTGATCGAATAGCAGACTGAGCTGACTTGACCGAAGAGCCGGAGTCACGTCGATTGTCAGATCCACATACATCGCGAAATTGACTACACAGGATGTATCATGTAAGACATTCCAAGATATGTACGGGTCCTTGCTAACAGGTACAGATGAATCATACAATGCTATCATATGGGCAGTGGCAGAGTGCTCCATGGCCATCGTCGCTACCTCAATTCCTGTACTTCGCGTCGTCCTCAAGCATGCGGTCAACTCTGCGCTCGAAGGCTACACAGGCTCGAGTAGAACCAAATCACGAACCAAATCACGATCGTACCCTTCCAAAGCTACGAGTTCGGGAAACCCAATGAGCACAAGACAATCGAGCAAGAAGACGCCAGACATAACGGTCAGTGGAGAATGTGGAGATTCTGTAAAGGAAGTGTTTGGACGTGGATCACAAGGGAACTACGTACAGCTGGATGATCTCGCTGTCGACGAAGAGACTGGGCGCATCACTGCTTCGTCTCCAGAATCTCTGCCAGACCATGCCGAGCGCCATGTACCCAATTGGCACGTATGAGGTCGATATGCCTCTTTAAAAATATAGAAGGACAGGAATAGAGGTTAGAAGGCGTGCAGCTTTGTTGATACACAAGGTCTATGAACACATGATCATCATCACAGTCCTTACCTCTTTACTCGCACCCGATATCTTCCAAGTCGCCATGGTGTGTCAAGTTAGCTGGGAGATGGAAAGCTGACAGAAGTACGAGTTACCCTCTACTCTTGTCACGCGACGATGCATAGTAAGTATTGGAAGGCTAAGGCACTCCGTTTCATCGATTGCAAGCACCACCAGTGCGAGGTCCCATAGACATGTGTCTGCCTAGTGATCTGTGTGCCGATGTTTGGGGACCAGAAACGGCTATCGTCTATGGCCAGACGACGCGAACGCTTCAAATGGCTGTAAGGCGCGATTGGTATGCAGGGCTCGAAGGAGAGCGCCGCTGCAGTGACTGTATGTGTTGAGAATAGCAGGCGACTGCATTAGGAAGTTGCGCAAGCGTAGCAAGCTGGAAGCCTCTTTTTGAGGCCATGTGCCCGCCAACACGATCAATTGATGCGAGAGCCGCATGTACCAGCATGATGACAGGACGATCATAAGAGCTTCTTGTTCATGGGTAGGTGATTAGACTAATCAATTCTATCGCAGTGCGGCTGGTCTACGCTGGAATCATGTCAAAAACGCTTGTTGCATGGCGTTGCCCGACGATGAGTGTGGGGGGTTACCTCGTCTGTGTCTTTCAGCCGAGCCACGCAACGGTCACACACGCCCTGCAGCGACGTCCAATAAAGTCAAAGATTTCCACAGGAAGCGCAGGCAAAGATCGGTTTATTCACCTGATCGTAGGAGCAGTCTGTATTCTAGGGCTGTATCAGGCACTAGAGAATCGGCGGAATGGTGTTGCGCAGACGCGTCGCGGTACCTACGTGTTGTACGGTGGCCTGCCGCTAACCTCAAGCGGCGAAGTGGGGCGATGGGCCGATGCCTTGCAAGTGGACCTGTCACCCCACGAACCATCGAAGATACGATGAGCCAGATGGCCAAAGGGGTTATCACAACGACAGATACTGGTTGTGCTTGTTCCAGAATGAGGTCGGCCCCTATGCCGGCGATGTAGGCTTCGATCAGCGATTCGAGAGACGCATGCTAAGTTCTCCGACCAATTGTACTGCTCGTCTATTCAGCCGTACGTATATTTATCCAAGCGATACCTGCTTTCACTAGAATCTATAACCACGAAGGAGCACGATGTTCAGCAGAGAAAGAATGTATAATCGTGCATCGGCGGCCTGTAGTTCTTGTGATCTAGGATTCGGTTTTCATGACATCATATAAACGTGTCAGGTAGCATCATCTTCCTCTATGTACTGTATCATCCAAGATAATACGATACGACAACTCTTTCGGTTTCAGCGATCGACAGGTCATGCAAAGCCAGCTCTTTTAGTGTTGCTTTCATTCCCACACGGTCGAACCTGCTTTTGGCCTCATGCAGGATAGAGCAGCTGAAAGCGCTAGCGTTCCGCGTGTTCATGTCACTCAAATTCAGCCGCAGCTGAGCAGATTTGCAACAGCACTATTTACTAAGTTGTTCTGTGTTCGATCATGTACCTACGCCAGAATGCCCTACTCTTGATACCTATTTTACGATACAACAACATTCACTTCCCACTGTCGTCTCGTTGCTCAGTTTCAGACCACGTCGAATAGAACACAAAGTCTCGAGACTTTCAGAGATTCCAATGGCGATACCAACTCTCGACATCGCTGGCGTGGTCGGCACTTGGGTTGCCGCCGGCCTTGCCGTCATCGCCTTGTTCGGTGTCGTTGGGCCTATCCTGGTTTTGCGTGCATCTAGAACAGAACGGCACAAAGCGATAATCGGCATCGGACCACGAAATCGTGGCTAGGTGTCCAAGGGGATCCATGTCTGGCCTGGCGTGCGCCTGGCGCAAAGGGTCCGCGCGCCACGGATTGACATAGCTCGGAAGTTCAAGGATAAGGAGTGGATCGAATTCGACTCGAAACAGATGAAACCTGACAATAGCAAAGGATTGGAGTCATCTGCATCTTGGGTATCTTTTGGAGCGTTTCTGGAAGGTTACGCCGTCGAATCTGAGGCGAACAGCGACATTGCGGTCAGCAGTAGTTTGGCCTTTTTACCCGTTAGCAAAGCGTTCCTGATGACTTTTGCTCTTGTGGGGCGTTTTTCTGACGAGCCAAATAGAAGGCGCAAGATCAAAGGAGATGGGGCTAGGACGTGGGATAGACGCAATGTCAGAAGATACATAAAGTATGATTTCGAGCTCGGGCCACGACACGGTCGTCGACTGATCACAGAACTTCATGATTTGACTGGAACTTTGAGTTTCCAGATGCTGGATGAGGATAATCTTGAACCTGTTGCTGGCGAGGTTGTCAAATCGTCATGGTCGGTTGCCTTTGACGGGGAGTCCACCCTGGAGCCGCTTGAGATTCCTCCGAACCCCATCAGTCTTGAGGACATTGCTATGCTGTCTTTGGGCTTTCTACCCTTTTGTGGAGACAATTATATCAACTTTCTTGACCCATTAGAAGACGACGATGGCAGGGGCGAGGATCGTGATACCGACGAGACCAATCAGGTTGCAAAAGGATATACGAGATACACAAGAATAGTCTCAGGCACAAGGAGAATAGAAAGGGATGACGGAGACCATGATGACGTTTCAGACCATCTTCGGCCAGTAGGCAGGGCAAAAACGCCCGCACGCTTCAAGTCCATCATCGATCCGAACGAGCCACCAATCACGGTCATTGCATATCAGCTACGGGACATCATCTTGGTTGAAGCGAAAATCTTAGCACATTTGCCCCTACAAGAAAATGCTAAGTATTTCGCACTTTTTGAAATGGGACTCGACGGAAGGACTCAATCAGAACTACAAAGGTTATCTGACCATACTTTTGTGCCAGCCGCCGCACCCTGGGTTCGACTAGATGTACCATCTTATGCACAAAACAACTCCCGTAAGGAATACTATATCAGGCGTGTAGACGCCCAGCGAATCGCCCTGAGTTTGCTCAATATACCTTGGCACCCCGAGGGATATCTTTTACCTGGCGTCGTAAACAAACACAGTCGAGCCAAAGTGGTGTACCGGTTAGGTTCAATCTCTGGAAGAACACGTCCATTTCTCATTCGCCTTCGGGCAGGGGTTTCAGCATTGGATCTTAGTTCCAAAGATCCTGTGCAGCCATGAAGCTCATCGTGATTGGCTTGCAGCGGACGGAGTCAGAAAAGGACGGAGGAACGATGTTGTAGAAGACGAGCACATCGTATGAAGCCATTTGAACAAGGATCTGCTTGAAAAGACAGAGATTGACCCAAAGATCTTAGAGGTTGGTAAGGCCTTGGTGGACCGGATGTCTGTTGATATTGTTGCGTGATAAGCGATCATATCACAGATACTTTATCGTGTTTCATACAAAGATCCTTGACTGAGGAATGCAATATCAAGTCTACTCAGATGTCACTATTGGAGTCGTGATAGCGCGATGCGAGTGCTGGCACATACTTATTTACAGGAAGTTCTAATGTACGTTGCATCTCAGGCCGTGCGAAGCTTCAGCAAGCGTGCATAACACTCTAGTGAAAGGATCATGTCACACGACTGACTAAAGCTGTTGTCTGAAGCAGGATGCTTAGATACCTTATGCTCTTAGGGAACTACCGGTGCGACATTTAAGACCCCTATGCTAGATAACATTTTAGAAAGGTGTGTTCCCTATAGAGCCTAGCAGTCGCTAGCAGTGTAGAGATGCATGATGTGCTGTGCTTACCTGCATATGTTAGCACAAATCATGTGCGTGGTACAGTGTGCAGTTTTGGATAGTCCAGAAAAAGTAACTAACAAGACGCATGCGAAGTACAGCGAAGGTGACACACCGTATGCCCCTCGTATAGTTTTAGTAAAGTCTGAGCAGAATCGGGTGATAAGCTAATTCCTTGACTCAGGAGCCAACGGGAAGATCCGGAATCGCGGGGATGTTTGAATATTTGTTATTGCTAACTTTGATGCCAGAATCATCTGACCGATAACTCGATTCTACCTAGCGTTCGTGGTTGCATCTTACATATTAAGGCAGGGGAAGCTTCGAAAAAAGGAGTAACACATCAACGAAACCCTGAACTCAGAAAACTTTCCACAAATGCGATCATGGCTAACAGTTCAAATGTCCTCGTCACAACAAAGCCATTGATGGCAGTTCCCGATGGTCTCCTAAAGCAGACAGCTGCTGAGGAAAGCACGACAAAAGGGTTGCAGAATGCCGAATATTCGTATGCGAGCCCTGCCACAGTTTCGAGTATCATAGGAGGACTGATTGGCTTTGCCCCGATCACTTCACCGAATGACATCATAGCTCAGGTTGCCATACGCGCAAAAGCCATTGCAAACGATTACGAACCCATCTGGTTCGTCAACTTCCCGCCCAGCCTTCCATCTTCGGAAAAGGTTGTCTTAGAGGAATACATGCAGGAAGTCTTGCATTTTCGAAGCTGGTCTAGCTTGAAGTGGTGGGCAGAAGTGTTTACCAAGATACCCTCCAACGGAGATGTAACGGTTCAGATCCAACAGAGCAGCGAGTTCGCCAGGATAGCTTACAGAGATATGATAGACATGCCTTGGTGAGTGAACTACCAGACTGTCTCAGCACTAGGCTCTCTTGTGTCTGCTAACGAGATTTGCATGGAAGGTTAGAACTCACAAAATCACAAACAACCTACTCGGGTAGCTTCCAATGTTCCCTATCCTCACTGCACTCTGAACTCATAATGAGGACCATGTTGTCATGGGCCCTGATGGACATGAATACGTTGATTGCACTGGAACCTGTTTTGATGCGCATTGTATCTTCTGCCTCAAGCGGTGTCATGGGGTCATACTATCGAGACGTCAGATCCTTGCTTAGCGAGAAGTACGATGCGATATAAGTTACATGTACTATGAAGCGCAATTCATGATGGATAGATGGAAATCGTATTCTGCTTCTGTCGACAAAGAGCAGAAGGAAGCTTGTCAAGACTTTGTTGAGCGTCAGACTGTCGACATTTCTCCTTGAGGAACATCTGTAGATAGTCTACCCAAGGAAGTCTCTCACTCATTAGACGCAGAAGAATAAATAGGTTGTAATCATGTAAGGTCAATCCCGGGGTCGCGGGACGCACGGTGTCATGGGACAAAACATAGGTACTTCGACTTTAGGAGACGATGGTCCTTCCATAAAAGCTAATAATCACGGTACTTGTACCGGAATAATTTCCACACCTTCTCATGATACTCTGCACCTATCTGATCTGGAAAATTACAATCGCATTGATATATTCTAATTTAGCTAGAAAATTACTTATAGCTAGCGCTATAAGATTCCTAGCTACTAATATTTTATAGAGAAAAGATAACTCTAAATTAAAGTTAAAGTACCTACTACCTCTATCGCAACGTAGGGGTCTCTCGCTATACAAAGAAGAAAGTTACTTCTCTGTTTTTACTTCTAAAAAAAATTGCTATACGCTTAGCATTCTATTTAATCTAGGTTGTTAGGCGCTTATGTCCTTAATACAAACGTTGCTGCCTACCTTATCGTAAACAGGGCTTAGGCGGCTAGCCGACCAGTAAGGGGACGGCATCACAGAGCACTGCCACCTTTGCGTTTCGTCAATTCTGCCTCGTCCTCAACAAACAGGGCACTGCCACCTTTGCTCTTCCTCAACTTGCCTCGCCCTCAACAGCAATCAATGTTAGATAAGAGTCGCTTCGGCTGAACTACGTAGTGCTCCGTGTAATCTGAATATTGCCACCTAAGTGAACCTTGAATCCCTGCATCACCGCATCGCCGCATCACAAGCTGAGACAGCTGCACGTATAATGACGTCAAGTTCCGCGTATGATGCGAAGAATTCCCCGGAACGACTTCGTCAACGAATTGTTAACCCAGCCTATTGCATGCCTGGTAAGTCAAAGTATCTAAAGTAGGTGACAATCTGGTGTTTTCTAACGCGGTATAGGGTTGAAGACTCCAAGGATTGTGATATCTAACCAATATGGACCTGGACCTGCACTTAAACCAGCCCTGGTCTCTCTCGCACGGACTTTGGCTCTGTTCGACCTTCAACTCGTCAAGCGTGTCCAAAAGTTCCACCAAAAACCATCTTCATCTATGGATGAAACCCGCAAAGTTGAAGTTCTTCGTTTGCTAGAAGATTGTAACGATGTCAGACAGCAGTGGAGAGACATCGACTCAGGCAAATGTCAATTCAGCGAGCTGTACATGACGAATGATCTGTTGGTTCCGATATGGAAGGAAGGCTTGCGCGTTATCAAAGAGGTCATTGGAAGTAAAAAAGTTTCCAGCGAACAGTCAAACAAGCGGAATGTCTTTGCGGGTATTCTGTTAGATTACGAGAGTCAAGCAGGGCGCCTGCAGGAACAAATGGTTCATGCCGCTGGTCAGGGTCTCTTCGATCCAGTCTTTTTGAACCCAATTCAAGAGCGCTGGCTGCGGCTGGACGAGACTATAGATCTACATTATAGATTGTGTAATCACGATGCTGACGAGGAGTTCAGTTTTCGTCGTCAGTCACCCACATGGTAAGTTGCTGATGCAGAATTCAGATATCACATAGGATGCGAACGTTGATTATGTTTTAGGCTTGAAGTTCAAAGCTTAGTACAGAAGGAGGCTAGAGAGGGAAAAGATCGCAAAGAGCTTATGCAAAACCAAATTGCTGACAGGTCCTGGAACACAGCTGAGCCTGATAGAACAGCCGGGTCAAAGAACGTGCGAGCTTCTATTTCAGCGCTAGTAGTCTGCAGCTGTGCTATAGCTCCCATTCCGCTGTTCTGTTTTGGATACACTGATTCACATCATCTCCGAGGGACAACAAACGATGCAGATTTCTGGTTCCTCATTGCAGCCACGTTGACCCAACTTCAAGGGCTAGCAGTTTCTGCACTTCTTGAACGGAGTCGTGGCTGCCTCCCAAAATGGCGCTGGGTTATTCCTGCTGCATTTGCAGGAGCTTGTTCTATCGTGGCAATCCCCCTCTACCTTTACATACCAACAGAGTGGAGCTCTCTTTTCTCTCTAGTTGCGGGAATAATCCAAGCCTTCTTGGTATCGCAATTCTTTCTTTTCTAGGTGTCCACAACTGGGAAATCCTAGTAGCCCTCAGAAAGAATGGATTGCATTCAAGAAAAGAGAGGGAGCTAACTGTGACAGCGTGAACATCAAAGGAGTCTTAGGAGAGAGCTCGATAGAATTCTTACTACAGAGGTAGGTTGGAGTGAGAGGGATACTGTACTTAATAAGTAATTTTTTGAAGATTTTGCAGAATGTAGCATATGCACCTTTCAGCTAAGATATCAAGACTTCGAAGCGTAGCTCTTATACTTCGTACTAACTCATTGTATTTGCTTTCTGACTATCTAGAGTTGAGCTGCTACAACGGCGTAAAATGTTTGATTGGCAAGGTGATGCACGACGCGGAAATTAGAATCGCAGAAACGAACTGCTTAACGTCAATGGACTTGATCTACTTGGCCAACAAGAAAAGAGCAACAGCACCATTAGTACGCCACATGTGGTTTGGCAGCTGAGCAAACTTGCCACGGTGTTGGAATTCCAACCATTCGATGTCACAAAGCACGGAAGCGCAGTATTCGAGATATCGGCTGAGAAACTATAGCTAGACGTATAGCGGAAGGGTTGCACGCTGAATGTGCGGTAAAGAGACTTAAAAGAAGGACAAGGTCTCGAAAACTAATAGCCTAGGTGTCCTCGATGTTATTGAATACTTGGGAGATTGGGAGCCTGAGACATCGCTTTATCGTGTAACTGTTGAGACATATGCATGCTTGATTAGGAAGCTGCGTAGAATGAGCAGGCTGACACCAGCTTCTGAGCGCTATGGACGCTGTGCCAACTGGTCGAGGTTCAAGCCACGGAAATCTCAGCCGGTCCCCAAGAGATGATAAAAGATAACAGGGTAGGTATCGGAGCAGCCCGTATCGGATGAAAGCGAGAACCTTGCGTAGCATGGTGCGAGAACAACGAAACAGAACAATTTATGACCATGAATCATCACGGGCTGAGGTAGAACCATGTACAAGGCTGGGAATTAAGGCACGATATGGGTGTCTTTGAGAAGGCTGCATGATCTGCGAATCACATCAGTTAATTCGAAAGCCACGTGCATGACGGCGGGACGAAGATGAGAGCTCTGGATTTATCCACAAATCGTCGGACTAAGCGACGGTGTCGCAGTACAGGTGCCATACACTGGAAGCATTTTCGATAAGCTCATTGCGCAGTGTCCTCCATCGACGAGTGCAGGGAGTTACCATGCCAATTCCTCCCAGCTCAGCCACGCAATGATAGAACACATACGTCAGAGATGTCTCGTAAGGTCACGCTTATTCGATTCGATAACAGGCGAAAACTAGAGTGTCTCTCTAATTGCCGAAGTGTTTCGCATAGTGAGATTACACTATACGCTGACGAATTAGCAAAACCACGTCGCGCAGACGCGCCGCGGCTTCTGCGTATTGTGCTATAGCCTGTCGCTGATCTGAATCGGCGGGGCAGGGCGGGGCAGGGCGGGGCGGGGCGGGGCGGGGCGGGGCGCGATAGGCCGATGCCTTGCAACTAAACCTCTTACCTCACGAACCATCGACGACACGATGAGCGAAATGAGTATAAGAGTCATTGTAACGACAAATACAAGAAATCAGCCTGTATGTCAGCGATGCAGGCTACCAACAGCAAGCGAAGAGACTGAGGCCATGTTCTGTGATCGACAATACTGCTCAGCGTTCCAGCCATATTTATCCAGACACAGTCCTACAAATCTAGCACATAGTAGATCTAGCAGTAAGCGCTCGTGTATCAAAACATAAAGCGTCATCAACATGCGCGCAATGAGCGTGTCATAGGACAGGTGTACTAGTGTTGAATGCCTAGGTAGACGAAACCCTGCATTTGATCAGCCCGCCAGCAATAGCACCAGAACCTAGTAGTACGATACCATAATGCTGTCGTTGAACTCGAAACGCTTTGTGCGATGATAAATATCCTACCTGATACTAAGATAACAGCGTCTCTCCTGAGTATAGTTCCTCAATCGTCATGCGTGATATAATTTAGTGACTGCAATTTGTATTTTTAGATTACTAACTCGAAAAACCCGTAAGCTTTTTCGACTATCGCAAGCCGTCTCTAGGACGCAGTCTCAAACAGTTTACCCTGTAGTCTTAAGCTTGTTGAACTTTTAGATAAACCTGCTCTCTCTTGCCGTCTCCAGTATCAAATCCCAGCGCTGAGAGATCCTGGTTCTCAATCCCACTCTCTTCATCTAGCTATACGTATTTGAGGTTTCAGTGTGATAATGAGCGAGTTACGAGCACGATAGCCCTGACGTCCGATATCTCAGCCCCTGAAGTGGCGCCACACCCCGCATATACGTGTATAGTAGCATCCCCAGGAACAAGCGAGATACGACGAAGGCTGTATGCCTTGACAGGGATGGAATTTACGACCTTGCCTCAGCAGACTTAGGAGATCGGAAATCCAGCCGTTAGTCTTCACGGCATTATGGAAACATCTGGGTGGCATACAATTCCTCTATTGTCAAAGACACTTACTCTTGCACTTAGCCATGCAACAAACTGTTATAAACCTAGAACTCCTATACAGATTCACAAACTCAACCTAACACCCAATCCCCATCTCCATTCTAGTTGACCTTGGCTTGAGCAAGGCTGTTGATCTGCTGAGCACCGTCCTGAATCTTGCCATTGGCTGCCTGGAAGCGGCACAGGACGCCGGAGCGCTCCTTGACGTTGTTGTCGCACACCAACTGGTTGTTTGCAACGCAGTTGAGAGCACCGTTGCCTAGAAAATGTGTGTCAGTATTGTCCTAAGAGATTTCCAGGTATTTCACTTACATGCAGCCGGGCCTCCAGGCACACACTTGCCAGCGGCACCGTTGACAGTGCAGGCATCCTGCTTCAGAGATTGGTTGGGAATGCAGCAAGCCCCGTTGGCTGCCTGGCGGTTCTCAAGCTCGCTGCGAGGAGTGTTGCGTACGCCTTCGACATCGGTGATAGCGGCAGAGGAGATGGCGACAAGGCCAAAGAGAACGGCGGTGATGGAGAACTGCATATTGGCGATTTGAGTTGCGAAATGTATCGGTTCGGGGTATTAACAATTGATTATCGAAAAGTGTTGATGGGTGAAAGTGATCCGCGCAGCGGGAAGTGAATGAAGTAAATGTAGAGTGAATTGGAAGACTGGCTTGGGAAAACAACCTTGGGCAGGCGTATGCGCTACCTTTATACTGCGACTTCTGAACAGCATTGATACTATATCGCTTTCCATTAAAGGAATGCTGGGTAAGCGATCCTGAGGCAGTCGATCATGCACATCTAAAACCCATGCCCGGGCCCGGGCGGATCAAGTAGATCGCGGTCAAAACAATGATTATTGCGCGCAAGGAGTTTGTCAGTAGACGAAGCATCGTGTTCTTTCTAGATGAGCAACATCCAATATGCCATGGTTGAGCTTCGGGGATGGACTTGCACCCTGATGGTGGGCAAAAGCGTGTTGTAGTCAATCTTGCACCAATGGTAGACAGCTGCAAGTGCCGTCAAATCCGAGTTGACAAGCAAACTGAAGCGCTGCCTTGCACTTGAAACACTTCCTGCCTTCTCAAACATGTGCCTTGGGAGGATATGAGACGCAGAAGAACCTGCGGTTAAACGGCTGATTTAGGCTATGGTCTGTGACATGCATGACCAGGCGCTTCCAGGCACACTTTGCATAACGGTCGTTCACTACTTACGTTTTAACCACAATTCACAACAAGTCGAGCGTCAAGATTGACGAGACCTCCGTCTCTGTGCGCCCTTCACCGGCGCTTCGGCTTCGTCGAACACAACCTTCGTCGTTGCAAAAAATACAGCTTGAAGTCGCCGGCTGAACCACACCGCCCAGGCGTGGGGTACCGCCGAGCGCCGAGAGTGATCGCGAGATATCACGGGATATCGCGAGAGGGTTCGGGAGAGTTGAGACATTAGAGCGCTGTGGGACGGGTACCTGCGCATAGCGTTAGGGCTGAAGATGTCACGCGTGCACGCGACGATGGCGCTGAACACGATAAGAACCGCACACACCGCTCACGCTGCGTCGTTGACTACGTAAATATCCTGCTCAAGTTCCCCAGAGTAGAAGACATGTCTCCAAGCTGCGCCACAGGTCCGAGCGCTCGTCAGTCCAGATTTCTTGGCCTCCGAAAGTCGCAGCAACACCCTGGATACCTCTGGACGCCCATCGCGAGACGGAAAATCTTGGATTGGGCGTTGAGGCTGAGCGCTGTATAAAAAGATAACAGCTCGTCGTGATGATGCGTAAGCACTTCAGCTTGCCCTCTTAAGCTTCCGTCGACTCACATCGCCAAAACCAAAACATCTCCGTCTTTGCGATCAATTGGTTGTCCAACGCCAACGATCCTGCAAGACCCATCATGGCACCGTCCTGGATGGAGAAGTTCATTACGCGTGGCGAGCCACCAATCCCAGACCCCCTGCGTGCCTCATCGCAACCAACTCTTTCCCTCAACTACTCGGCGCTCGCAGAACACCGGCGCGTCTTGAGTGCTCCAGGCGAACATACGTCACGCTATGTAGTGACTCGGAAGTCCATTATGGGGGCATGGGGAAGCAAATGCTCCGTCACAGTCCCCACCAACTCCGACCAAGAGATCGCCCTCATCGACTTCCACGCCTTTCACTACGACATCAAGTTCCCTCTACGTGACCACCACATGGACATCAGTACGGCGAAGCGCAGATTTGATGCGAGCGGTGGGCTGGGGGAGCTACACTGGAAGGCAACGGGGATGCAGATAGCGGGCGCAGCGTCGTGGGAGTTGCGGGATGAAACGAGTCTTGTCATGGTTGTGGAAATTGATCAAACGCAGACGAATGGTAGGATTAGTGTTTGGAGGGAGAAGCTGGATGGGCAGACTATGGAGGAGCTTGTCGTGGTTGGGATTGCGCAGATTGAGGAGTATAAGAGGATGCTTAGGCAGTCGAAGACGTCTGCGGTGGGTGTAATACTCAACTAAGATGCTCTCTGCATGTGTAGGAGGAATTTGACGTGGGTTTGCAGAGAATCGCCAAGCAACACCATAGTAACAACTCAAGCGTAAGAAGATTAGATCACAGGCTTGCGCGACTTGGAGACTGTGATTTGAAGATGATGAAGACGCGAACGGAAGTCCGCGATGCTCATCCCTGCCGCATGCTTGCACCATTTTGTGGAGGTGTCGCGGCCCGATTTCTTGCGAAAACGCTATGCGCTAGCTGCGCCTTGCTATCACAGTCGGTTAGCTCCATCAAAAGCTGGGACAGTATCGAGATGGCCAAGGCAGTAAGCCAGTAGACTTTTACACTCCCCAGGCGTCGTGGAAATGTTTTGGCGGTGTCCGCATGTTGAGATGCGCCCGACTCTTCGGAGCTAAACGAGGATGGCGGCCGAGGCAGGGTCTTTTTGAGCGGCCTTGGGCGGTGGACCCTTCTTTGATTCCTAAACATCCATGAATCATCCTTTCGACTCTCTGATCTCAACCAATGACCATCCCGACAGCGCCAGCAAACATGTTCCAGGCGCAGATGGCGTCATGCATGTCTATCCTTAGTCCATCTGTTCCTGCAATCGCGGCATGGGCCCTACCTGAGCCGAAACGGCTTATGGTGAAGCATAGATTTCACGCTTTCGGAGCGCGAGGCATGCGCAGGGCTAACAAGAAGGCTATCGATCCCTTCCCTGCTTGATTCTTGCTTCTTCTCCGCCGAACTGGCTTCACATCTTAAAGAGACAATCTTGAACCTACCGTCTGCTCTCTTCCCGCATTGCGCGATTCGCTTGCATCATTCCGCAAAGCGACAACCCCCACTAAAAACATTACAACAGCAGCAGCAACAACAACAACAACAACAACATCAACGCGACAGAAACCCGCGCGCGCCAACTACATTCTGAAACATACGCAGCCTGGATAGTCGCAGGTATGGCGACAACGCCCATCGAACTCGCGTCAACCACCAGCACGCTTCCCACGCGCCAGAAGCCGATTCCCTACACATTCGCCGACGGAAGGCGGACCCCACTCTCTTCGATCCTCCCACCCCTCGTCTTCGGTACTGCCACGTTCAACCATCAGTACAACAGCGACCCCTTCGCGCTCGACACCACCGGTCTCGTCACCTCGGCGCTTACCCACGGCATCCGCGCCTTCGACACGTCCCCATACTACGGCCCCTCCGAACAACTGCTCGGCGATGCGCTCGCAACCCCATTCGTCCGGGAGACGTTCCCGCGCAACTCATACATGATTCTAACCAAGGTCGGGCGGATAGCAAGCGATGAGTTCGACTACAGCAGGAAATGGGTGCGCGACAGCGTCAACAGGAGTCTGGAGAGACTGAACACAGAGTATCTCGACTTGGTATACTGCCACGATGTCGAGTTTGTGAGCCCGGCCGAGGTACTGGAAGCCATCAAGGAGCTCCGCTGCCTCAGAGACGAGGGCATAATTCGGTACATTGGTATCTCAGGGTACCCTCTCGATGTACTGGGTGACATGGCTGAGCTCATCCTCCGCGAGACTGGCGAGCCGCTCGACGCGGTCCAGTCGTATGCCAACTTCACGCTTCAGAACCAGACGCTCGCCGGTCCACGCGGTATCTTGCGCCTCAAAAACGCGGGCGTCGACGTCGTACCAAACGCGTCCATTCTGGGCATGGGTCTCCTCCGTCGCGAAGGTGTGCCCGTCGGCGCCCTAGGTGACTTCCATCCTGCCCCTTCTTCACTGCGCGAAGCAGTGCGGAAAGCAAGCGACTTTTGCGACGACTATGGTGAGCGCATCGAAGTCATCGCCATCCGCTTCGCGCTCGAGACTTGGATATCATCTGGCGCGCTGTGTGGATCCCGCGGAGACCCCGCATCGGGTGTCGCTTGGAAACATGAGTCTATAGACGACGTCGGAGGCTCCAAGCTGGGCGTCAGCGTCATCGGTGTGTCGCGCGCCCCGGAGCTGGAGAAGACCATGCTTGTCTGGCGATCCATCTTGGATGGACTGGAGGGCGGCAAGGAGACTGCGGTGCAAGCTGGTCGCTGGTATCGCGCTTGGGAGTGGAGCATGAATCGTAAGAGGGCAGTACAGATCCTCGCCGAGGGTGTACAGGAAGTACTTGGTGACGGCTTTGGCTACGCGTGGTCGAGTCCTGATCCGGGATTCGTCAATAAGAGGAAGACGGATACAATAAAGGGGGTCCAGAGTGATGCGCCAGCACCGTGGCTTACACCGGCCGCCAGCCCGGAGGCTGTGGCTGTGAAGGATACGAGTGAGGTCGTGGAAGAGAAGTCATTGCCGCTACGGTAACGAAGATGTGGTACATGTATATAGTGGACAAAGCTGCATGCGTTCCGAACCCCATACCACCTCTCGTAACAATACGCACTTTTAGGCGGAGTTCTTACCTCTTACATACTTCTTCGCTTGCCTAAGCATCGCAACTCTAGTTCTAATCCTTACACTCGCTTAAAAACCTTCTTTGCCACTGTCAACCTTGCCAGGATCACAAACAGAGCAGAAAGCGTAGCCATTCCACCTGCGTAGAAGATAGCGGGTCGATACACCTCAACACTTTGTCCAACACCCGCGTTTTGTTTGCCGGCTCCTGCAGCCTGAAGTAAGTAACCTGCAATTGGCGCACCCATCAGATAACCTGCAGACCAGCCCGTCACTGACATGCTCATCGCGACTGTAGCTCTACCAGGCCCGAAGATGCCGGCTACGACAGTAGGCTGCGTGGTAAAATAAGCGCCGTTGGCAATTCCATTGACCGTCGCAAATATGATAAGGGGTGTGAGCGTGTCAGAGACAGGCCAGATGGCAAGCATGCTGACAGCGTTGACTACCATCACCATAACAAACATGTTCAGAGGCCCGACCTTATCGCAAAGTGGCCCAGCACAAAAGCGTCCAATAGCATTGCACGCATTAAAAGCAGAGACTAGAGCAGCACCTGTTGCAGAACTGAGGCCGATAGACTGCGCAAATAAGGGCAGGTAATAAGGGGGAATGTAAAGAGCAAAGACTCCGACTGCACTAGCAATGAAGGTTGCCAAGAAAGGAATGGAACAAAACATGCTAGCGTCGAAGAATGGTGCGGTCTTTAGTGGCACGCGGTCTTTGAGCAGGAAGGCAGCTGGCATGCCTACTGCCAGCGTAAGGAAGCCCTGAAAGCGGAATGTCCATTCAATACCGGCTCTTTGGTACATGGCTTCGAGCGCGATAGCCATTACACAGCCTCCCACACCGCCTCCCAGCTTAATAATGCCGTTCGCAAGTCCTAGTCGAGAGCTGAAGTACTGCACTGGGAGCGCATTCGAGCATGTGTAGCTCATTGCCATGCCGACACCGCCAATTACACCAAACGTACCGAAGAGTCCAGCGACATTAGAAGCGCAGAAGCTGGCACTGATCATGCCCATGCCCATGAGGAAAACTCCAAGCATGCCTGTCAGTCGAGCGCCGAACCAACGCATGAAGCGGACGACGAGAAGACCGTACATCGCCCCTCCAGCGAGGCCGAAAGAACCAACAAAGGTCAACGTTGAGGCCTTTTCATCCTTAAGAGTTGAGTTAAGCAGTGCTGCTTGCAGCACGCCCCAGCAGTTGATAATACCATTCTGGCAGAAAGTCGTGATGAAGCCTGCTGCGACAATGACCCACCCGTAGCCGCCATTTGGAATCACTGTCGTAGAGTAGGGAGTATCCTCTGGTATCTCGTCTGGATTTTGATTGATAAAGATTTGTCGTGAATCTGCGGGGGTAAAGTTGGTAAGTGGAACCGGCGACTCGTTGCGCAGATTTGAGAGCTCAATGTGCTCTGTCGTAGTTGTGGTGCTCGCCATCTAGAGAGCTTTTCTCGAGATATGTAGATAGAAGGAAGATTGATAAGTCTCAAGTGAAGAGGCTTTATTCGCAATATGAGTCACAATCGACCATGGCTGATTAGTGCTCTATACTGCCGTGTCTGTGCGTTCGATGATCATAGTCGATTACTAATCACTCTGACAACCTTCGTAAGATGATGCTCTCGATTCTGACATGACCTACCTCGGTTCGAGAACCGGGTGACTCAGACCGTAGTGAATCGTATGGAAGGAGCGGTCAAGTTGACTAGGGAGACAGCTCTCTTACTTGCCTGGTTGATTGTCCTGGCGAAGACTGTTCCAATGCAAGCTCTTTATGTATTCATTGTCCGAAGCGCAATTATAGACATTTGTTATCCAAATCCGGATGATCTTCAGAACGTCAAGGCACCACGACAGGAAATTCTGACCATGACACTCAAAACGGATCCATGGTACTGATACACAACGAACGAGGAAGACTAGGCATCGCATGCAGCTTGCAGATGTCTTTCTCTATCATTTTCAGTCGTTTGTAGATCCAACAAAGAAGGAAGTAATTATAGAGGAGCTGAAGCATTTGTCTGTTACCTATTCAAAAGCCGATGACGACATACGGGAGTTTCATGTGAATATGCTGCGAGCGAACTCGCTGCGGACTATGGGTCCTGCTAAAAAATACCAGACTCGTATCAACGAGCTGTCTTCTAAGTGCATTTGCGGTCTTCTAGACAGTGTCTTCTGGAACGATTCGTCAAGCCTGCGACTACTATGTAACGGAAGAGACATGGCTTAGTTTCTGTAGTGTAAACCACAACTATACCAAAGCCCCAATCAGGACTTGGAAAGAGATAAAAAGTGGTATCATCTGGATTGGCGATGGAGAGATCACTGTGAAAGAATGGTTTGTTGATTTGAAGGAGGAGCGATGGCAAAATGCTTGGAAGACCTTCTGGACTACGTGAGGCGGCCTGAAAGGATGTTCGAATCAAGGAATGAGGTAAAAACTCTGATATAGATTATGTAGTCATGGACCCAGCATATCAACCTTTGTATAGTTAACGATGTCTGAGATGCCGACGGTATCATCAATTCGTCAACTGCGTCATCATAGCCCCACAAAATTGCACGTGATAATGGAGACTGGATCGGTGTCTCTGCATCTTGAAGCAAGCATTGTCAAGCGGTTCATAGGGACGATTACGAGTAGTTTTCACTGTGTCCAGACCATGTCGACATTAGTAGTGCTATCTGTTCTTCCACTCTCACCTTCCACATCAATGTCTGCTTTAACTGTGTTGAGTAGCGTATATATTGTCGTCCCGCTTTCACTGTGAGTCTTCGACAACAATAACGTTCGACCGAGATTAACCTCACGGTCTGGTCTACCCATAATTCTGTAAAGCAGCGGTCTCACGGCCAATCAATTGTTGCGGCCGCTTGTCCAAGGATCGACCCCACTAAGCTGCGCCGCATGGTGGCATAAACCACTTTACACACATGAAGAAGCTGATATGTATTGAGGCAATTTCTGTCACGAGGAGAGGCCTAGTGTTATTGGCTCAATGCATACCAGCTCCTTCGTAGCCCGCAGAGGCCTAGCCTACAAGCAAGATGACCTGTTCGAATGCTTCGACGTGGCTAACGATGGAGCTATTCATAGAAGATTTCCGTGACGGAACGTGTTCAAGTATCGACGAGCTGCTATAGAAAGAGCTTTTCTTCACTCTAGATAAGCTCTCTCCATCCTCACTCAGCACACGATCATCCCACATTCCTCTTTTCATGCCAAAATCCCTGATATCATCTACCACTCTCACTACTTCTCATCGAGTATCCAGGTGTGTAACAGTTACAACATCTCCTCTTAGTGCAGCCTACTACACATGAGCATCTCTCTTTCTCTTTCTTTTTGCTGACTTAACTTCGCCAAGACACTCATCGATATGGTCGCTCACACCACTATATTCACCGCAATCATGGGCTTCAGCCTCTTCGCGGTACCAGGAGTCGCTGCTCCAGCAGCCCTCGTTGCACCTGCTGCTGTTGCTGCTGCTGCTGCAGCTGGCAAGCGGCTCGGCGGCATCGACATGAATCGGGCGTGTAAGGATCAGTACAATCTGTACTATGACGAAGTCAAGGCCTCCCGGGTAGGAAATACATGCAACGACTGGCGTTGTGTTGCTGGGTTTCCCGGCTCTTCCAGCGTGGACACTCCTTATGCATGCCTGAGGCAGTATGGTCCTGGTACTTATGCTTGGTGTTCCGGTGGGTGGGATAAGTGGTCTTGCTATAGGGCATGAACGGAGATGTAACAAATCACATGTAATTGAACGCCATAGAACAATTTCTCATCGAACAACTGTCGACGCATATAGACTGCGAGAACTTTGCGAACGTCGTCTTGGCCAACGATCCTCTTGCCTAGTTGATTGTATTGACTTCGATAAGCGAACCCAAGTAGCAAAGTTGGCCAGGCCTTGGTCGACAGGGTATGACAGCCATCAACTGAATCCTTGTGCCCAACGTGAGCGTGCCTCTGGATCGCGCTACTTGCATGTTACGGAACTTCGGCCAGGATCGACCTATTTGCACGACGGAGATCTGAGTGTATGGAAGAATTAGAGTTGTTTACGTGCTATGCTTCCAACATCCTACCCAATGTGGGTCACGAATTCGACGCCCCATGCGTTCAATACTTTCTTTCGATGCTTGGTTTCACCCAATGCGCTCCCTCTTCGCAGGTTCTCTCAAAGCTTTGAGTTTGTATCTTCGTGTTATCCCAACCACTGACATACTTCCTATCTTCCGGGTCGTGATGGCCATCTGGCTGTTTCGCATTACCAATATACAACGCTTTCGCGTAATAGCAGTGCCGTCCATGCCAGGTGTACTGCATACAATCGTTGTGTTGAAAACACCCGGTTCTGCAAGAATCGAGGCTTGTGTGAACAGTGGAATTGTCAGGCAGCTGAAAGCCTGCGTCGAATGCTGCATCCCAGTTCTCGCGCTGAGAGAAGTTGCCGTGGAAAGAGAAAAGTAGATCACGATAGAGCACGGGGTGCTCACTGGCTGATCGTCGTTCGTTCTCCCAGGACCAAAGGTCTTTAAAGAGGAATGGATGAGTCTTGTGTAGGCTGATGACAGGTTCGCACCAGTAGTCTTTGCCGAACGGGATGTTCTCGAGCCGATGAGGGCTGAACATGGGCCAGAGGCCACCGATACTAATTCCAGCTTTGTCGTGCAGAGCCCATCCCAGTATACTGTCGCCACAGCAATCGGCTCTGATGTCTTCCATGTATTCGATAGCAAGCCGGGGACCCTTGAGGCCGATGCTGTTGCTTGGACGATCCACCAGTCGGTGCGCAGCGGCCGTGGAGAGTATGAAGCCAGCGCCTCCGTATGCAAACCACACCTGCCCTTCGTTCTCAGGATCCGAACCAGATTGGTACTTTCTGCCAGGCGATGGCGATCCGAAGTAGTAAGGCGCTGAGCTATTATAGTTCTCTAGAAGACGGAAAACGTTGTCCCAGAACATGTACGTATCGCTTTCAAGAAACACGTACCACTCGGCCGCATTGTTGCGCTCAATCGCCTTCTCCACTTCCGGCAAGAACTTGTACTTGTCGATCACCCAGCCTTTATGACCCTGCTGCAGCTTCCTGCCCTCACGGCTTGCATTCTTTTGCGCCTCGTAGACGAGGTAATCCTCGGGTTTCAAGTACGTGTTCGGCGGCAGATCTGCGAGAGTGTCGATAGTTTGGTGGTCACGACCGTAGGTATGATTTCCGTCCGAAACGATCAGGATGTTGGAGATGCATTTTATGACTGTCGAAAGCTGCGCATTAGTCCGCGACTCATCATCTGCTGCCCCGGTTTTCAGAACCACCTGAATCTTCGCGAGAAGGTGCATTGGAAATAGAGCGCATTCGTCTGCGACGCCGCCCTGTTGGCCAACATTTTCTCTTGTCTTGAATTGCGTCTTTGTGTCCCATGTCCAGAAGTCAAGTCCATTGTCGGCTTGCGACTCCGAGCCCTGCGCTGTCGATACGAAAGGCTTGGGGTGGAAAGCTTGATTTCCCAGGATATCGCTTGGTAAGGTTTCGACGTAAGTCCAGTTGAACAGGACAAAGATATTGATACAGATGGCTATGCCAACCAAAGCGCATAGTAAACGAAGCCATTTATGGTGGTTACAAGTTGTTTTTGGTGAACATCCGATTGTGCGCTCGTTCAGAGAATGATCAGCACTCCGTTGGAAGCGGCGCGAACCTGTTAACATGTTGGATGTGGGCGCAAGTGTGACGTCGAGGTGTTACGTCATGTTCAGTTTGTCGAGCAGGTTCCAAAGACCGCGTTCAGCTGTAGGGTGAGTGTTGGTCGACGAGCGCAGCGTCGACAGACTGCTGAAGAGATGGCAGCGTGCACAAAATTGTTCGTGAGACAATTGACTGCGGGAAGAAGAAACACTAGGCGCGCTTCTTCTTGGGTGGTTGCCTTACGTGATACCCCTTGCAGCAAACCGTGGCGCAAGGCAGCAGTTAGCGAGGATTTTCCATCTTCGTTTGCTAGCAACGATGCCGCTACCCGCGCCAATGATCTAATCTGTGGAGCTGAAAGTGTCCCACAAATCCGAAGGGTCTGCTCGAGGTGAACGCTGAAATGACCAAAAGAGCAGCTGATGTCGCTTTCAGATGTTACTATTGCCTAGCGGGCGTCGCGACAGTGATGAGATTTGTGCTTTGGTGTGCTGAATGATCGTAACAGCGTCCAACATAACGACGAACAGAAAACGCCTCCATGTGAAAAAGGGCGATAATCTGTGGCCGAACAACATCGATGAGAAAGGCGAGGGTAGAGGTTCGTCGCATTCAGCACCAAAGCGTTCCCAAAGAAATGGTTGGCCAGGCGGAACGTGTGCCACTTTAAGCTAGCGTCGGGCGTCATCACGTGCACAGATGCTGGGTCGGATCGCTGTGGGGCTTCGACCTCCAGTCCACCACTCTCCGACACCGCCGAGCACACAATCGGGAGTCAGCCACACCAGGTCTGACGCTCGTATATATACTTGCTGGCTATGCAGCCGTGACCAGGAAGCTGCTAGACGCTAGCAGTCCTTCGTTTCGATCGAGCCTCACGATATCGAAGGGCGCTTTCACGGATCCGTCCACCGTACGGAGACTCACGAACGACCTCAGGCAGGGCTTTGGTATAGCTACCCTCCCAATAGCCGCATAGGAACGTCCCACTACTGGCGCGCACACCTCCACGATTCGCGACGCCGCCACTACATCGTTTCCTGATGGAACACTTAGCATGTGGCAGCTATGGATGTCGGTTGATTGGAACAATGTGATCGAGCGACAAGATCACATGTAGCAAGACGCGACTGTGGTCGACGTTCAAGCAGATCGGGATGTGAAGTACAACTGTAGTTGCTAGGTAATAATGCATTTGGAAGGATGTGTGCGAGCTTGTCAATGACAGGTCCAGTAATGCATACGCTTAAGGGCAAGGGAATGGTGTTAAGGGCCATCACATGTGCGTTGCATCGACCCATTCAATCCACGGCGCATGCAGCCTTCGTCTGACATGCCCTTGACATGGCTCAGCCCGTGCATCTCAGTTATCGATATTCGACGGCATGCAGTACTCGATCATAGGTGAGGGGAGAAGCTACTACTGTTCTCTAGATACGGCTGAGATCGGTGTCGATTAGCCTGTGCTATTTCAAGCTAGCGTCAGGCGTCAGCATGTGTGATAGAGGCGGGGCATATTCGGCGCTTCGACCTCCACACTCTCCGAATATCGATTGTGCCCTAACGAGCGAGCGACTTCAGCTTCAACTATAGTTCAGCTAGAAGCCTGGGCTACATACGTAAACTGCCTCTCGTTTTTCTGTCCTAATTTTTCCTCCTTCTCGAAACACCGTCCCAAGCGCTACGAATCACCGTCCCTGATATTACAATCAACAACCCGATCACGTCGATCAACGACGAGGCTGCTGAGAGCGGGTCTGTGTAGACATTTGGCAAGCCGCGCCCGGATATCAACAGAACAACAGTTTTTGGTTCATTGGGATAGGTGGCGCAACCGAAGCATGAACGTAACAGGTGGACTTGAATGTTTTCGCTGTTCTATAATCGATTGGGAAAGATTACGACCAGAACTCGATGAAAGGGTACTTGTCTGCGCTATCGAGGAAAGCGTTACAGAACTAAAGCAGTCTTCCTGTCCCACTTGTCGCGTGCTTGGAACTGCTTTGGAAGCTCGACAGTTGGCTAGACATATGCCAGATGCGAAGGAATTTGGTCTGTGTCTAGTATACTCACGCGGGGTATTCTCCCTCCGGCGGAAAACCAGCCATATAAGAACCAGCTTCACTTTGTCTTTGAAGCTTGGTGAGAAAGATGATCCATACCTCACCGACTTACAGGCTGAAGCTTTCAATCGCGTTGATTTCGAGTCCTTAAAGTATTGGATGGCCAATTGTAAAATGCACGAGAAATGCAATATTTCACCAACGTCAGGTATAAATGACTTGAAGGTAATTGATTGTCATCACAGAAGAGTCATACCAGCTCCAGAGAATTGTATATTCATTGCACTCTCCTATGTTTGGGGCCCGTCGATGTTGGAGGACTATACGCAGTTCCCCGACCTACCAAGCCGACTTCCTCGCACGGTGGAGGACAGTATAGAAGCTACTACCATGCTGGGTTTTCAGTTTCTATGGGTCGACCGATATGTGAGTTCCACATGATATTACTTTGAGAAAGTAGCTGACTTGGCAATTTATCAATCAGGCAGATCATGATGTTCAACGACAGCAAATCCAACAGATGGGACTCATTTACTCTTCAGCTCAGATCACTTTGATCGCAGCGTTCGGTTCAGACGCTGATTCCGGTCTACCAGGCGTCACGCGTGACCGCCAGCGTTGGAAACTCCTCACACATGCTGTTACCGATCGTCTACTGCTAGTCATAAAATTGCCGCCTAAGATAAGGGGAGCACGTCAAATTGTCGCAGCGTCAACTTGGTTCTCGAGAGCGTGGACTTTTCAGGAAGGTTATCTCTCTCGAAAACGGATATATTTCTTAGAAGACCAAGACTTATACCTTTGCGATGAAGATTCGGGAGTGAACATGACAGGAGAGCTTACAGATCAACTTGCTGCGTCCCTGCCGAATTCTGCAGAGATACAAAACCGAGTGGGAGCAATCATGCGTGAATATACGCGACGCCAACTCACCTATGATTCAGACGCGCTCAACGCTATCTTGGGTGCCCTTGGAACCCTGGAGAGAACTGATCATATCTGGGGGGTGAGTCTTGCACGGGGAGAGGATATACGGAGCTATAAAGTACCTGAGGTAGGCATGGCTTTGGATTGGGAGCACCTACTGCCATGTTCGCGACGCAAAGGCTTCCCAAGCTGGTCACCCCTTGGTTGGCGCGGCACTGTCAATCATTGCGCTTTTGTCCCAAGCGTTTCATCAACATGCTCCGTCGAGCTCTGGTACGACGGAGAGTTCAAACTACCTTGCAAAGCCTTTGGCAGGCTAGCCGAACGTTCAAGTGATTTACTAGAGGATTCGAAGCTCCTTAAACTGACAGCCACCGTGCTGAGGTTAGATCTGGAGCACCTGGAAGACGGCCACACAAACACAGCCGGCTTATATGTCAAGGTTCCGTATAGTCATGAGATCGACCTATTTGTGTGGCCATCATGGGACGTCGACTATAAGAGCAAAAGGAGTCTCAACAAGGCTAGGATGCGATTGCCATGTGTCGTCATCCTGCAACATCCGGATGACTCATGTCTCGAGAGAGTCACACATGAAGGCAAACGAATCTTTGAAGAAAGATCGGTGTTGTTCATATTGCAGAACCATGGTAGTCACTATGAGTGTATCGGGCGTTTCTCCATGCAAAACCATAAACGAGGCAGTGTGTTTGCCCGTGATAAGCAAGGCAGGCCCGTGGAACTTACCTTTCCCTATGACGCTGATCTCCATAGATATCGCGACGCTACATCCTGGATGGAAAGCGGTGTGAGGGATACATTCCTCCTAGGTTAGTACGACCACAGTGGCCACAAAGCGACACAGCTTTAGAACGCATTGATTGGGAAACGGTTCGTAACTCTCGAGTCTTTCACCACCGTCGATCGCTCAAGAACAAGAACGAATGAGAGACTTGCTGCGAGTGAGGTCAAAAGTTTCAGTACAGCGAGCATCGACCACAACGAGCATATTTGTTGATTATGTACCACCTTTGGAAGACAGGTTTGAGGATATGCAATGAGCAGGGACAACGACTAAATCAAAAGTTGCCCATGAGAGATAATGTCTAGCGGTCGGCTTGATCGTGCTGAGAGGATCGGAGAATCGGTCGAATTGTTCATGGCGGGCATGGCGAAGGACCAGACTATCTTGAAATCTTTGACAGTTTACTGTATACACACCCACCTATCCTGAAATCCTACAATCCCGATCTCGCAACCTACAACATCGCAACAACAGTCGACACAACTTCACCTATTATGCCCCGATCATCACGGATCTCAAGTCTGCCCTGTACCTCTGGTTCATCACTTTCAGATTATCCATCAATGTCATTTGAAGAATCGCGCTAGGTGTCATCGTTTTGGGGGCCAAACCATGCGGACAAACCCTGTCTCCGCTCTCATAAGCGACTCGCGGCGCGGGAGCGCGTCGGCGACCGTGTTCTGCTGTCATCGTGATGCATACGGCTTTTGTATTAACTAATTTAATCCGTGAGGCATACAGTGTTCCTCCGGCACTATCCTTTGTACGACCTTACCCTGGGTCTTGAGGGTCACGGCCTTGCTTGGTATAGCTTGACCCGTGCCAAATAAGGCTAGCATCAGGCGACGGCACGTGCAAAAAGGTGGGTAAGCCTTTCGCGATCTTTTAACACGCACATCTTGTTCTTCTCAAGGTTACCGCGCAAACCGGCGATCATAGCGTTGAATTCAGTTACCTACGCGCTGTGGACTATCTTGACCTCGTTTCTTCAGTGGATTTCACACTACCACAGCGCATGCGCCCGCGAGCCTCGGCGCTACGGTAGCCTCGCCTCTCAACAGTTGAACTCGGTGCGCTGAACTTGATCGCGTCAGCAGATGGATGATAAAACCTTAATCTGAATCGAGGAACACTTCGTACATGTGTTGAATCGTTCCAAACGTGTTCCAGCATTATTACCTAGCCTAACTAGATTGCGTTCAGCAGTCTTGAGGGCTTGATTGAGCACTTTAAACCCCCACATTTCTTGGTTCATCAAGGGCGCAACTGGTCACTGGTAATTACCTAGGTACACCGCGACCCTATCCCTTACTGCGCGACCTGCTTTCGTTTCGAATACGCTGCGTTTCATGGTCTTTCAAGCTTCGCCATATCGGCTGAGGCTCTCGCAGAAACGCAATTCATTTCGTGGAACCCTCGCATCGATCAATCGGTACCGCTTCTGATCAGCGCTTACTACGGTACATAATCCTATAAGACGTGGAGTGCGCATAATACCGAGATTGCTCAAATTCAACCTTCCATCTTTCGACACCCCCGTTCAATCAACGAGATCTCAGTAGCATCAGCTTGAAGTCTCTCTGGCCCAGACCTCACACGGCTCTTTCTCAAGTGGCATCCAAGCGTCATACGTCTTACCGCACCTGCTAGACACAGCCACGAGTTACATCGCCCGCACAGGGTTATCTCTACCCTAGAACGCGAAGAACAGCCTACCAATGGCTCCACGTCGATTACCCTATCTTGATACATTGGTGTTGAGGAAGCAAGTTCTGGAAGATCGGACTGAAGGATCCAAGCAACGCAAAGCAAATTCAATCGCGCGAGGCATAGGACATGGGATCTCACAAGGCACAAGAGATGCAATTGCGCGAGGGATGCAAGAGGTGAAAGGAAACCTTGCACGGCTGCGACCCCACTCGGACGTGGTGTGTAGCAATCTATGCGAACGTTGCTCCAAAATACCATGGGTTGAACTCGTCACGGCGGGGGATGAGGTGAAATTTCAGTTGATTGGAATGACGAAGCCACTAGAAGAATTGCAAGTCTCTGCCTGCCCAAGTTGTCGAATTCTTGGCTCCAACCTCCCAAGTTTTGGTGTCACCTTCTTGAGTATGGAAGATCGATACTACCTTCGATTTAGAGACAAACACGACAAGTATTGGTATCCATCATCTTTGAGGATCATCCACAAAGAAAATCCGTCTCTTCTTGACAGATCCTCAGCTTTCATCGATAAAAGAGGATATGTCAATGCACTAGAAATGAAGGGGAGAATTGAGGATTGCATAGATAATCACAAACAGTGTAGACCGCAGCCATGCGATAGTTTGAGAGATTTGAAAGTCATCGATTGCTACGAGCGGACTGTCGTCTTGGCTCCAGAGAGCTGTCGATTCGTTGCACTCTCCTATGTGTGGGGTCGACCTACACAGGAGGCAGAATCGATTGATAGACCACAGTTTCCAATGCTCTTAGATGTATTCCCTCGCACCGTAGAGGACAGCATCGTAACAACCATTGCGCTTGGCTTCCAATACCTATGGGTGGATAGATACGTACGTTCCTGAAATGCTTAATGAGCACAAGCTGATCAAACAGTGTATTGACCAACATAACGCCGACGACCAAAGTCACCAAATTAATCAGATGGGGGCCATATACTCTTCAGCCCAGGTTACGCTTATTGCAGCGGCCGGCACAGATGCCAATTTTGGTCTACCAGGAATCAGCAGAGAGTTCAGCTATCCAGAATCGTGTTCCGTTACCAAGAATCTATGTCTGGTCAACGCCTCTCAATCAGTCACACGATCGGTTTCAGCATCCACCTGGTACTCTCGAGCATGGACGTTGCAGGAAGGTTACCTCTCGAAAAGGCGACTGTTCTTTGTAGAACACGGGATAGATTACATTTGCGATGAAGACCTTCAGGATGAAGACCTGAGAGGCGGCCTGATTGCAAGTGAACTTGCTGCCTCGCTACCTAGTAAGATGAATGCTTGGGATCGTGCAAATCACATGATGCGCCAGTTCGCAGGACGAAGTCTTACATACGAAGGAGATGCTCTCAACGCTATCATCGGCGCGCTAGGAACTCTCGAAGGTGTTGATCATACAGAGGGGGTAACTATCCAAAGATCTAACTCTTCCGAGACATCTAGTACGTACATGGCTCTGAACTGGTGTCACGATCTGCCTTGTTCCCGGCGTGAAGGGTTTCCCAGTTGGTCGCCTCTCGGCTGGAGAGGGGAAATTGATTATCTCGACTACCAAACCACGATCTCATCCGGCTGCTCGCTCGAAGTCTGGCACGACGGAGGATTTAGGCATGTTTCCGACGCTTTCGGGAAATTATCGGAAGGCCATCGCGCACACAGGCCAACACAAGAGAGGTACCTCAGACTGAACACCACTGTGGTAATGCTAGATTTCGTATATCTCGACCACGAGCCTGGTATACCCAGTGGATTTTATGTGAGGGTTCCGTATACCTCCAACCTCGACCTCTTTGTTCTGCCGTTTTGGGATGCAGACGATATGCGACAGGGCAGTATACAGCTGCCTTGTGCTGTTGCCGTGCGGCGCAGGACACTCATGCAAAAGACTTGGAGATGCGAGCAAGAGTCACAACTACTCATCATGCGACAGCACAGCACACATTACGAACGCGTTGGATGCTTCAATTTGCATTGGTCTCATCGTCATATCTATGCCCGAGAGAAGAAAGGCCGGATCTTTCCCCTGGACTTTACCTATGGCAATCCGCTTCTGGAATATGGTGACGGTACCTACTGGAAGAAGAATGGCGAAGAACGCACGTTTCTTCTCGGCTAGCTCGACCTTGAAACTCTCCGCGAAGCTTCAACCTACCTGAAAGGCATCGGTGTATACAGACATGGAATAAAATCAAAGTTCGTAGCGTTACCATCAAGAGCGGTAGACACGTAGAGTCTGAAGTCGTATACATCGCGTGAGAGAGTAAGATGGAAGGACAATAACGAAGAGATATTCATATTTCCAATGGTCATCTATAACTTCGCTCCGCCAGTTGCAGCTCAAAGATCAATGTACTTTAACGAATTACATTGTGTGTCTGACGCGATGGGTTTGCCGTTAAATGCAATCTTGAGATGTCCCTCCCACGTACCCCCATGATCCATCTTGAAGCACGCCGAGTCGTACCCATTCTCCTGCATCCACTTGAGCTCGCGCTCCACAGCGTTCTCAATCGTCTTCGTCTCCGAGGTAGTGTCGCATTTCGGGCCAGACGTTGTCGCGTAGTATTGCCAAGCAGCGCCGTCAACATTTCCAGATATCACCGAGCAGCTGTTAACATCGGATTGGCCTTTGATGTATACAGCAAGGTAGTTGGCAATAGAAACGATGGCGAGAGTGGCGGTCGCGCCTTGACTCACAAAGCCGGCCGCGAGTTCAATGTCTCGGCGAGCCTCTAGGGGAGCAGCGATATCCTTGCCGAGGCCGTATCTACAGCTTTCTGGTTAGCGAGTTGCAATAACCAATATACATTGTTGGTAGAGCAACAACATACTCCTCGCCACTGCTATGCCGCTTCTCGTAATCACCGATAGCGAGTGCCTCGGCAGTTCCGAGCAAGCAGAGTATGTGAACGAGCTGGAAGCGCATCGTGAATAAGTGAATTGTATTGGAACAAGAGTCTTGTTGAAGATTTTTACAGTCGCGTGATATATGGGTTGGAAAGAACTATTGATCTGGCGGAAGAAAACCCTTTCAGGTGCTTCAATTGTCTTATATAAGTAGATAGATACAGCACAAGACCTACAAAAGGCCCGCGGTCTACCTCCCCTTCTCAGAAAGTTCAAGCTTTCGACGACGATTATGCCTCGTTGATCCGAGCCCGATAGGGCCTCCAAAGGACTGGTGGCCTTGAGGAAGAGTCAAGAAGGTCATCTTGAGAGACGGCGACGTGAATCCATGTAGTAGAGTCGATTCGACAAACCGGCAGTGATGGATGCTGGGCGCCTAAAGAATGATGAGTGAACACGATCGAGTATTACAGTACAAAACTAAGCGCCAGCCACAAAGCTTATGCCGATCCATGAGATTTTGGTCCAACAGTCGGAGAGTCGGTCGGAGCAAGAGCATGGGTAGTATACGGACCGAAGACGGAACGCCTTGTACTCACAGCCCCGTGCGGCTATGAAAAACAAATTAAGAATGGATGCCTAAGCCACACTGATGTAGATGATCGATGTAGAGAGACGTTAATCTCAAAAGCTTGAAACTTTGTCAAAGCTAGAGTGTTTGAAACAAGGGTGGTAAAGGTGGGCTAGACAGCCTAATTCGGCCCTTTGCACAGACCAGAGATCGAACGCCTGATAGACGGCGAAGTAGAACAACAGGACCGATCTAGGATACGCAAGTTCTCAGGTACAATCGAATCAGTCTACTGACTTGAGAGACATGCATATTGCGTCTCTCAAGCATGCTGCCGCCCTATCGTGAGCCTTGGACATGATTTCCGGCCAATGACCCCGTCAGGCGTACCATGAGGGCGGGCAGTTGAACACTATAGCCTCAGGCGTGCATCAAGTCAATCCATACTTGACTATGAGTATCTCGATAGTCGGGGCGACTTGGAATGTGAATGCATATATAGCTGGTAGTAGACCCCAGTTTTCGTACAACACCTTCATAACTCGCCAATCACACTTCTGCTACGCTTCTACAGTTTGTGATAGTTCCACTACCGACCCGTTCTACCATCCATCATGCGTCTTTCCACAATTGCTGCTACTGCCCTCTGCCTCAGCTACAACGCAGTGGCTATCCATCTTCCAGAGCGGGAGGCGCTGCCAGTATTGAGCGAGAAACCTCACAACAGGTACGGCGAAGGAGCACCCTCTATCTTCGATTCTTGTGCATCAGAGCTGTAACGCCGTCTCTCATTCACCTTGCTGACAGCTGCCCCGTAGTGACAGTCTCGACAAACGTCTTACCATCGAAGAACAGGTAGCCATCCTCGGTGCAGGCTCCATGGTGGCGCTCAACGTAAACGCAATTGCCACATACGTTTCGAACTTGATGAAGGCGCAGAGCGAAGCCAACACCTGTGGCGTGATATCTGGCACAGTCGACGGGTATGTCTTGTCCTCTCTCCCCCATCTCAGACACCATATCCAAAGTTTCGATACTCTACCCTTGCTCTCTACATTCTTCGATGGCTACTAACGTGGTTGCCCAAGTGTCAACTATCAGTACCATGCGGCAACAACAGGCAAGAACTGCGACACTACAGCTGAGACCAAGACGATGAATGATGCCGTCGCTCGAGCATTGGAGTTTATGCAAACCCACAATATCAACCAAGCCTGCTTCAATATGCAGCATGGCGGTACGTGGAGAGGATTACTACAATTGGCAAGTGGTGGTAGGACAATCATCAACGGCAAATGCGACAGTGTGACATACACATTGACCGTGACCTGAGGGGTTTGATACGAAGACCCGGGCCTGATACCTAACGGATAGATAGATGTAAAGGATCTGCTTTTTCTATCACTAATGGTGTGCGCATTGTTTGGTGCCTTGCAACCTTCCTCTCCTTGTTTCGTCTTTTTTTTTCTCACTTGCCAAGCTGATATTCTATTAGAACGTTCAAGATGATGTCTCTTGAACGTTCCTCGTAGATCTCAACTTCCCGGTCGAACAGGTAGAGAGGTAGAAAATGTATACGAAAGAATTAGCTTAACGAAGGTATTCGATCTTGCCGATGAAAACGATCATTTGCAGATGAATGGATATGAATGTAGATATAAGACGAGCCACGTTGCTGAGATAGGAGATGGTGAATACGTTATAGTTGGGACATGTAATAACAATCTACGCGTGACATGCCAACAACTCAGCATGGTGTTGAGAACGAGACTCAAGTGCGGGTGCTTACATGCATTCAAGCATGCCGATCATAGTGTGGGGGAACCGAGCTATACCAAGTTTAAAGTCTCCCACAACAGCCCATGTTCATCTCCACATACCTCCTTGTATATCGTTTACCCACATGATCCGATTGAAGATTGATCATGACAACGAGGTCTAATGCATTTGGGTAGCTTTCGCAATATATTCCGCTACTCACCAGCGAAAACTCACCAAACCACAATCCCTTTCACAACAATGAAACAAACCATCCCGTAACTGATTTCCGAGATTGGGCACATAGCTGCAAATGGGGGTATCTGTTGCATTCGGTACTAATTCCTTGTCGCATTGGGACATCTTATCCGCTCCATAGGCGGTTTCACTTCATCATGTAATAGAAAACTTACACATCTACTCTTACCACCAGACATTATAATCCCTCATCACATCCTCGCACGCTTACAACCTCTCCTTCTGCAGACCCTTCCAGCCCCATTCTTGCGCAATCAGCTCAGCCGCACGCTCACCGATACCAAGTACAGTCAACATGGGGTTGATAGTCGGCATCTCAGGGAAACATCCCGCGTCCGCGATTCTGACACCTTGTAGACCTCTAATCTTGAGTTCGGGATCCACAACGGCCATGTCGTCCTTGGTCACATCACCCATCTTGGTGGTACCAGCAGGGTGGTATACAGTGTGTGCGACGCGGCGACCGTACTCGGACAGCTCCTCGTCCGTGTTGACATTCGGTCCGGGAGCGACTTCGCGCTTGATCCAGTTGGAGAAGGGGGCTTGCTTTGCGATTTCACGGGCGGCTTTGAGACCGGCAACGATGGTGGCGGCGTCGTAGCCTTCGGGGTCGGTGAAGTAGCGGAAGTCGAGGGCGGGTTTGACAGTGGGGTCGGATGAGGTGAGGTAGATGCGGCCGCGGGAGCGGGGGCGGGGGATGTTGGGAGTCATGCAGAAGGCATCGATGGGAGAGTCGTAACCCATGCTGATGAACACGTTAGTTTTTAATGCAAAGTTGATGGGGGTTGCATTCTAAAGAACCTACCGAGCAGTGTTTAGGCAAAAGGGGATTTGGTAGCAGTGCATCATGATATCAGCAATGTCGCCGTCACCGCCCGCTGCGTTGGGCACCTCGCGGCGGAGGAAGATACCAGCGTCAGAGTCCATGGTGGTCTGGTTCGCGGGTACGGGCTTGTTGAGCTCCCAAAGGATGATGCTCTCGGGGTGGTCAAGCAGGTTCTCACCAACACCAGGAATATCCTTAACAACGGGAATACCAAGTTCGGAGAGCTGTTGCTTGGGGCCAAGACCAGAGAGGAGCATCAGGCGAGGGGTATCGACGGCGCCAGCGCAGAGAATGGTCTCGCACTTAGGGTTGAGGGTACGCTTCTCGCCGGATTGGAATGTGACGTCAATGCCGGTAACCTTGTCGCCCTTGACGTTGACCTTGCTGACCCACGCGTTGGTGAGGACAGTCAAGTTGTCGCGCTTCTCCTCGCCACGAAGGATAGGATGAATGTAGGCAACACTAGCGCTGCTTCGTCGGCCGTCGTCGGGGTTGTATGAGACTGAGAAGAAACCAACCGAGGGCTTGAGCGCGCCCTTTGTCTTGATTTCGTGGTTGAAGTCGTGGATGACGGGGATGTCCATGGCGGTTGAGCACGAGTCGATCCAGTCGAGGCAGAGCTGGTTCCGGTGCTTCTCGTGCACGGGCTGAACAGTGTTGCGCAGGTTGTCAAGTACGCGCATGAAGGTCTTGAAGCTCCAGCCCTTGCAGCCTTGAGCTTCCCACCTCTTGCAGTCGTACTCGAACGGCCTGAAGGAGATGAGAGTGTTGTGTGATGAGCAGCCACCAAGGACCTTTGCACGTGAGTGACGGATGTGAGAGTTGCCGTTGGGCTGTTCGGTGGTGCCGTAGTCGTAGTCGAGCTCGCCTCCAAGGAGATTGAGCCAGTCCTTGAGCAGCAATACACGGTCGTCCATGAAGTCGCTTGGGCCGGCCTCAATCATGAGGACCTTCTTGTTGGGCAAGTACTCTGTGAGTCGCGAGGCAATGACACAGCCAGCTGTGCCTCCTCCGACAATGACAAAGTCATACTCGGCATCCTTGGGGATGGAGGTCACGGTCTCGAAAACCATTGTATAGTTGCGTATGGGTGTTGTAGCTTGGGGTGGTGGCGAGACTATACTCAAGAATACAATTCTGCTGGAGAAGGGCTGTTTCACGTAAGAGGCAAGCTTATATATCTATACCGGACTATCGCCCTTGGGGACGATGTTGTCTAGACGAGCCGGGGGTCGCAATCGGGCGGTCGGCAGAAGGTCGGACAAGCAAAAAGTTGAGCTGTACGGGAGGTTGGGGTACGGGTTGAGAGTCGTGTGGCCGCTGCAGGATATGTAGTTTGCCTTCCAGATAAGACTGTGCTAAATAGGCCCGTTTGCGCGGTTGGACCAGGCGCTTGCACGTGCTCAACCGACGCTCCAGTACGTCAGCGACGTTGCGAGAGTGAAGCGAGGAAAGATTGGCGAGAAGCCGAACTACGGTTACACTGTACGCTGTGCGCAGGGCGTGGATGTGATTGATGGATTGATGCCTTCTAGAAGACTGACGCCACGGTTGCGACGATCTGGTGTCGCTCGCGATCCCAGGTCAAGAGAAAAAAAGGCGTCGTAAAAGACTCCGATGATGTGATGGCGGCGTTGGCGCTAGTACGACCCCGCTGGGCTGCAGGTTCCGAGCAGGCGATCCCTGTCTGCCTATGCCGCACCTTCCCCGATATTCGGGCGGTGAGCGCGGCAGCCATCGGACCACCTTTTTTATGCCAGACACCAGCATCGACAAGAAAGAGGGCTATTCCGCGTGAAAGCGAGCCTGTCGTGTCTGTCCAGCTTTCACCGTATCTGAAACAAATCTTGGTTCTGCACCTTGCTCTTATCAGCTGGCGCATCTCGTCGGCGACACTCCGAAGGATTGTACAGCCGTTAAAGGAAAACGAGGCGCAACAGCTGCATCACAGCTCCCGCCACTGCTATCGCTGTATACAAATGTTAGTCGAGGTTACATCACCGCGCCAGTCTTTGAGCCCTTGGCTGACAGACTGTAGATCCAACTGTGCATAAAGATTCCATCGGTGCATGTCGCCCATTGTGACCAGACTCGTGCAGCATCACATCATCACCAGAAGCGCCCTACCCAGATATCTGGCTCATCCATTGCGCCAACAAGCCACCCTCACCATGTCTCTCCCATATGCGCCCCGATCAGCCTACTACGACGGCAAGCTCCAGTCTGGCTCGTCCACCTCAACCTTCCAAACCATCGACCCCGCGACCGCCCAGCCTGTCGCAAACATCCACACCACCTCAAACGCCGGCATCGACGCTGCCATTGCCTCGGCACAACGCGCCTTTCCAACCTGGTCCTCGACGCCCCCAATCGAGCGCGCGCGCATCCTCCAACGAGCCGCCTCCCTCTTACGCGCGCGCAATGACGAGCTCGCACGCATCGAGACTAGCGACACGGGCAAGCCCTTCTCCGAGACGTCCACCGTCGACGTGGTGACGGGCGCCGATGTGCTCGAGTACTTTGCGAACCTCGTTGGAGGCGGTGGCATGAACGGCGAGACGGCACAACTGCGACCAGACGCGTGGGTCTACACGACCAAGAACTCGCTGGGCGTATGTGCAGGAATTGGCGCATGGAACTACCCTATTCAGATTGCATTATGGAAGTCAGCGCCCTGTCTGGCGGCAGGTAACTGCATGGTCTACAAGCCGTCAGAGTTCACTCCACTGCACTCGACTGTTCTGGCGGATATCTACGCCGAAGCTGGTGTGCCGCCCGGCGTCTTCAATGTCGTCCAGGGTGGCGGCGAAGTGGGCGCATACCTCACCAAGCACTCTAGCATTGCCAAAGTCAGCTTCACCGGACAAGTCTCGACCGGCAAGAAAGTCGCAGGCAGCGCATCGGGCGAGATGAAGTACGTGACAATGGAGCTAGGCGGCAAGTCCGCCTGCGTAATCCTCCCCGACGCCGACGTAGACCAAGCCGTCGACGGCGCCATGCTCGCCAACTTCTTCTCCACAGGTCAAGTCTGCACCAACGGCACCCGCGTCTTCATTCCCGAAAGCATCAAATCCGAGTTCGAGAAGAGGTTGCTGGAGAAGATGCAATACATCCGCCCCGGCGACCTGCACGACCCAGCCACAAACTTCGGCCCCTTGGTATCCAAGCCACACTACGACAAGGTGATTCAGTACATCAAGCACGGCCGCGACAACGACAAAGCGAAGCTGCTCTGTGGCGGTCCAGAAACACCTTCCTGGGTCTCTTCGCACAGCGACAAGGCCTACCACAACGGCTACTGGGTCCAACCCACCGTCTTCACAAACTGCACCGACGACATGAAGATTGTGCGCGAAGAGATCTTCGGTCCGGTCATGTCTATCCTCACGTACAAGACTGTTGACGAAGTCGTCGAGCGTGCAAACGCCACCGACGTGGGTCTTGCGGCAGGTGTCTTCACCAAGGATCTTAATCTCGCGCATAAAGTCATTGCTCAACTGGAAGCTGGCATCACCTGGGTCAACACGTGGGGTGAGAGTCCGGCTGAGATGAGCGTGGGTGGGTGGAAGCAGAGTGGTGTGGGTGTGGAGAATGGCAAGAAGGGGTTAGAGGCTTGGGTGCGGAACAAGAGCACGCTTGTGGAGATGGGCGGAAGTGTGCCGACTGTTTTCACCAAGTTGCAGGTGGGGGATGGATCAAAGCTGTAGTATTATTTAGATTATCATGATATTTCATTGCAACGAGCTGCAGATTATCGCATAGCGCCCCACCTGTCCAATAAATGAGCCGTGTACTTGTGGGCCATGAAACTTGGTGAACTACTAAACAACTGTTCATGGATTGCATTGTTTCAGGATCTTGTCTAAGAGGATTCCCGTATCTAGCTGCAATTATAGAGCTAGTTACACATGTCCATCACAGCAACGACATAAACCACTATTGACCTCTGTGCACTCGACCATCTTGTCTGATCACGAGTACCTCTTTACTGGAGCGAAGAAGACAGCGCCCCGATCGTCTCACAGAGCAGTTTGTTGATTCTCTCCGCACTCTCTGGCGTTATGATGTGTTCGTTACCCCTAACCACAATCCTAAGCCCGTCTTCAAGCGGGTAGGACACCACAGTAAGGATGCAAGGCACCGAATCGGGATTCTGAAACCAATGGAGTCTAGAGCTGGTGCCTTCAAAGTCGAATTCGGGATGTTCATTCAGGTTCTGGTGCTGGAACACGGAGTCGTACTCTGTATCGGCCGGCCAGTCTGTAGAGGTGCGGACTATTTCATCGAACCCCATCGAATCTGCTTCGCCGAGTGCGATGTACTGTTCTTGAATTGAACGTATTAGTTCAGTCGAAGTTGTCTTTGCATGCAACTGTGCGCGAACTGGGATGATGTTTAGACACGGGCCGACAATCTTGGAGATGGTCGGGATATTAGCATTGCGGCCAGCGACCATGTATCCATAGACGACATCTTCTTCTCCAGTGATTTGTGAGAGAACCTTTGCCCAGGCGGCGCTGACGAGCGAAGCCAGAGTAAGACCAGTCGGGACATGAGGCATGTCGATGATGTTTTCTGTCTGAACCTCAACTGGAGTCATGCCATGTCGAATGCTTGGACCGAGCAACGGGGTGGCTTTGGTCATTCGCGAACCGTGCAGGACATTACGCCAGTGCAGGGCTGAGACTGAGTTTTTGCCCCGAGTATAAGCCAGATAGGTGGAGTGGTTGTGCGCAGGCTCCACAGACTTTCCGGAGTAGATGGCAAAAAGTGCTTTCACGAACGACGGGAAACAAACACCGTCATACTGAGCGTGCGTGATGCGAATTGCCAGAAGGTGTTCATTGGAGTTGCCTCGTATCAGCATGAAGGCAGTAGCCAACTCCAGGGGATCCGTGGTCCGACTGTCCTCCAAGCAGACAGTGTCAGCTGCTTCTTCAAGACACATATCCAGATGAAACTCCGTAAAAGGTACGTGTGGTTTACGAAGGACAGTTTGCCAAAGTACCCCGTCGACGTAAACAAACTTTGTTCGGAGAATGGAGAAGTGTTGGACGAGAGTGGGGATGCTGCTTCGGAGACGGGAGGCGTCAACGCGGGTCCCCAAATTGAGGAAGAAGTAATTGAACGCCAGGGGTTGGATGTTGACACCCCGAGAGATGAAAAGATTCTGCATCCATGTGGTTGGAAGGATGTCGATGATGTCGTTTCCATTCACATTGGACGTATTCTCAGGGATGGCGTGAAGAAGATAGTCTCTTTGGGTTGTCGAGAGAAGGGAGAACGGCAGAACTGACTTCTGTTCACCTTCATGTTGAGAAAACTGAGCCACAGTCGCCAGGTTGACGAGCTTAGGGTGCTGGAAGATGTTTGCGATAGTAAGGTGAATCTCCTCTTCGCGCGCTGCAGCGACTATCTTCATTGCAGCAATCGAGTCCCCGCCCAGTTGGAAGAAGCTATCTTCTAGCCCGATACGACTAGCTCCGATTCCAAGTACCCGCGATAGTATGCGCTGTACTTTGAGCTCTGCAGTGCTTAGTTCCCGTTGCAGACCTTCCTGGCTGACTTCTGTCTGCGTTCTTGTTCTTTGTATGAGAGCTTTCCGATCTACTTTACCATTCTGGTTGATCGGAAGTTGATTCAACACTTGGATAGATTGCGGAATCATGTATGAAGGTAGCTGAACTTTCACAAGTTCATCCAGTTGCTGTTGGACTTCCTTGACCAGTTGCTGTCGCATTGGCTTGTTGCTCAAGGTCTGTCGTCGACGGTCGGCATGATCGGTTGGGAATGAAAACATCAACCCTGCCCTGTCACTCCCACCATTGATTTGACGAGGGTAAAATATAGCATCCAGACCGCCATGCTGTGAGTATTGTCTGTTCCAACTGATCTGCACTTGAGAGCCTGCTGCTTTAGCCATCTCGTCAAGGTCAGCGGCAGAGAGGCTTGGTATCCCCTTAGCTTGTCGATTTATGTGAGCAGTCCAATCCGTATGGACTGGCTTTCTGGCCTTACCGTCGCCCAGTGCGCCCAGCAGGCAGTTTCCAAAGAGCGTCTTGCTGTGGGATATGTTGCTCACGGCCAGAGGATGTGTGCTTGAAACATCCTTGACGCGCTGCTGGAGAGAGTCATGGTCCAGCCCCTGTTCCTGGAAGTCAATCCATTCATTGTCAGGGATAGTTCGGAGTCCTCCAGACGGTGGCTCCCAGGATTGAGAGTAAACGACTGCCGTGTAGCGGTAGGAGCTAAGCTCGTTTGTCGCTCTCATTCTCTTGGGCTGAATCTCCACATGCTGGACCAGATCAGGGAGACGATGTGTCAGTGAAGTAAAGAAGCCAGGATCGACCAACAGCTCTTGTTCGATCTGTTCCATATCCTCGACCAGACGTCGTAGGTCCTCTTGACTAGCTCTTTCGCCAGCCATGAAGAGCGCTCTGGCTGCATAGAATTCCCGGCGCAGGGCATAAGAACGAATGTCCCCAAAGAATAACGTTTTAACCCCATCAACCTTGAGCAAGTCTCGAATCACGTTGAAAAGATATCCTTGGCTGGGAAAGTACTGAACCACAGAGTTCAGAACAACCAAGTCGGCCTGGAGCGGCTGGTCTACTTTGCTGATGTCGGCTGCTGTAGCCTTATACATCTCCACTCTGTTGGCAAGCGAGGGGATTGACCTGGCTGTTCCCGTAACAAAGTCGACTGCCTTCCTTGACGGCTCGAATCCAGTATAGTGTTTCAAACTATCCCCGAGGTTGAACAGGATCATGCCAGATCCTGATCCGATCTCAAGAACGTTTTCCAATTGCCCGCCAACCTTGTCGTGGATCGAACCGATGGTCTCTTCCAACCACTCCTTCATTTCAGTCTTGTCGATGTCGGTGCCATCGTACATTGACGTCCATCCGATGAAATCTTGGCCCACTGTCTCAGACTGAATACCGATGATTGGAGCATATGTCTCGGTATCGAAGCGGTGTTCCCACGCGTTCACATGCTGTATACAGTTGTCATCGCTGTTCTGCGTGCTAATCATCTCGAAGTCTTCTTTGAGTGTGATGTAGCCAAAAAGCCGCTGGTTCTTGTCTTTTCGTTGTTCTGCTACAACAACTGCGTCGCGCACCAACTCATGCCCACGAAGGACAGTCTCAATCTCTCCTAGCTCGACACGGTTGCCCCGGATCTTTACTTGCCCATCGATGCGACCAAAGAATTCCATTTCTCCATCTCGAGGCCGCTGGCGGACATAGTCCCCAGTGCGATAAGCTCGCATTGTTTGGTGTCCGATTGTGACAGTCACAAAACGATCAACATCGCGCCTAGGATCGGTATATCCTCTGGCAACACCATCTCCAGTAACAACGAGCTCTCCGACAACTCCAAGTGGCACAAGGTTCTGTTCTGAATCCATCACGTATGCCGCTGAGTTACTGATAGCTCGTCCAATTGGCACACCATTGACACAATTCTCATCCTCGGGGAGAATGTACAGTGTACTCATGACCGAGTTCTCAGTTGGACCATATGCATTGGCAACGACTTTGTTTCTCACGAGATCTCGTGCCCTGAAGACGTCGTCTACATCAGCTCTGTCTCCTGCTACAAGTAGGGTATTCAAGTTGCCTATTGTATGTGGGGATTCGGCCAGGATGTAGTTCAGCAGAGCAGGTGTGATGAAAGCGATACGAATCTGGGATTCTGTGAACGCGCGTAACAAAGCATCCTGGTCTAGCACGGTTGTCGCATCGATACAAACGAGGGTACCTCCGTTGAGAAGACATGTGTAGATCTCCCAGGAAGACCCATCGAAAGCAAGATTTGCCATATGAGCCATCGCTCCGGAAGACTTGAAGTGCTCCATCTGATCATGTTGTGCCAAACGCACTATGCCGCGATGTTCGACCATAACTCCTTTGGGTTGACCAGTAGAGCCAGACGTAAAGAGAATGTAAGCCAGACTAGAGGCAGTTGGTCTGAGAGTAGGATCCAGTTCGCTCCTTGTAAACTCAAAATCTTCATCTGCGGCTAAGATATCGGGAATGTGGGCGAATTCAACATCTTTGGGTCCAGTACCTGGCAGTGAGATGTTTGGGCCGATCAAGACCAATTTGTTGCCTTCAATGGTCGAGAAGATGGACTCCATCCGTTTTTCAGGCGCCTTATGATCGAATGGTAGATAGGCCAAGCCGGCTTTGAGGATCCCAATGAAAGCAACGATTGCTTGACAACAACGATGTGCCAGAACACCAACTGCTGTTTCAGGGGCAAATGACTTCGTGGCTAGGAACTTTGCTAGCTTTTCTGATTGTGAATCTAGCTGTGCGTAAGTCAAGTCTGTTGATGTGTCCTTTACAGCCACCCTTGAAGGTTGCATAGCGGCTTGCTGGCGAAAGACGTCCACGATGCTGGAATTCCGGGGATAGGCTGTTTGATGCATGCGGAGGAGCCCCATTTGGTCGAGCTGAGTGTGAGCCTCAACGGTCATGAGTGGCACTACGGCGATCTGTGTCTCTGGCTTGTCGAGACAGTTGTCGAGGATGCTGGTGAAGACAGATGCTAGCGAATGTATAGTCTCCGGGACAAACAGCTCCTCCGAGAAATATATATAGCCTTGGAAATCATTCTTTTCCTGGAAGAAATGGAACTCGAGATCGAATCGTGAGGTCGCTAGGCCTTCTATGGCTTCTGTCTCGACGCCCTCAAAATCGAGCTTCCCTATATCTTGCTGTGAGTGAACAGCGAAGGCGACCTGCGCGAGAGGGTTGCGTGAAGAGTCCCTGTCCCCTTGCAATGCAGAAACAATACTTTCAAAAGGTACGTCCTGGTTGGCAAGGGAGTCTACTACTGTCTTGTAGGCATGCTGCAATAGCTCTTCGAAGGTTTCATCCTGGATCTTCATTCGGATGCACTGAATATTGACGAAAAACCCAATCAGATCTCCGAGCTCTGGGCGACTTCTGTTCGCATTAGGGACTGCGATAGTTGCATCATCTTGGTTGGTCAAACGATAGTGTGTGGCTCTGAATACGGCAAGGAGGACGACAAATGGAGTCATTCCACGTTGCCTAGCAAATCTTTGCAGCCTGTTATAGAGCTGATGGCTGATGTTGAGTCTCTGCGTTCCTGCTTTACCAGACAGAGTCGTTGGTCGTGGTTTATCGTAGAGGAATTCTGCGGGCCGACTTCCGTCTAATTGGTTGATCCAGTAGTCCAGCTGCCGTCGATGTTCTTGAGCTTGCTCTGGTAGTCGCTGCCAGACAGAAAAGTCTCTGTATTGAATGGGTAAAGGCGGCAAGCAGAAGATGGGATCTTCGTTGCGGATGGCAGAAGCATATAGAGCGCTTAATTCTTTCTTCAGAACATCAACTGACCAGCCATCTGAGACGATGTGATGCATGACGATCGATAGAACATGAGAAACATCGTTGATACGATAGATTGATATCCTCCAGCCAGGCTCGTACCGAAGATTGAATGGTGTTTTCTGATCCCGTTCAAGTGCTTCGAGCAGAATCTTGTCATCGTTTGAACCAACGTCGATGACATTGAGTTCTCTTCCTCCACAGAAAGGATGAACTTCCTGTAGGCTTTCGCCATTGTTGGTGGAGAATGTTGTCCTTAGTGTTTCATGACGATGCTCTATTGCCTGTAATGCAGCCTTAAGTGCAGGGAGTTGGAGTGGACCTTTGATGCGTACTGCAAGGTGCATGAGATACCAATCTAGTCCTGGGTGCAGTTGTTCTAGGAACCAGAGTCGACCTTGCGCAAACGATTGAAGGACGGGTCGCCGATGATCAATTTTGGTGATTGCACTGTGACTTGAAATGGGAGGGTCGACCAATCGGTTGGCTAGCTGACCCAGTCGCTGCACCTGGAAAACGTCCTGAACAGAAAACACTAGGTCGACATTACGCGCCTCGCTCACAAGCTTCATAGCCGAAATTGAGTCGCCCCCTAGTTGGAAGAAGCTATCGTTCAGTCCGATAGAGGTAGCATCGATATTCAGCACTTGAGCCCATAGCTTCTGCAGCGCCATCTCATGCTTTGTTTCCGGTTTCCGATTGGAGCTCTCGTTTTCCTGTCTTCGTAAACGTGCTAGTTGATCGGTCGAGAAAGAGCCTCCGATCTCGCGTAGTCGCCTTCGATTTATTTTACCAGAGGTTGATATCGGGAATTCAGTGAGTCCAAAGTAAACCTCAGGCACCATATTTCCGGGTAGTCGCTGAGATAGCTCGTTGTCTACTCGGGCTGGGTGTACGACGTATACTCCAGAGTCCCCATCGGACAGCTTGCCATCGAGCAGCTCGGGATTTGCCTTCAGGAATGCTGCAACCATCGGCTTTCCTCCTGTCGGCGAGATGAGTTCAACTGCTATTTCCTTGATATCTGGAATATGTTGGTAGAGACAGTGCTCAATCTCAGCAAGCTCAATGCGTTGGCCCCGCACTTTGACCTGACCATCTTTGCGGCCTACATAGACCAGATCACCATCTGCAGTGTGGTAGACCAGATCGCCTGTCTTGTACAATCTACCTCGCCGCCCACTGTAGCCTTCACAGCCTTGAAGCAGCCAAAGAGGATCATGGATAAAAGCTGTCTCTGTCTTCTTCGCATCGTCCAGGTAGCCGCGGGCTAGGTTTGGTCCCTCAACCAGCAGCTCTCCAATTGCGCCTAGCGGTGCTAGTCTATTGTGATCATTAGGATTAGCCACCCAGCTAACTGACGCAATCGGCTTCCCAATGGGTTCCGGATCGAGACCCTTCATATCAGGACTTGCGACACAGGAGACGCAACATTCAGTGGGCCCGTAGGCGTTGATCAGTCGTACGCGGCCGCTCCAAATATCGCAGTCTGAAGCGTTGACCTTCTCGCCGCCAAGAACCAATGTTTTCAACGATACTATCTTCTGTGGGTCTAAAATCCTCGCCACGGCTGGTGTTAACAGCGCCCAGGTCACCTTCATCGCATTGATTGTGTTGACGAGATCGTCGCGGCGCTGCGTCTCAGAAGGGATGCATATACATGCGCCATGTAGGAGAGCTGTGATGATCTCTAAGATGCAGGCATCAAAGGTGTAGGCAGCGAATTGAAGAACCCGTGTATCCTCCGTGATACCTAACGCTGGTCCTTGACATGAGCAACTCGTGGAAACGGCCTTATGTTCCATTTGAACACCCTTAGGTACTCCAGTGCTACCAGAGGTAAAGATGACATACGCTGTATTGCCTGGCTGCACTGCTGTCCCAGTGCTGTAAGGCTTTGTCGTCAACTGGTCAATAAAGTGCCCGGTAATTTCCACGACAGTGGGGATATGTTCAGACCAGAGATTGGCGTACTGAGATGATGTGAGCATCATGTTGGCCTTAGTTTGCGTGAAGATCTCTCGATGTCGAGATACCGGATGGCTCGGGTCTAAGGGCGCAAAGGCACCCCCTGCTTTTAGCACAGCCAGCATGGCTACGACCATCCACATTGACTTTTCGAAACATAATGGCACTATGGTTTCTGGTTTGACACCGATGTCGACCAAATAGGTCGCTAGCCGCGATGATCGTTCGTCAAGCTCTTTATACGTCATCACACCATCCCAAGCACAGATTGCATCCGCTTCAGGCTGTGATTTCGCGTTGTCCGAGTAAAGATCGTGGACACAGCGATTGATAGCTGGTGGTAGCCTCTGGTTCCACATCCAGAGCTGCTGTTCATCATTTTGCGTAAGCATTCCAATATCCATGACTCTTGTTCTTGAATCTCCTCGCGCTAGCTGCTGCATGACGAAGCTTAGCTGGCCTAGTATTCTCTCAACTTGCCACTGTTCGACCAAACGCGCATCAAAACTGGCCGTGATTTTGACACCCTCTTTAGCCAGCTTGCACTGCACCATCAACCCATACGTCGTGAAGTCCTGCAGACCCGAGCCGAATTCCCACGTCCCAAACATATCGTCTGATTGGAAGGCGTCCTCTGCAGGCTGTACTATCAGCAGCGTCTGAAAATTGCACGCATGCTCGGTGTCTGGCCCAAGCTTGGCGATTCGTTGTAGGCCCGTTTGCTCGAAGGGAATCATCTCAGTTGCCTGTTTCTGTACTGTTTCAAGAAATTCTAGTATAGTCGAGTCTCTCTGCAACCGTATGCGAACAGGCACTGTTGCAATAACAGGACCCACCAAGGACTCGATGCCAGCCACTGGTGCGTTTCGACCAGTAACTGTCGCCCCAAACACAACGTCGTCTGAGCTGGTGTAGCCGCTAGCAACGATTGCCCATGCAGCACGAACAAGTGTCGAGATAGTAGTATTCGAGGTTCTCTTGGGAAGTGGTGGGCAACAATACTCCGCTGTTGCATCCGCAACTGGCTGCTGCACCCCAGACACTAGTGGTGGAAAGACATTCGCGTCGCAGTCGCTCAGTGTGGTTCGCCAGTATTCTGCGAGAGCGTCTTCGTCCATCTGACGGAGATACTTGATGAAACTGTTGAAACCAAGCTGCTTTCCCGGTTCCGTGCCATTGTATGCTGTTTGCACAGCACTCAAGATATGATTGAGCGCCCAACCATCGTATATGGCGTGGTGAATTGTCCATACGAACCACTTCTTTTCTCTGCGAGTGTCCCGAACAAGACCGTAGCGTGCAAGCGGCTTGCCAAGTTGCATAGATGACAGCTTGTCTCGAGCTAGATAAGTAGCGAGGTCGTCTGCATCTGCCCACTTTATCTTTTCCGCTATGACAGCCTGCAAAAGGCCAAGGGTCTCATGTATGACAATTCTTGTTCGCAGGATTTGGAAAGACTGAACCGTCTTCTCCCATGCAATCTTAAAGGCTGTCTCATCTACTTCCTCCCGCAACTCCAGCACGGTCTGCATGATGTAATCCCCCGGCCGCTTCACAGTCAGCGACATCAAGCCTTCCTGAAGCGGCGAGCATGGGTAGATATCCTCGACGATACCCCTATCGATGGCGCACTTGACTGCCACCTCGTGGTGTGTCTGCGTTGCATCAACCCCGTCGTCCAGGAGAGAAAATGGGACGATGTTGTCATTGGGAACGTAAACATGCTCTTGCGCTACGGCAGCCAACTGGATAAGTTTGGGATATTGGAAGATTTTTGCCACGGTGAGTCGGATGTCTTCGTCTCGAGCTAAAGCAACCAGCTTCATCGCCGCGATTGAGTCTCCACCTAGCTGAAAGAAGCTATCATCTAGACCAATGCGGTCCGAATCGATGCGAAGTACGCGCGCGATTAACTGCTGGATCTTTGATTCTGCCCTAGTGAGCTCTCTTTGGAACTCCTGGCCTTTTGCAACCTGGATCTCGGTTCGCTGTGTGAGGGCATCCCGGTCTATCTTGCCGTTCTGGTTGGTTGGCATGGTTTCGAGGAATGTAACTGTCTGGGGAACCATATAGGCAGGCAGCTGAGCTTCAAGCATCTCCTGGAGTTGTCCTTGGATTCTCTGTAGGGTTTGTTGCCGTAACGGCATGCTACTCAGAGTGTGTAGGGGTCGCTCTGCGTGGTCGGTGGGAAATTGAAACATCACCCTGTTCTCTCCCCCACGCGGTGGGTATCGATGGAATATAGCGTCAATACCACCGCACTGTGAGTGCTGCCTGCTCCAACTAACTTCAACGCGGCAGTTGGCTTCCCTCGCCAACTCATATAGGTCAGTAGCAGACATGGATGAAGAGCACTGTGCCCGCTGACACACGGATGAGTACCAGTCTTGAGGATCAGACAACTCTGCCACTGCGTTGTCTATCGATTCGATCAGACACCGACTCACGATCGTCTTACTATATGGAATGTTGCTCACGGCCATGGTGGATGGGCTGGAATTGCTTTGCAACTGTGCCAAGAGAGATTGGCGATCTAGCTTGTGCTCCCTGAAGTCGATCCATTCATCGTGCCCCACGTGTCGAATCTTCTGCTCTTGCTTTCGCCCATCTCGCGGCTTAACATGGATAACCGCGGCGTAACGATAGCAACTTAGCTCATTTGTTGCCTTCATCTTCTTTGGCAAAATCTCGACATGCTCTACTTGGTCTGGCAGGCGCTCAGGCAGAGCAGTGAAAAAGGCTGGATCTACCAGGAGCTCCTTTTCGACCAGCTCCATGTCAGTTATCATACGACTGACTTCAGCCCTGTCCGCACTGTCGCCAGCCATGAACATGGCTCGAGTTGCAAGAAATTCTCGGTGTAGCGCATAAGACCGCACATCGCCAAAGAAGATGGTAGAGACGCTCTCTAGTCCCAGTAGTTGTTGTGTGGTTTTGAAAAGGTACTCAAGGCTTGGGAAGTACTGAATGACTGAGTTGATGACGACAAGACTTGCATCGATAGGCTCTAGTCGATCGATCTCTGTCGCTGTGGCCTTGTAGACTCTGACCTTGTCTGCCAACGTGGGTACTGATCTGACTGTGTCTTTGACGAATTCCACAGCTCTTGAAGATGGATCCAACCCGACATAGCTTTCTAAACCATCTCCCAGGTTGAAAAGAACCATACCGGTACCTGTGCCTACCTCGAGGACCTTGCCAGGTGGATGACCGTTGAGCATCGTATCGATCGTGTCGTCTAGCCACTCGTTCATCTCCACTTTGTCGATCGCGCTGCCATCGTACATAGATGTCCATCCGATGAAGTCTCGCCCGATGGCCTCAGGAAGCACTTTGGAGATTGGCGTATAGACTTTGGAATCAAACTGGTTTTCCCATACATCGACATGCTCCGATTCGTCGATACCACTTGGTTTTTCCTCAACCAATTCGTAACCCTCGTAGACTGTGACAAAAGCGGCTAGTCGAGCAGCCTCATCTGCATTTTGCTGCTGCTGCACCACAGCTACAGCCTCTCTTACAGACCCGTGGCTACGGAGAACGTGCTCAATCTCACCCAACTCGATGCGATGTCCCCGAATTTTGACCTGTCCGTCCATGCGGCCGAAATATTCTAGCTGGCCGTCTGCAGGACGATATCGCACGTAGTCACCGGTACGGTAAGCCTTCACGACCTCGCCCCCAATTTGTATCGTTATGAAGCGGTCTATGTTGCGCTCAAGGTCGGTGTATCCACGTGCCAGGCCGTCACCCGTGACTACAAGCTCCCCAACGACCCCTAGCGGAACAAGCTGCTGCTTCAAATCCATGACATAGGCGCCAGAGTTGCTAAGTGCACGGCCAATGGGCACGCCGTTCGGGTACTGCCCTTCCCTTGAAAGCACAAAAGTTGAGCTAAACGTTGTGTTTTCGGTTGGCCCATAGCCGTTGATGATCTTGCCTGTGCGAAGTGTTCTCATAGAAAGGATGTCGTTTGATTGAAGTGCTTCACCCCCAACGCAAAGCATATCGAGACCAGCGAACAGTGCAGGCGATTGCTGAACGTAAGTCCTGAAGAGAGATGGTGTCATGAAGGCTGTGCTGACATGCTCTTGACGAAAAGTTCGTAGCACAGCCTCTGGATCCAACACTGTCAGTCTGTCGATGCATACTAGCGTCCCGCCCTGCAGTAGAGAAGCATATATCTCCCACGTAGAGACATCAAAGGCCAGATTCGTCATGTGCGCCATGACTGGCGAAGCCGGCAAATGCTGCACAAAGTTATTGTCCCTCACTAGGCGCACGATACCACGGTGTTCAATCATGGCTCCCTTCGGTTGACCGGTTGACCCTGACGTAAACATAACATAGGCAAGGCTATTGGCTGTGGGCTTGACAATATCCCGAGAGGCGGACCCTTCGTGAGTTTGCTCGTCTAACGCTTCTGTGATGCGTACGAATCTAATGTCACTAATTTCCACGTAAGGAGGCTGTACGTCTTCGCCTAAAAGCACAAATTTGGGGCCTGAGAGTGAGCCAAGAATTGTACTCATCCGTTTGGCCGGAACCCTGACATCGAACGGTAAATATGCTAGACCCGCCTTCAGAATAGCCAAAAATGCGACGATAGTCTGACAGCTGCGCCCTGCTAATACGCTGACCAGTGTCTCCGGAGCGAGCGATTGTTTGGCTAACCACTGAGCAAGAATGTCAGATTCCTTGTCCAGCTGAGTATAAGTCATGGTTACTGATGCGTCCTTCACAGCAATCCTGGACGGACAGAGGGAAGTTTGTTGGCGAAACAGATCGACTACACTCGACTCTCGTGGATAATCCGTCTTTTCAACCTGGATCAGACCCATGCTATTGAGCTTCGATAATTCGACGTCGCATAACAATGACAAGGACGCAATCGCAGCTTTCGGCTCTTGGAGGCACCCCTCGAGAACGATTTGGAAGATCGACAGCATGTTGTCGATCGCCTCTGGAGAATAAATGTCGGTGGAATAGACAACTTCACCCTTCAGGCTGTCTTCTTGCTGGAAAAAGTGGAATTCAAGATCAAATCTTGACTTCGGTGCATTATCCAGGCTCTCTGTTTCCAGGCCCTCAAGTTTCAGTTGTCCCAAGTTGCGCTGGGAATGCATAGCAAAGACAAGCTGTACAAGGGGATGACGAGACAAGTCTCTGCTGTTCTTGAGCTTGGACACAATGTTCTCAAACGGGACGTCTGCGTTAGCAAGTGAAGCAATTGTTGCTTCATAGACTTGCTGAACCAGTTCTTCAAACGATTCGTCCGCGTCAATCGTAGTCCGAAGGCACTGTAGGTTGACAAAGAAACCGATCATATCTTTCAGCTCCCATCGATCCCGATTGGCGTTCACAGTGCCAATGGTGGCATCGTTCTGGCCAGTGAGGCGGAAGTGTGTAGCTCTGAAAGCCGCAAATAGCACCATGAACTTTGTGACTCCTTTCGCTTTGCAGAACTGCAGCAGCTGAATGTATAGCGGGCCGTCGATTTGGATCGTCTGCTTGGAAGCTTCCCCAGATAAAGCAGCTGGTCGAGCTTTGTCGCAAAGCAGCTCAGCGGGTCTGCTGGTATTAAGCAGATTGAACCAATAATTGAGCTGATTCCGGTGTTTGTCGATCTGGGATTGTTGCCTCTGCCACACAGAGAAGTCTCGATACTGAATAGGCAGAGGTTGGACTTGAACAAGAGGGTCGTGGCCTCGTATTGAGGCTGAATAGAACGCGCCCAACTCGCGCGTAAATACATCAGTAGACCAGCCATCAGAAATAATGTGGTGCATGATGACAGACAGAACGTGTTCTTCGCTGCCGATGCGATAGATTGACACTCGCAAACCGGCCTCCTTGCGCAGGTCAAAGGGAGTTATCTGGTCCCGATGCAGTATTTCTTCGAGGCTTTTGATGTCTATGTCGATGATACTCAGCTCCTTAGCATGGTATGGATGAACCAGCTGCATGCTTGTATCTCCAATGGTTTCAAAAGTCGTCCGGAGGGTCTCATGGCGGCTCTCAATTGCATTCAGCGCAGATTGGAGCGCTGTCAGCTCCAACGGGCCTCTCATACGCACAACAACCGGCATGAGGTACCAGGTAAGACCAGGGTGAAGTTCTTCTAAGAACCACATCCGACCTTGTGCGAATGATTGTGCAACATACCCGTCATGGCCAACAGGTGGAATGGTGGTATTAGACACATCGACTGAAGGGATCGCTGCAGAGGTCAACTTATCTAGCGTGGGGTTCTGGAAGACGACTGCCACAGTGATGTATATTCCTGATCTGCGCGCTTCACCCACCAGCTTCATAGCTGCTATCGAATCGCCGCCTAGATCGAAGAAGCTATCATCCATACCAATTGAACTGGCGTCAATGCTTAGGACCTGTGCCCAGAGATGATGCAAGATCTGCTCTTTCTCAGTCTCTGGTTGTCGCTTTGGGTCATCGCTATACGTTCGAAGCTGGGCCAATTGTTGTGCAGAAAAGGAGGCGCCAATCTTGCGCAGCTTCTGCCGGTCCACTTTAGCGGATGTTGTCAATGGAAGCTCCGCTACGGCAAAGTACACCTCAGGCACCATGTCCTTTGGCAGACACTGAACCAGCAACTCATCCAGATAGGTTGGGAAGATGACTCGCACTTCCAAGTCACCGTTAGAAGTCTGTTGGACGAGTGCATGGCGTGGCTCTTCGCTTAGCTGCACGAATGCTGCCACCATCGCTTTTGCTTGGTCACCTGATGGGAGGATGACTTCAGCCGCAACTTGTTTGATGCCTGACATGCATTGGTTGAGATGATGTTCAATCTCGCCCAACTCAATTCTTTGACCCCTCACCTTGGTTTGGCTGTCCTTACGACCCGCGTAAACCAGATTACCGTCTGCATCATAGTAGACTAGATCACCAGTCTTGTATAGTCTTCCCTGTCGTCGAGTGGATTCATCGTTGCGGTTGCCTTGCCTCAGCCAGAGAGGGCCATCAACGAAAACAGCCTCAGTTTTCGAAATGTCGTTGAGGTACCCGCGTGCCAGGATTGGTCCCTCTATCAGAAGTTCGCCAATTGTGCCAAATGGCACTAGCTTGTTGTGGTCTTCCGGGTCGGTAACCCAACTAAAAGAAGCCATTGACGTGCCTATCCTTCCCGATCGGAAATCTCGGTCGGTATTGGAATACGAAGTGCACCAAATGCTACACTCCGTCGGGCCGTAAACGTTCACCTTCACGATATCGTCACCCCATCTCTTCCAGTCGGCCTCATCCACTCGTTCTCCTCCAAGGACGAGCACTCTCAGAGAAGGGACCGTGCTGGGATCTAGTAGACGAGCAACAGTCGGCGTGAGTTGAGCCCAGTTGATGTTATTGTTGTTGATTACTTCGGATAAGGCGTTACGTCGATCGTCTTCCGAAGGGACACAGACACAGCCGCCGAATATCAAAGTCGTAAAAATCTCAGCGATACAAATATCGAACGTATAAGCTGCGAACTGGAGTGCTCGGCTATCAGATCCAAGTTTCATTTCCATTCCATGGGCAAGGCAGCTTGTTGCGATTGCTCTATGCTCCAAGACAACGCCTTTCGGAACACCAGTACTACCAGATGTGAACATAACATAGACAGCATCTATTGGCTTGACTTTGGACCGGATCTTGGTTTCCCATGGCAATTGATCAACAAAGGTTTTGTCGATTGCCAGAAACTGCAGACCCGAATTTGGCCAGGGAGCGGCGTGCTGTACGGAAGTAAGGACCAACTTCGCATTGGTCTGCTTGAATATCTCTTCGTGGCGGGCTCTTGGATGCATTGGGTCTAGTGGCACGAACGCGGCACCAGCCTTGAGAACAGCTAACATAGCTACGATCGCCCATATCGACTTCTCAAAGCACAGTGGTACCATCACCTCGGTTCCAATGCCTTGAGTGACAAGATAGCTTGCCAATCGTGTTGAATGCTGATTCAATTGCTCGTAGGTCATGTTGCCGTCCCATGCGTGAATGGCGCATGCGTTCGGTCGAGCTATAGCTTGCTCTTCGTATAGGCTGTGAACGCAGCGATTGACCGCTCGCAAAGGTCCGCGGTTTCTCTCCCATATCTTCTCGACATCGAGTTTGTTGACGTCAAACAGTAGCGATCCCGGCATGTCGACTCTTGTTGAATGAAGTTTCCGTGTAACAGAATTCAGATGGGAAGATGATGAGTCAGCTGATCTCAGTGTATGAAAAGCTGTAATTTGAGATTCAGGACTATTTTTCGAGCATATTTATGTCAGAAGATAAGCTCACAGGCGTCGCTTCACAGATCGAGACTAGTAGATTTGTACAATCTAGATACAACACCAAGGTATCTACCTGACGAAACTCACTGCCTCCTCCATCGTCCACTTGGCTACAATGGTCTAAGTCTGCCGCTAAGATTCCACCTCTTAATCTAGATGCTTGGGATACATGAAGTACCCTTACTATTCGGACCATCTCGTGTCAGCGAGTGTTACGCGTTCCACCGAGAAAGTAGCCTATGGCCCTATAGATCAAGTCGGACATCGCACGTACTTTTTCTTACAACATGATACGCTTGCATTGTGGATACGCGGAGGTTTGAGTGATTAGGGAACGATATGTCGACATGCTTATAGCTCCCTTTCTAAGTTTGGCAAAACGTAGCGACTCCTCGGCATTCGAAGTTTCGACTTGTTCATCGATATCCTCGCCATATGGATTTCATGATGGTTGCCCGAAAGAAGCTTTTCTAGAAGGGACGGCTTCCTTAGACCTCTGAGAGAGATCTCTTTGCGGGTCTATACTATGTCCATCATCCGGCACTTGCGGCTTCGAAAGAGGGATTAAAATATAGTCCAAGAGTATAACGTGGATTCTCGAATGCACATTGTCCGAAAACCCACCGCTTGTAAGCACGCTAAGGATAGGAAACCATTTCCCCCACCACTGACGCACGAATGGGGTCCTCCCGCACTAATTACCCCAGCGGCTCGACTCGTCCCTTTTCGGGCCGTGCGGGATGTCTTACCCCGTATTACCCGAAAGTAGTCGCGATGTAGACGAGAATTGGAAATCAAAGATGCCCATCATCGATCAGACTCGGTACTTCAGCCGGCGTAACTACGGTCAACTCAACCACTTACAAACTCACACGCAACGGCTGCACCTTTCCGATGCAGGTTTCGGCACCAATTAAAGTTTTCGAGCACATCTACTAAATGTACCGTGTAGCGAAGTTACGCGTCATGTCATCAAGCATAGCCCAGCCAGTGCGACACGTATGTGTTCTTCTTTTGACCGTAACTCCTCATCTCAGCCTAGTATATCTTGGATGTTACGATGAACCGCAGATAAACGAATCCGAACCAATAGACAACGGGGGCTTCTCCATCTTGATCTTTACGAGATTGGGTTTCCTAGTCTGCACTGCATGTAGACTTGTCAACTCCGCATAATGCTGGAAGCATCTTTCAACATAAATTACTTTTGCCCCAAGAGATTCTGTGACTTCTGGTAGTTCCAATACGACAGTTTTCCTCTTCTTTCTGGAGAAGACTGATACACTCCAAAAATGGAGCCTGAGCCTCTAGACCCAAGGGCAATCGGTTTTATGCGTCGAAACCTTGCAATACTGCGACAAACCCCAATGTCGGTAGTGCTTGCTGGTCTCATCCTCTTAGCATCTATGTATCTCCCACGGTTCATGTTCAAGTCGCAGATGGCGAGATTTCCACTCATCCTAGAGCATCTAAGTAGCGAGCAGCGGCGAGCAAGGTTTCTCGCAGGAGCAAAGGCACTCTACAAGGATGGCTCTCAGAAGGTATTTCGACATAAGCAGATACATTTCATTCTATTAACTCGCTCCTAGTTTAGGGGAATGGCTTACAGAATGCAAACTTTAGATGGTAAGCGAGGTCTGACAGTACTACAATTATTCTTACTAAATCCTTCTAGAGCAACAGATTGTCCTGCCTCTTTCCGCATTGACAGAACTTCGCAAAGCCCCTGAGGAGGTGCTATCCTTCTACGACATGTTTTCCAAAGTATGTAATCCATGCGACATGAGTGGCGTAGTTGCTCACGCGCACCCAGGGCCTGGAGGAAACCTACACTTATGTCGACATCAAATTTCTACCCGAGGTTGTCGATACAATCAAGAGGGATCTTACACCCAAGCTGAGTAAGCATGGGCATGATGCTCCAGTATGCGTATCATGCTAATGAAAACAGCGAAAATCACCTCAAAGATTTGTGATGAGGTTGATGCTGCACTAGACACATATCTCCCCTCCCACGGCAAGTGGACGGAGATCAATGTGTCAAAAACAGCTCTGGATATTATTGCAAAAGTCTCAGCCCACCTCTTCATCGGAGGCGATGTTGCCAACGACCCGGGTTATCTCGAATGTACAAAGAACTTTACCGTCCATCTGGGTGAGGCCACCAAAGCAATCAAAGTCACGCGGGTGTGGCTCAGACCCTTCCTAGCTCCCCGACTGCCAGAGGTGAAACGTCTTCTCGAGACGAGGACAAAGCTAAGAAGCTATGTCAAGCGTGTGATCGAAGAGAGAGAGGCCAAGATCAAGGACCCGGACTGGGTACCACCGGACGACATGATGCAATGGCTCCTTGATCGAGCTGACCGCCAAAAGGACACGTTGGAAGACTGCACAGCTGCCCAAGTTCTTCTTATACTTGGAACGATCAATGCATCGATGCAGACTTTGATTGCCATTTTGCATACGCTAGCAGTGACTCCCGAGTATGTCGAGCCGCTTCGAGAGGAGATTCGAAATACTTTGAACAGCGACGGATCGATTCCAGTCAGTGCGATGAAGGAGTTCGGGAAAATGGATAGTTACTTCAAGGAGGTGGGCATGCATTTTCCGGTCATTATCGGTATGTGCTTTCCTCGTGCCTTTGCTTGCTCGATCTCGTTTCTTACGCGAAGCTAAACAAAACTTGCAACAGAACCGTATTTCCGCCGGGTTCGCAAGGGCTTCACTCTGTCAAATGGGCAGTACCTGCCCCCCGGCGTAGCTATAGTCATAGCGAACCCGCTCGTCACAGACTCCAAGTACGATACGTTTGACGGCTTTCGACACTACAAGTTACGCGAGGCCAGCGCGCAAAAGGATAAGCCTAACCATCGATGGCTTATTGCAAATGAAATTGAGTTCCGATGGGGCTATGACAACCATGTCTGTCCTGGCAGATTCTATGCGCATAATCTGCTCAAGATTATCTTTGCTAGAATAGTCGAAAATTACGATATCAAGATGCCAGGGGATGTTGAGGGAATAGAGGCTAGGTACCCAATGGTCGAGCACGGGAATGTTGTCATGGAACCAAGAGACAAACCTCTTCTACTCAGGAGGATTAAGAGCCATCAGGGTCACGTAGATTGACGTGTACAGACAGATGCTTATGCATGCGAAGACTAGCTCGATATGGAGGAAATCTTGTTGAGAGAGCACATGATGCTATGCGGAGGAAAATGGAGGTTGGAAGGCGTGCAGCTTTGCTTACTATACACATGTGCTTCGTCTACTTCATCACAGTGTAGAACCGCCAATGTTGGTCGCCTCACATAATGTCCATTATCTCTCATGGAGCAGCAATCTTCCAAAAGGCACCAACGACTCTTCTTTCGGATTAGGAGATAGTGATGCAATCAACTCCACCAAGACTTACCAGTACTTTCCATGCATCTGTACTGCGCAGGGTACGCTAGGAGCACGTGACCAGCCGAAGAAGCAACCTGCACCTAGTGTACACCTTCAAGGTCACCAATTTTTGACGGCGCCACACCTGAATTGGCTTAGAGGCTAGAGTTTAGAAAACTGAGTGCATGGAGGGCAGCACGCGGCTGAGCATGGGGAAGCCGTTGGCTGTTGAGCTAGGACCGGACCGACGCTACAAAAAGCATGACTGCGCACATGCTCGGGTTGGACCGCAGCAAACTGGTGGCATGTGCTGTATCTTGCGGATGAAATAGCAAAACACTCGCGTATCTGTGTAGTACGCTTGACTGGATCAACCTGGAGCTGTACTTGCCGTTGCAAGCGATTTACGAGGCTGCCCCAACTGGACTGTACATCTTGAAGGACCGGTGTTGCGAGGTTTGTCTGCTGCGAAAGTCAAGTGGTGCGCTGATTTCCCCACCTTTTCGCCTCGATTACTGCAGAAATGATTTCTTTTTCCAGCCCATTTTCCCGGTTCGGCAATACCAACTAAGCCTCCAGCACACCCAAAGACGATTCTGAATACTCATCCATACTGCTGACACGACTTTCCAACGGACATCCAATGCAAGAAGCTCTTTGTTGCATCTGTAAGACATGCAATGCATCTAATCTTCGTAAGCCGCTAGATGAGAGAGCAGGAACACTCGCTGCGTTCTATATTTCACGCCTGGTGTACTTCTACCTACTAGGCATCACAGAACTTGTGTTCTGTATACCAATATAAAACGAGAAGATACCTTCTCCTTCCATGAAAACAGGAGGCTGGGTTTGATCCACGATAACATAGCTCAATCAAGTGAAGATCTGTTCGGTAAAGCGGTCAGGAATATAGGTCACGGGTTGCATTCTTCAAAAAGCATGCGATAGTACGCGGAGACCTTCAGTCGCCGAAATAACAATTTGATACGATGATGCTTGTTGCTTTTGATGCAGTCCAATTTCACGCGGCCAATGAAAGCTTTGCCCGCTGCGATATGGGGTACAGAATGCATCGGTTGTTTCCATGCACGTGAGCTATGTAGGTTTCATGAGCAAACAGAAGTACATAAATAGAGAGAGAGACACCCAGAAAGAGAGCATCGACTCTTATATCCTCTACCTACTCCTCATCATTACCTTACTCAAGCTCCTTGAAACACCACGATGGCCAACCAAAACCTTTCACGCCCATTCCTCATCGAATTCAACGGCCAATTCGTGGTCAACCCCAAAATGGACGACAACATGGCTTTCGACGGCCGCATCCCAGCCAGCATCGGTGACCGTGCGAATGCCGCTGTTTTCGAGCTCCATAATGGCGTTTTGCACAAAGCTGGCGGACTAGGACCCCCTATGCACTTTGGTCGTTTCCGTATCGAGCCGCTTGCGTTTATGCCGATGCCCGTTTACTGGATCCCACAACGGGAGATGGTGCAGCAGTGCAATTATGCTGGGGAGGAAGACTCGCCCACGGTGTTCGAATCGAGTGGTATGTCAAGCTTTCGTGACAGAGATTGGTGATGACATGAATGGCTGACTTGGATACAGGGTTTCATCTTGGTGTGCTACCCGGCCAGGAAAACCTAGTTCGTGCCATGCCACCAGGCATGTTCCCTGGTAAGTATGAAGGCGACTGATAGACGTACCTGGAATGCAAACACTAAGTATTGTAGGATCCGAGATGAAGGTACATTGGCAGTAATTGAGTCTATCCTATCGGTAGAGAAATGTCTTGGTCGCGATCACCGTTATCAGGAACAAGTCCCACTCTGGAAGACATGGCTATGAGGGAGAGATTTATCTGGATCGTCGTAGTATAGGAAACTATATCCCGGGATACAAACCCATTCATGTCAAGAAGATCTTGTCAAGTTGTTGTGATGTACAATCCATGGAACGGATCCTAGTCGTTATGATGCTACAACCTCGTCATGACATTCAGCAGATGGACAGAGTTGCGAAATTAAGATCAAGAAGATGGTCGAACCGATCATCCAAAACTAATTGAACACCAGTTTGAACCTCGTTCTGGGTATCGCTAACTTGAAGTGGCTACCTTTCCGGAACAACCGCCTATACTTGGACCACGAAGACCAGCACTGCTTGCGACAGAGTCCAGTCATAACCTTTTGACCAATGAATCTATCAATTGTCCCTTCGGGTTTTGCTATCGTCGAAGTGTTGCACTGCGCAATGTTCTCGCGCACTGTCTTCGCATCGTGAAAATACGGTCTAACAAAGCACTACCTATACTCCCTTCACGCGATGGTCATTACGTAACTAGACTAGATCGGGAGAGTTTCCAAGCCACTCTTACCCAACGTACCCTTCTCACTTAATCCCTGACTCTAGTCCTTGCTATCAATTGACTATCCTGCGATCTCGATACGCCAACACGCGCTTGACAAGTGTATCAATCCCAACTAATTTCACGTCCCCACGTTCCTTTCAAATCACCATCGAAGCAGTCGACTCGATACGTTTACCCAAGTGCATTGATATCGGTATCCCCGCCACATCCCTTCGACCGCTATGCCTCTTCGCAAAATGCCTCCTGTCACGGGTAAGCCCATACACGCCTACTCCCACTCCTGTCTTCTATCTTACTAATCGTGCGCAGTATACGTCCTCAAGAAAGACCGCATGGCACTCTTGGACGATATTACCGACATTCTCCAGAACGAACGCCTTACGCTATCTTCCCGATGCATCGACAGACTTGGAGACTGTTTGATGGCCAAGCTAGAGCCCACCCTAATACCACACGACCGCAATGACCCTGATCGCGCAATCAACATGGCGCAAAGCGCCCGCCTTCGAAATATCAAGGCACAAGGCCCATATCGAATAGTAAAACGGACCAAGACTTCAAAGCACACATCGGAGCTCCATCAGAACTCTAAAGTCGTTCGACATGTCCGCCTTGGACGATTCGGCGGTTCAAGTGACGGTGACGAGTCTCGTATGAACGGCGAGTTCATACCTTTAGATGGTGCAACTAACAATGAAGACGCAGACGAATACAAAGCTTTAGCAATCACGGAAGCGGGACAACATAGCGTTGAGTCGCGCAAGGTGCCTTCAGCCGTTTTGCATAACCACCTAAATGTCCCGCGCGACACGCAAGAGTCTTTCATATCCGGTCTCGACATTACATTAAAACACAGGCTTCTGGGAGCCGCAAGAGCGAGAGCGCCAAAGAAGACTAAGATCAGCGCCTGTCTCACTGATCGGCCGCCTTCCAAGAGACACACCTTCGAACACCCCCCGGAAGACACAAATTCATCTTTCTATTTTCCCAATACCGCCCCGGCTTTCTCACAAATGCTTCCCAATGTGGATCAATCTGCATATAGCAAGCCAGTGGAGATGGAGGAGCGTGCAGATGCCCTTGTCAAGGACGAGCCCACATTCAACACCAAGAACGATTTTCCCGCCTTCGATAGCAAGAACCTGGTTCGGCATCAAGCTCATAATGTCGTTCCTGCCCTCAAGATCTCGAAGAAGAATCTTGAGTTGGTCAATGAAGCTGAGTTTCAGCCTGAAGATGCATCAGTTTCGGTGGAGATAGTGGTGAAAAGTCCTGAGCATATCTTCGCCGATACCAAGGACGAGACGACGTTCCAAACCCAGGCGGACAATACCATTGACGTCAGCAAAACCTACCCTGATCTCAAACACGACTCGACTTCTTCTCCGGTTGCTGCCATCACGATCACGAAGGACACCACTGCTACTGTTATTTCCAGCACCTTGAACTCAAGCCAGTCTTCAGGTGTCTCTATGTTTCCGTCTTCCGTAGCAACCGAACAAGCGCTACAGGACACACCTGACTCTACCTTCTTTAGTCAATCTCAGGAAGTCTTGACCCAGTCCCTGGGCCATACCATCACTCGAACTATCGACCCAAAAGACCTCCAGCCGCCCACTTCATCGATGGCAAGACGCCAGAAGCGGGCGCTCAAGGCTCCAAAGAAGGACGCCGCTGTGGAAATCAACCCTCGCCGCTCTGCGAGATTGGCTGCCAAGCCTAAACCCGCATCCGCAACTACTGCAACCAAAGAACGACAGGCGCCGAGACCAACTGCGAAAAACGTTCTTTTGCTATCTCTAGTGCTTAACCCTGGATCGAAGCGCCGCCGCAAAGGAGCTCCTGAGAAAGAGGATGAGGATGATTACGAGAAGGAAGGATATGACAGTGGCCGTAAGAAGAAGGTTGTGTCGAAGGTAGCGGTCGAAAGGCAGCGTGAGTCGAGAGGTAACGCGACGAAGCGCGGTGGTGATGGGCGCGATCGGAGGACTGCGCTGGAACGTTATGGCCTCTAGACTACATGTCTATGTGGGTCACACGGTGGTGCAGGTGTGTGGATGTTGCTCGAAAACAGTCCATAGCCGGTGATTAAGATGGCTGGAAGCTCAAAGGGCTTTGCCATAGACCAGCACCACAACAGCACATGATTGCTGCGATAGACGAGACCGTGGTTCAATGGCACGGCCATAGAGCAGGTGAGACGCGTCGAGGTTGTAGCCCACCTGGACATCTAGTGGGATGCATGGTTAATTGTTCATTTAGTTCTTTCTGTTTCTGCCAGCTTGCACTATAACCTTACTTGGGTCTGCATCCGTTGGATGTCCAGACGCCAGTTCATATCCAGCTGCGAATAGTATGTTCGAAGCAATGAATTCGTTGTAAAAGTCGCGCATCAGGTCCACTGCGTGATGTGGCTCGGGTTGATCTCGGCTCTCCGCCCGTGTCCTTCGAATTCCGCATGCGCGTCACGTTGGCGCACGAATACGCGGTCAGCATCACCACTACATGCATACTTCAACCCTCCTCTACAGTACCTTGCTGTGAAGTAAGCCGGATAGATCTTGCTGCCTGCCTTGGCCATGCGTCTTTCTTTCTCTCTCCTCACGGTCCTCCTAAACCTTCACCCAACCATTTGCACCAACATGGCCACCTCAAATCAACCCCCGGCATCATCCACACCAGACTCCACAGCCTATGCCCCAGTAACGCGCATAGCGACTTTCCGCTTCCACCCGAACGTCACCGCAGAGCAAAAAGGTGACCGCGCATCCGCCTTTCTCGCACTTTACGCCGAGCATCCTGAACTGCTGGTCGAAGCACCTGTAGGAGGGAGACCGTTGAATACGCCGTTGAATTTGACGAATGTGAAGCGGGAGAGCATCTGGGACTTGGGTTTCGTTGTTAAGTTTAAGGTATGTAGAAATCGGGGTGTGCAGTGTGGAACGTAGGGTGGAGTGGTCATGCGATTGGATGGCATAGTGGGGGATGTGAGGGTGACGGAACGGTGGAGATGGAGTACGAATCCTGACGGTGACTAGGACGAAGCATCGAGACAGAAATTTGACCTTGATCCTGGACATGATACACTGAAGGTGGGTATTCTATTCCTTATCTCACATGGGTTGAGCTGATGCCAGAGAAGAATGAAACAGATCCGTTGCTCGAGCAGGTTTTTGTGTATGACTTTGTCGCGCAGCCAAACCTCGGGTGGTAGTAGGCATTTATGAGGAGGTATCCGTGACTGTACCTTACCGGCTCAAAGGATAGGTAGCTAGGAAGCAGATGTATCGAAGAGCAAAATTGTAACGATGGTCCTTGCGGATTCGGTGTTTAGGAGAGTTTGGGTGTCCTTTACTTCCGAGGTCCAGACTGGACTGCGCTAATTAAGGCGGGGTGCGCGACGGGCCTCAGCCCACTTTATCTAAGCGAACAAAGCAATGGTTCATTCATCGTCCTGTCCGACGGATCAACGCACAGCTGAGCTGAATCACTCCTTGCAACAATGTGCTCCTGCAAATGGCGTCCCAATCTCGCTGTGTCTGCACCAAAATGCGCCAACCACGGCAGGCCCGCCGAATAAGGTACGGCCAAGGCGGTACTTACGATCTCAGCCAGCCACAAGCGCGGCATTTCCGCCAGCCACAGTCTGGTGCTCAGCTCTGGGGCTGAACTGCATTTGCTACCAAGACCCTTTACAGTTATCGCATCAATAGTGTCCGCTGTCCTAGCACTGGATTGGGACAATTAGCCTTTCTATGCCGCCTGATGGGGTAACACACCAAGTCAGCTGTGGGTTCGTGAACCCTCAGCTATCCCAAGAACGCAGTCCAGAACGTGGAGGCGCAATCGTAGCGGCCGTTGTCCGAAGCCCTTCTGGTTCTTCGTTCTCCCAGCAGTGCTACCAAATGTGGGTGTGCAGATAGCCCCTACATTCCATGCTGGCACACCGCTCTGCAATATATCTATCCCTACCTCTCCGCATTTCTTTTTCTTATTGCACCCAATAGATGATCGAACGCCTCTCGTCTTAAGTCCCAATTCTCTAATAATTCTGGTACCGTTCCTGGTAATCGTGTGCTTCGGGACTTCAGCGTTTCGTTCTTTCAATCCCACCCTGCTACTTTTCCGCTACTGCGTCACCAACCACCATGTCTCACTCTGTTGACGAGGCAGATAAAGATTGCACGCATACTCCCAGGAAGCTTATTCTCTGTTTCGATGGCACTGGAAATGTGTTCAACGGGAACACTTCGGATACCAACATAGTTAAACTGTACGACAAGTTCGACAGAAAAGACCCTATGCAGTACCACTACTATCAACGTAAGTAACTGGCAAACCCTCGGTAGTAAGAATCTAACTGAGTGTTCAACTTCGAAGCCGGCATTGGAACATACAGTGCTGATGGAGGACCAATCAACAAAAGTTTCATTGGCAACATCAAATCAAAGATCTCGAAAACCATTGACAGTGGTTATGCCACCACCTTTGATGCCCATGTCATCGCGGGCTATCGCTTTATCATGCGATATTACAAAGAAGGCGACAAGATCTACATGTTCGGCTTCTCGAGAGGTGCTTTTACTGCTCGCTTTCTTGCACGCATGATTCATGGACTCGGCCTGCTCTCTGAAGGCAATGAGGAGATGGTTCCATTCGCATATGATCTGTACCAGCAGTACGAGAAAGGACTGCTACCCGATGCTCAGCAGAAGCAAGAGGATCCTCCAAAGGATACGGGGTCGAAGAAAGCAGCACCCACCAGCGAGGAACGTCAGCCTCTTCTTCACCAGGATGACGAACCCGATGAGCAACAACTCAAGAGACATAAGCTTGAAGCTTTCACATCGACGTTCTGCCGTTTAGAAGGCATTAAGAATCAGCGTATCAAAGTACACTTCTTGGGACTCTTTGACTGCGTTAGTAGTGTCGCAGTTCTAGACAGCCCCTTTGGCAAGGTCCCCAAAGCTGTCTCCGTCCTCGGAACCGCCCATCACGTTCGCCATGCAGTCGCTGTTGACGAGCATCGCGTCAAATTCAAAGCAGCTTTGATGCATCAAGACGTTAAGGATGCTAAAGCGTTAAACGAAGTCATCAAGGAAGTTTGGTTCCCCGGAAACCACGGTGACGTTGGTGGGGGTTGGCCTGCTCCACAACCCAAAGAACCTAGCTGGTGGCAAAGATACTTCACATCCGACAAGAACGGTAAGCCCTCTGATCGGAGCCAAGATCCCTATCAGATGAGCGATGTGCCTTTGGCTTGGATGATCCGCGAATTGGAGCAGCTAGGAGCAGTTGACGATAAGTCGGCCATCAAATGGAACCCGAAGAAAGATGGATTTAAGAAGAGCTTCTTCAAGAAGATCAATCAAGCGTACGAAAGCCCCATGCATGATACACTTACGGTAGGAGGCGGTTCCTCTTTCTTCAAGGTCATGCTTTGGAAATTCATGGGTAAGTACACGCGCACACTCCAAGATGACCTGTGACTAACAATATCGAAATAGAAATCCTGCCCTTTCATCGTTGGGAACTGCAGTGGAACGCAGCGAAGAATGCGTTTGGGTGGGTCTATACCGCATGGCCGTTGAATTTGGCATCGGGACGAGACATTCCCGAGGGGGCGCTTTTGCACGACTCTCTCCTAAAGAGATTAGCACGTGAGAAGCATTGGAAAGCTGGAAGGGAGTCGAAATACCTTCCATGCAACAACCAAGGCGATAAAGGGAAAAACAAATCGCCAGAGTGTTTGCTGAACACCAAGTTCGACCCCGTGAAGAAACTCGAGGACAGAGGTGTACCGAAAACAAAAGACATCGACTTCGATGAGCCTGCTGGCATCCACGACATCTACACTATCGAAGGTCAGATCAAGTTTAGTGGCTGGGATACTAAGCTGGTCGAACCATAGAATGTGAATCCGCGCATGTATCATAAGTTTCTTTTGTGTCAACATGTTCTACTATCGAACTCTGTATACAAATCGTCGCCACAAGAAGGAGGAAGTCTTGCTTCCGAAGCCTCGTTCGCGCGCTAGAAAGCATTGGATTAGAATGCTATCCTCGGCTTAGGAAGAGATGGGAGATGGAAAGTAGGTTATCTGATAATGGTACTCTGCGCGAGACGGCGTATCAATATTTACCTGACGATGAATGTTGTGATTATATGTGCGGCTGTGAAAGGTGCTCAAGATGATAAGGCGAATGCAAAGGCTTTTGTTGTTCGTTGAAGCTACCCTGCCGTGGCTGCTTCGTTCATCACGCGGTTCGTCAGCGTTTGTTGACATCCATACAATGACAGGCTCTTATTTAGAAGCATTGCTCGTTATCTCGGGTCAGGGATCGCTCGCTTATGTGCTCATGAGGCTCATCGATGGCCTCGACTGGGAAGAGCTGGAGAAAGTGGTCGTAAAAGGGATAACCACTATGGATCTGCTCAACGATGTCAAGGTGTCGAAGTATACAGAGAAGAGAGTAAAGAGATGTTGAGGAAGAGGAAGACGAATGCCGCGCGATAAGCTTTGGAGGAGCTTTGTAAAGAGCATGATTTGGACATACCGACCACACACTGTGAGCTTGAAAGAGACGACTTCGAGACTGTGATAGGACTTGGTTTTCTGTAGGAGAAGATTTCGACAAGGTAATGAGAACGATATTGATTTGATTGACGTGCTGGTGATAAGACGCAGGCACAACGCTGGTGAGTTACACTGTATTGTATCGCAGTAGAAGCGTGTTCCCAAACACTTGGCTTCACTATATGTAGCTGCATATGTGAGAACGATATCATGCTGAGTGGAGTATTTGCGGATGTTCTCAACCTGCCTTCCGAGTTTTACGCATAGCCTAACCATTGTGAGGAGCTTCCACAGCGCCATTCCATACACGTCCAACACTAAACCTTGCGCCTGACCAACCCCCTGAAGAAGTCAAAACTATTCCCATCACTCTGAATCTGAATAATCTTGCCCGTTCCTCGCCCATCAATCTCTCGCACCTCTTCGGCAAGGAGTAAACCCCAATCCCTCGTAATACCCTTTATCCTCGCTTTACACCCACTCTGCACCCCCTGTTGATCCTCAAGCGTCACAAGCTGATCAGTATGCAGCCAGTTCTCATAGTAGTACGACTCCATGTCGCGGTTGAATCCTTCCTGGCAGAACGTCGAGTACAGTGTCTCAAAGTGCGCCAAGATACTCGCCAGCAGCTTCTCTGGCGTAAAGTCCTTGAGCGGCGGATTCATGCCCTTGGCAAGCTGATTCAAAGTCGTCGTCGGCAGCGCATTACTCAAATTCAATCCGATACCTGGTACGACATCGTACGTGGAACCGGAATAACTGCTATTCACCAGAATGCCTCCTATCTTGACGATGGGATTTGCACTCGAGCCGGGGAGTTGCGCGTAGATGTCGTTTGGCCACTTGAGCTTTATAGGGATTTTCTCGTACCCGGGCGCATAGTTCTTGATGCCTTGCACAATGGCCAGAGCAGCGAGATACTGGATAAACACTACCGGTGCACTTTGACTTAGTGCGAAAGAATGATGCAACACAGTGCTAAACATTAATGCGCCAGGCGGTGCGATCCAGACATTGTTTCCGCGACCACGACCTGCAATTTGTGTCGTTGCTGTTATTGTGAAGCCATTGGGCAGATTTCGCAGCAAAGACGGGTTCTTTTCGAGAAGAGTGTTGGTCGATGTTACGACTTCACCATACATGAGGTGTTTTCCAAAAGAAGCGTCCGGGTTGCGGAGCTTGGTGTGATAGTGATGGAGGTTTGCGTAAAAGGCATCATGGTGGAATGGTGTCTCTTGAGCCGATGGAAGGGCTTTCTCGTGGGGTATGATGACCTTGACGATTTTGGCGTAGTCGACGATCTCGTCTGGCGAGGTGTTGGCTGTGTACTCGATGCAGTCGTAAATCTCCTCTTCTGGTGTCTTGGCCCTCTTTTTCTTGCTGTCATCTTCCTTCTCTTGGCCTTGCTCTCCAACACTCTTCTCGCTACTGTTCGTCACTGACGCTAGTGTAGGCAATTTCTCCGACATGGCACTGACAGCCCTCTTCAGCTCCTTTACGCTCCACGCCGTTCCCTCTTTCTCAATCCGAAACACGTCGTTCTCGCCCTTGATATACTCATCGCCGTCCATCACAGTAATGATTTCGCTCCATGTAGCAACGAGGTCAGAGACGTCTGCCAAGCTATGAGCGGTGAGATGCAGGCGGGATAGGGACGGTACCGCTTGTTCCTGTTCGTTGACCTGCAAACCAAGTTTTCCGAGGATCAAGCGCATAAAGGCAAGTCGTGTTGCGTCCGTGGCAGCGATATCATTGATAATGGTCGCGTAAGATGGCAGACTGGGGATCTTGCTGAGGTTTTGCGGTGCGAATCTATACAGTCTTAGCGAGCGAAGGTGTTCTGAATGTCGAATCTGAGCTTACTCTGGATGTGGCCCAGTAACCACAGCATGACCCTCACCCACCTTACGATAGACAACAGCCGCTTGACCTTCTCCAGATTCGACGTGCAGATCCTCGGTATAGCTCGCTAGGATCTGCACACCCCTACTCTCGAGCTTCTTCGCATCAACAAACACACCCCCACCATTATAATAGCTCTTGAACGTCTCCGCCACACCCTCATCAACATTCTCAAACGCCTCCTTCTCAATCTTTATCTCAGCAGCCCTCGCCCCAGCCTCACTCGCATACTTGAACCCCTCAAAAGCCAGTCCCCTACACACACCGGGGAAGAAGGCCAACTCCCTCTCCCCCTCAACAGCCATCTTGGGATCATCAAGCTCAAACTCACATCTCGCACTTCCGTAGTACCCGCCTGCACAGAAACCTAGATACGAACCCCCGGCATTTACATACCGGCTGATCCTTCGATTCCCCTCACCATTGAGTGTACGGCAATAACCCAGGTCAGCGCCGCCAGGAAAGACGAGAAGAGCGCAGGTGCTGAACCAGGGTTCTTTGATCAGAGTATCGCCAGTCACAGGTATGACAGCGTAAGAAGGTGAGAGCAGACGGCGCAGGGTGTACAGGCAGTGGCGGACAGATTCGGTGGTACTTCCGTTGCCTAAAGGGGAGGGGTGCGGATTAGTGGGGGTGGACTGTGGGATTTGCGACTACGCTATAAATGGCCGCATACCAGAGTACACCAAGATGTTCATCCGCTTGGTTGCCATGATGATGTCGTGATTAATAACGATATTCGCGATTTTGAATGGTGACGCTGAAGAACCGATGAGCGAGGCGCGCGGACCGAGATTGTGCCGATCGTGCTCAAAGTAACTCTCTCTCGCTCTGTTCAAAAGACCCTGCGCAAGTTTCCGACTCTTTTGCGCTTTTGCACACACACACACACACACACACACACACTTACACAATACTCGTCAATTCTCCCAACCCCTCTTGAGATATGTCCAACGAAGACAAGGCGCGCGCGGCAGCAGCGCAGTTGGTAATTGACGATGAACCCGATGACTGGTGCGTTACTTTGAACCTTTAGTCTTGCACAATGCGGAGATCCGGGTCGGAGGAGCGAAGAACTGCAACTTTGTTGCTGCTGTAAACCAATTGAGCTAACCCAAGACCAACAAACACAGGGACAAGCGTATCTTCAGCACCGGCTGCGCAGACGAGAATGCAAAACTGACAGACTGCTACTACGACAAGAAAGACTGGCGAGCGTGCAAGCAGGAGGTGAGTTTTATTTCGTCTTTGTTGTTTATTGTTCCCAGTGGTTAAAAACCACACATTGCTTCTGCGCTGCTTCTAGGCTCTCGGTTCGTTCAAAAGCCCGAGAAGAAGCCGAATCTTTTTGCGAGTGTAAAGAAGAAGAGAAATCATCAACTGACAAAACACGATTATCACGCCTTTTAGATGGAGGTCTTCCGACAATGCTGGCAGCGTCATGGCAACGATAAGAGGACTGATTCCAAAGATGCTTCATAAGTAGAGGGAGAGAGAGAAAAAGCAATCTCGGTTTTGCGCACAAGCCGATTGTAAGATCAAGTTGTATGTTATTAGCAAAAATGGAAAAGGAGTGTATGACTATTGTAGAACCAGAAGACGAGCGTAGGGATAGTTAGACTCCAAATGGAAAACACCCTAATGCCGACAGTCCATACATTTGGCATAAGCAGCCCCCGCTTTCCATGCCATTCCACGTTTTCAGTCGTCAAGCCAACATAACTTCGTTTCTTGTAAGTCGCCATTTTCCTCCATCAGTACCATTACACTAGAGCTTTCATTTCCCAGTCTCATCACAGCCCCGTTCACACTCCCACTACTCATTTGCGGCCAAGTAAAACGACTTTCCACGGCCAGCTTATACTCTTTACTTTCTCTCATAAATCGGGGGCACAACATCCGGGTGGAATGGCGACTTGGCGGCATCCGCCTTCTGCTTATCAAAACTCCAAACACCATTAGTCTGGCCATCATTGATGCCCTCGCCAATCTTCTTGGCCAGTTGTTCAAACAAGGGGTACTGCGGCGCGCGCGAGAAGAACTTGCGCTCCCACTCCTTGCCTGCATCCTTTTCTTGCTGACGCATCTCGCGCTGGCGCGTCTCAATGATAGTTTTTTCCGACGACGTCAAGTCCATATTACCCTTGTTAATCGCGTCGCTGACTTTTTTCCATGCGCGCCGGGTTTCAAAGTCGTCTTGCTGCTCAATGTCTGCGACGGTCAGGGGCGTCGTTTTCACAGCCTTGTGGTCAAAAGTGTCGACGACGGCTTTGGTCTTGGCATCCTTGATTTGGAAAGAGTCGGTCCACTGGCCATCGGCTTTGTAGATGGCCTCCTTCTCTTTGCCCTCTGGGTACAGGACGGCGGTGAAGCTGTTCTTCTTTCCAGAGACCCAGCCCTTGCCGCTGTAATCGATGCGCGCGGTGTATCCGGTAGACGACTGAATGTAAGTGCTGCTGTTGAGCTCGACGTAGGGTGAGCCTGTGATGAGGCCTTCGATGTGGAGCGCAGGGAGGGTAATGAGGTAGCTTTCATTGTAGGCGTCTAGGTGCAGCATTGCGTGGCCGATTTGCTGTGGAGGTAACGTGTTAGTATTATACTGCCAATACTGTCAGGGTGTGTTTACCTTGACATTGATGGTCGTCTTAAACGACGCCTTTTGCGCGTTGTAACCCTCTAGGCGGACGCCGTGTTGGTCGTTCCAGATAGAGTAAGCCGTGACGGGTGGGTGATGACTGCGCGCATTGCATTAGCATTCCCGTAGTTTACGCCTTGTCTTGGATGCGCGTACCTGACTTGCTCACTGACAAGCTGGGTTGTGCCTGCCTGGTCCTCCCACTTGCCCAAGAAAAGCTCTCCCAGGAAAGGGTTGAGCGGCTTCTTCTCGCTGCCCAGCTTCTCTGACCGACTCGCATACTGCTGCTTCAATGTGCTCAGGAACCACTTCAGCACTAGCATGGCCCGTTTGGCAGGGTCCTTCTCGGCTGCAGGTGCGACGAAGACGGAGGGGTGTTCGGTCCAGTATGACGAGAACTCGGTAAGAGATTTTGTCGAGAGGATAAAGGCAGGCGCCGTCATGGTGGAGAGGTCGCCATTGAAGGATGCGATGGACTATGTGCATGTTAGTCGACCGCCATTCTGTACAGCGCATAGCTACATACCTTGAGGAAGCTTGACCAAGAGCCCTTTGCCTGGGGTGGCACAGCGGAGCCTTCTTTCTCAGCCATGATGGCGATGTAAAATTAGAGGTGGTGAGTTTGAAAAGCCAAGGAAACCTCTCACGGGAGTCTATGCGCGTGTGTAGGGATGTGTGAAAGGCGGGGGGTTGTCGAGATCTAGGTAACTTGGGTGGGGAACGGTATTGTTATGGGGTGGAGACGGAGGCATGTTTAGATTGGGAAATGACGTCGCCGAGCTAGTGCTGCTAAGCCACACGCGCAAACACATTAGGGGATCATGACATATTGCCACGCGACTTATCATCATTACTACCGTTTTGTCGACCAAAACAAATCTGTTTTTACTGGTATTCTCGTGTACAAGTCGTCTAATCATGCTAATTACATCTCCACTCTAACAAACGCGCTTACGTCTTGACATCGGGCTCGGTGCGGCCAACGTACTCTTGGAGCTTCAGGAGGTCAGTCGCAAGCTTGACGTTGTCCTTGAGGTAATCCTGAGCGTCCATGTCGTATGTAGACTCGTCGCTAGTGTGCTTCTCAATATAGAGACGAATGGTGGCGCCGCTGCTACCTGTGCCAGACAGACGAACAACGATACGGCTTCCATCGTCAAACTTGACAAAGATACCCTGGTTCTTGCTGACGCTACCGTCCAGGTCGGTGTAGGAAAAGTCGTCTGCCTCGACAACCTTGCGGCCAGCGACGGTGGAGCCGATGAACTCGTCCTTCTTGGTGGTGATGAGCTCCTTCATGTGGCTGGTGACCTTGTTTGCGCCCTCAGTCTCGCAGCCCTCATAGTCGTAACGAGTGAAGAATGTGCGGCCATATGTCTTCCAAAAGTCCTTTTGGATCGAGGCAATGCTGGGTGTGGTACCCGTCTGCTGTCCAACACCGGCCAGGATGTTCAACCAGGCAACGACAGCCCACAGACCGTCCTTCTCACGGATGTGGTTGCTGCCTGTGCCGAAACTCTCCTCACCGCAGATGTTCATCTTGTCAGAGTCGAAGAGACCGCAGAAGAATTTCCAGCCCGTAGGCACCTCGTAGCACTCGACGCCCTTCTTCTTTGCAACCAGGTCAATCGCGCCAGAGGTCGGCATGCTGCGGGCGAGACCATAGATGCCCTGCTTCTTGAAGTACGGGATAAGCTCGGCGTGGTGTGCGATGATGGCCAAGCTGTCACCAGGCGAGACGAACGAGTTTGCGCCGTAGATCATGTTTCGGTCACCATCACCGTCGCTGGCAGCACCAAAGTGGATCCCGTTCTTGTCAACAGCGTCGACCAGCGACTTGGCGTAGACAAGGTTGGGGTCTGGGTGGTGGCCGCCAAAGTCTGGCTTGGGGACGCAGTTTTGTGTGCTGTTGGGGATGCCGAGCTCCTTCTCGAAGATGTCCACACCGTATGAGCCGGTGACACCGCTCAGGCCGTCGAAGAGGACCTTGAAGTCCGAGTGCTGCTTGAGGAACGACTTGATGAGGTCAAAGTCGAAGATGTCCTTGAGCATCTTCAGGTAATCCTCTGTTGAGTGGACGATCTCAACCTCGAGGCTTCCATACTTTTGTGTGCCAATTGTGCTCAAGTCGATGTCGGGGATGTCGGCGATCTTGTACGACGAGAGGGTTTTGGAGGTTTCGTAGATCTTGTTGGTGACGCTCTCGGGAGCTGGGGCACCGTTGGCAAGGTTGTACTTCATGCCAAAGTCCTCATCGGGGCCTAGATGCGTCAGGTGAGGGGAACGAGTCGATGCGTCTGGGAGAACTTACCACCAGGGTTGTGGCTGGCAGTGAGGAGGATGCCACCGGTCGCCTTTCGTATCCGGATGATGTGACTGGCGGCAGGTGTGCTCATGATTCCGTTCTGGCCGATCAAGAGCTTCTTGACGCCGTAGGCAGCGCTCATCTTGGCGATGGTCTGGGTGACCTCGGGGTTCCAGTAACGGCCATCACCACCGACGACGAGGAAGGCGCCGTCGGCGCCCTCAGGGATGGACTGGAGGATGCTGGCAACAAACGACTCTGAGTAGTGCTCCTGCTGGAAGACCTTGACCTTCTTGCGGAGACCAGAACTGCAGCAATCCAAGTCAGCTATCATGCCTCGACGCCATAGCTCCATGCGCCCTCCCAAGCTCGTCCGGGGACATTGCACTTACGTTCCGGGCTTCTGGTCCTGGAATGGCTTCAATTCGACGGTTCGGACGCTCATGTTGACTGTGTATGTGCTGGAAGCTGATTTGGAGGGAGATTGAAGCAATTGCAGAGTTTAGAAAGGTGGCAGCAGGGCAACTTTTGAGCTGCTGAGGGGCCCAGCTTCCCCCACCACGCGGGATGACGCCGGCGCTAGCTCATCAACGGGAAAGAACAACGCCACGCTGGCTATCATCTCAAGTTTTTCCCTCGTCAATGTCCCAACAGTCGCTGCGCCCATGCGCTAATCCTGCAATTGAGGGCGAGACGCTGCACAACACCTCTTGCTGACCAGTCCCCGCCTCGCTTCGCCCCAGACGCTTTGCTGGGGTATTCTGGCTGTGTGCATACTACATTTCCTTCCCGTTGCGACGAGAACATTGTCCATCTTCTCAACATTTGTCCCAGTCTCCTTCTTTGGATCCGCCACCTCGACCAGCAGACAAAATGGGTATCCAGAGACTGGCTAGGCGTCTCGAGCCCTACGCGACGCGTTATTCCTCCGAGCAGCTGGACGGCTACTCAGCCGTGGTAGACGGCCCTGCGCTCGCCTACTACGCTCACAAATTGGCTCTCGCTTCGGCCGCTAGCGCGTCCAGAATACCGTCTTATGCGGACATCGTTGCTGAAGCAATACACTGGCTGGCCTCGTTGGAGAAGAGCGACATCAAGGTGTGAGTAGACCACAGTTGCTTTTCGCACGGAACCACCACGGCAAGCCAATAAGGTGCGCACATATGTTCTTCACTTCACCGCCATTAGCGCAGGGGTCTCAAACTCTTCCATATCGCAAAGTCGTTATGTGAAGGCATTGCTTTGTGCTTGACCGTTGAATGCACCTTATGCAGGTGCCATGTGATGTTCCTGCCGTCCACTGCTGATCGCACCTTCTCAGGTCTGCCATCTACTTTGACGGAGCCCTCCCCATATCAAAGCGCACAGAGCGGTTGTCCAGGACGGAAGCGAACAACAGACGGGTGCAGCAATTTCGCAATAACTATGCTACTGTCTCATGTCCTATTCCGACATATTTAGGCTCGATATCGTACGCCTTTCTTGCACCTGCACTCCAAGAAGCGTTGCTGGATTCGCCGTTTTCTTCCAAGACGAAGACCGTACCTGGAGAAGCAGATGATTGGTGCGCATTGCATGCAAAGGAGAATGCAAAATCTATCATCTTTACGAGCGATACGGATCTTGTTTTGTACGACTACAGCTTCGACACACTGATTGTGTTCCTCCACGATGCTGATGTGACCACGGGCATTAAAGCATATTCACCCAACGAGATTAGCAAGCAACTACAACTCAAAAGCCTGGTGCCCTTTGCATATGCTCTCCTTGATGGCCCACAAGACAGCTCAAAGCTCCTAGCTCACACAGCCCAGGCAATAGATCAGAGCTCGACACCTTATGTCGATTTCGCCAGGCGCTACGTTGCAAAGGCTCCGAGTCCCAGCGCGACGTCTAATCTACCAATGTCAGATGTTCGGATATCAGAATACGTCCACCAAGCCCTCAATGGACTCGAATCTCCATTCGTATACATGCCTCTGCTGGTTGAAGACCCCAACCAAGCGTCCGCATGGAACGTGGGACAAGATATTCGTACAATAGCATACTCTCTCCTCGCTCGAAAGCCAAACATGATCGTACACGAGTATCGGCGAAAAGCCCAAGGTATTAGCGTTCAAGAAATCTCTACCTACTCTTCCACGGATCTTGCAACTTCCGCAGCAGATCTAGAGCGCCAGCTGCGCACCCTGAGAGAATGGGCAGCAGCGCAATCGGATTTTGTCAAACCAGCACTTCTATGGCCGTTATTCGGACTCAGCTTCGTCCTTGCAGAACTCAACACGCCGCCTGCGATCCTTCTCGTCCAGCGCGTACTCAACGGCGAGTTCGATAACAGCTGGGCGTTTGTCCATCTGACTGCCAGGATGCACGCAGCTATTTATTCATTGCGCGTGTTGACCCAGATTATAGGCGTGTGGCTGGTTCTCCACCCCACGATACCCACCTACTCGACTGAAAAGTCAAAATTACACACTACCCTATCCAGCCTGGCAACTCACATGGCCGACTTCCCTTGCATACCCGATGTACTTGGTGTGCCTGGGCAGGCGAAGAAGGTGGTGGCGCAGCATGATGTGTTGAAGGGGTTGGTCGAAGAGATTTATCGGTCGAACGGGGCGCAGGTGCTGAGCGGGGATGGAGTGAGTAATAAGAAGAAGAAGAAGATGGCGAGGGAACAGGAGAGGAAGAAGAAGAAGGCTGAGGTGAGGGCGCAGGGGAGGTTGGAGGGGAGTGGGTTTGCGTTGTTGGGGGACTGTTAGGTGGTGCTGTGTGGATGGTGGGAAGGCGTGATGGGCATCCTTGTTGAGTATGTTGAGCGTACGGGATGCAGTGGTACGTGTATGGGGTCTTGTTTGTTTCGCTAAAAGTTCGCGTCGACGTTATGTAACCACTTCCCAGCGGTGACTAAGCATACGCGAGCATATGGACAGGGCTTCTCGACAACTCACGAGAAAGTCACCAAGCTCTCAATTCAAAAAGCGAATCTTGAATACAGCGATTGGATGTGGCTTTGCGGGAAGTAAGTAGAGTGGAAAAGGAACCATTATTGCTATGAGGTGTTGCGCATGGCGCTAGCCTTGGAGGGCGAGCATCGATACATAACCCTGCATATGTATGTATTATGCCTCAGAATAAAGGACACCTGGAGCGACTCAGCGCTGATATCTTTGGTAGAACGTCGTTGATCTATCAACACCACTTCATGAACAGACCCACTGACTAAGCGGGTTCACATCGTCCTTGTCCCAAAGTGACAACGGCAAAGGGTAGAGAGCAAGCTTGATAACTCCAGGTGCCATCCTGCTGAGTCGCGCACAAAGCCGCTTAGTCTTGATGCAGCGATTGCATGCCGTCGCAAAACCCACACGCAAACTGTGATGCTTGGACCCGCCAATGACAGTATCACTTACACAGCACCTACTGGCAACTCCCTTCTCCAGCAGCCTGAGCAGTTTTCCCCACTCTTGAATGTGACATTCAGTGGATAGGTAGTCCCTATCAAATCTCTCTGCCAGAGACGTCTCCTCTGCAGTATTGTGGGAGCCAAAATAGAAGTCGATGTATTTGCCTGACACCTGGTCCCAGCGAACGTACTGGATAGGCGGAACGACCTTGTTAGCTATAACCTGCTCGGTCTGACATCGCAGCGAGACTGCTACAGTGTGGGAGGCGTGGCCAATTTGTGATTGCGCACCCGATGTAGACGCCTGGCTTGTCGAGCGAGGAGCTGGCGGTGTGAGAGATACTGCTCCTCTAGAACGAACTTTGGTACAATCAGTATACTATTGGAATGCGACATGGATCTAACTTACCTAACGCCGGAGTTGTTTCCCGAGAAAGATCTTTTTCGACCTTCACCTAAGTCGCTTAATCTTCGCCGGCATCATAACTGTAGACTAAAGCTGGGTCTTTGACGATGTCTTCTAGATCACCTCGTGCGAACTCGCGTCCTATAGCTTTCGTTACAATTCCTGCGAGGTCCTCATCGTTGAGGCTTTGTAGTAAAGCGCGGCGAGGGCTTACGAGCTGCTCGCCGCCCGATAGCGCAAGTAAGGCTTTGAGGTAGGAATCGATCGTCGACATGGCGGGCGTTGTAGATGCGACAGTGGATTGTTTATGAGAAGCGGAGCAAATGAAACAACTATCGGTGTCTGTTAGGCGCGGCGCCAGAGAATCGCCGTTGAAAGCACGTGCATGAGGGAAGAGCAAACGGAATGCGCGAAGTAGTGAAGAGAATTTCATTAAGTGTCAGTAGCCGTTCTTCTACCTGCCGATTCCGTAGCATCACGGACCCAGAACCCCATCTCTGTCCAGTGCCTGCCAACGCGCAATTGAGGTGGCAGAGGAAAGACGACCTTCTCTGTTTCTTGGTGGTTCACTTTGATCATCCTTAGACAAAGACGGCGAGTATCGATGCAGAAGTCGCAAGCGCTCCATACGTTTCCTTTAGACTGCACGCGTGTGCTCGGTCCACGTTTTCGTCTAATCGTGAAGTCGCTCAAACAATGACTGCTCGTCCCAAAATTCCGTGTTTGAAACAGTATCATGTCACCGTATCGCTCTATACTCTTCCATCCTTGTATGAAGTCTGCACCGATCTTACGGCGGATCTGGACGGAAAGCTCGAGTGGCATTTTTGGAAGCGGCTCCAGCCCGTCATTCGTTTCTTGTGTCGATAGCATCTCCTTAGGGATATAAAATCCTAACTCGTCCTTTGTAAAGAACGCAGGATGATCTGGGTCTTTACTCATGCCAGCCCAGCTTTCTCGGAATTCTGGGTGCCATGGGGTAGGATCGACGTAGAGCAGATGTTCTGGGACAGTAGGGCCGAAAAGGATATGTCCAGGTGCTGTCAGACTTACAGACCAAGCTGATTCAGCTTGTTGAAGTGTGTCAGAGTTGGCAGATACATCCTTGTTTTTCCTCGCGCGCTTGACCGTGGTATCGAAAGCCTCCCAAATACCCGGATCACGTTTGATACAGTGCTCGGATGCCGCTGATGCTGTTGGTGATGAACCCGCAGACGATGGCAGTTCTTCGACGCTCACTACACGATCAGATTAGTTTCCAGTAGTAGTAGCACGGGACGCGCATTTTCACACGCGATGGAGTCAAAATCATCCGTACATTCCTCAAGCTGTACTTTGACATCGCCTGCACGATCAATCGGTGTACCAGACGCGATATCCCCTTCTTGCGCAGCTGTATCGAGGACGACCAACAGTATCCTTTCTAATCCCTCTCTTGTAACCTCGCGCTTTGTACCAATACTGATGACTTGCGCTATATCCTCATCGGTTAAGCTCCGTATCTTGGTGCTGCGGGACTCGCGTTGCGCCCCATGTCTGGAGAGAGAAAGCAATTCTTCTAAATCGGCCTCAGTATTTGCGCTCGATGGCATCGTCAGTGGAAATGTTATAACCGTCCGGAATGTTGTGGTGACTGATGTTGGTTGCGTCGCGCGCTATGTTGTAGTACGGAGAGGGCGGAGGATGATTGGCTGTATGCCGAAGTTTCTGACCAAGTATGCCTACGTTTCCACTTTATCTTCCCTCCATCCTCTCACAAGGTCAATGTTTCCGGAGATAGAGATATGCCGAATGCGCAGAAGACATTGATACGGACGTTAGCTGGGCCTATGGCAGATAGTTCTCATTAGAGACCCACCTTTGCACATGCTGTGAGTGGCTTATCGATCGACGGAGATTTGCAACTGGGACTAACCGACAGTTCTAGACCATCTGCTATAGTTTGTGCACAGAGGCGCTCCATGCGAAACAACGTTTCACAAGTCCTGTTCCATCCTCGCCCATGTCATGTAGTCCTTTTTGCGTTGTCAGATGAAAACCTGTCATAAGTCTTGTGTAAGTAACGTGTCCAACCAACCAGCGAGGTAGCCGAACAATTGCTGATCGTTGTCTCCAGTCACCGTCGGAGTTCATGCGCCCATTCTTGAGATCTGTAGGTCAACGAATTAAAGAACTGGATTCCTCTTGACAAAAAACACCTTGTATGTCGAGCATTTACTGTAAGGTGAAAACGAGGCGCGGATGGCTGCCAAGGCCGATGGGCACGGGTGGGTCATCCCACCAACTCCCGCATCGGAAATGCGGCAGCTATGGCTTCCACCTAGTTCGTCCAAATTTGGGTGGAATGGAGGCCAAGAACTTGGTTGCTGACATCGCTTGAGCTCGACGTCAGTGCTTACATTGCAATCCAAGAACAATCGGGATGCGGGGAAACATGCATCGACCGTTCAGACCGGTGCCAGGTCACAATCGTGTCGTTCTGAGTCCAAATCGCGCAACATACGAAGCCTCTGTGCGTTAATCACATCATGCAGGAAGCTGGAAGTGGAGAAAGAATAGCAGACCGTCAATGTTGGGAATGTCTCAAACGACGCCTGGTGTGCGATCGTACCCTGCCGCTATGCAAGAAGTGTCCCAAGGCTGGCAAGGAGTGTCCCGGATATAACGAACAAAAGCCATTGCAGTGGTTAGAGCCGGGCAAAGTGTCTCTACGGCCGAGGAAGAGGAACAGTCCACCAAAGAAGTTCATCTTCCGACCAAGGACCTCCGGAACGAGCGCGGCAATCGTCGCGAGCGTGCCAGTCGCTGCTCCTTGTGAGCCTAGCGAGCCTGGTCTAGCGGAGTCAATCTCGCAAGAACCGTGCCTGACCCTCGCATACCCGCTTTTCGAAAGATCTTCGATCACTTCAGAGGCTATCGAAATATACGAGAGTCATCTCGCAAGCTTGTTGGTGCAAGAAGACAGAGCAGCATGGTGGCATGATCTTGATGTTGAGAAGCGGGTGAAGCACATCACACTGATGGCTACCGAGGCTGCAGCTGCGTCTGGAGTGGGCGAACGTATCATGCGGATCGGCAACCAAGATCAGATCAAGGAAGTTGTAGAAAGGGGCCAGTACTGGGAAGCTGCGGCATTGTTGCAGTCTAATCGGGATCCTCTCGCTAAGATACAACGACTGCTTCGAGTCATGCAGGCGAACAAACTACCTTCGTATGACTTCTTGTCGGATGAAACATGCGAGGTAGTGCATGCTGTCAACTATTGTACGTGTACCCACGCAGACAGTATGTTCATACTTAACTCGCTAGTTAACACCAGGATATACCCATATATCAAGGAAACTGACGCCTTGGCACCCAACCCAGCGATAATCCGCTTTCCCGTATGGGCATTGCACGTCTTGCCCCCTGCGGTGCACTATACCACTGTCTGCTTAAGTATAAATCATTATATGCACTCGTTACCCCCGGGATCGAGTGGTATGGTGATTGGAGAAAAGCGACTGAAGATTTACAACTACCGGGGCCTTGCCATCCGTGCCCTTAATGAGAGCATAGCGCGTAAGGAGACTCGCAGCAGCGATCTCACTATTACTAGCATACTCATGTTTATGGCTATGGAGGTAATGAGTAGACTCTGACGGTACGGAAGATATAAACGTGCTAACTGCCACACTCAGGTACACGACTCCAAAGATGGAGACTGGAGGTCTCATGCGGACGGTATGAAGCAATTGATAGATATACGTGGTGGTTTTCAATCTCTCCTACGAGCAGCACCTCATCTGACCTCAGCGCTAGTGGTATTTGTGATGTCAGCATGGCCCAGCCTTCGTGAGAGTTGTGGCTGATGGCCTGCAGCATTGTAACCTTTTCAAACACTCTTGGTCCGGTATCACGTCAACTCAATATCACGGAGCCGCTTGAGCAGCACATCAAGGAAGTGGAGAAGGTGTATAGCCTTGTCTTTCCTTACACATTGTGTCCGGTAACGCTGTTCATCGACATCATTCGCATTAATCGACTACGTCAGGAAGTCGCCCTCTCGTCCTTTGCAGACCAGTACCAGCATAGCTTGAATGCACAAAATATCCTCGCTCGTATCGAGGGTTTTATCCCCGGAGATTGGGCGCAAGCCGGTGAGAATCAAGATGACTGGCAGCTGATTGGTTCAATCTATCAATCTGCCACAGCACTTTACTGCATCATGTCACTGCAGGCTCTTGTGGCTCTTCCCGCTAGCACTGAAATGAACAGCACGCGAACTGACCACGCGAAGCATCTATTGGAAAATATGAAGGCTGCCCTACATCTGAAACAGCTGAAGAAAATTGCGATGTTTCCGTTATGTGTACTTGGAGTGGAAGCGGGGTATCACGACCAACAACGTACTCGACTGTGGATTGAACGACAACTAGAAGGACACGCTCGACTTCTTGGTACTAGCAGCCCTTTGAAAGCGCGGGCGGTACTCAGGCGGTACTGGCGGTGGAAGAGGCCTGGCTGGAATGAGTGTTTCGACGAACCGTATGTGCTCCTTATATCTTTTTCCAGATTGGAGAACTAATCATGTCTATAGATTTACGATCCTTGTGCCAGCAGGTGCTTGCTAGCTGTTTTGCCGATAGGATCCATATATGCAGACTTTTTCTAAGCAACAGCGAAGAGCCAGTTGACTATACTGTTTCTACCAGAAAAGCATCAGTATACATAACGCACGCTACTCTGAATCTCTCAACCTCATTATTTCCAACACCCTTGTCGGCAACAGACTTATGCATATTATTACGTTGATATGTAGATTCTGGCACTCATTGCGATTGTTCTGAATAGGCGGACATCATAGTAAGCTGGAGAATCTAAAGAATTCGTGTATGCACGCCTTGAGTGGTAGGTCCAACGATGAAAGAGCCTCACTGTTGTATGATCAGTTGTCCGTGATATTGGCACAGTGTGAGCCTTTCGATTTTCGTTTGCTTATGCAATGTTTCTCTGAGCAAGAAACCCGCAAGTGCTTTGCATCACCGAGAGGCCGAAGGAAAGGCACGCTTACTCGTTCTGGCAGCAAGCCCGTAAGGCAAACTGACCTGCACGACAAAAGCAATAATCACTTGTCGCATCTGATCATCCGACGCGATCTCTTCCGTGATTCGTGGTTGTGAGTCTTGGCCCTGTTGGTTTCCTAAAATGGTTAAAATTAATGACGGGCACTCTCAATAGATGCGCTATGTTATTCGAAGACGTTAGGGGCTCAGCTTGGCCATTTGACTGCCTGCTCCAGTGTAGCGTGATACAGTGGTACCCCAACCGCACACACCAATCACAACGGTCACATCTGCGATTCACTTTTGTTCATACTACATAACGCCGACTATGATCAGACGCTGACGTCAGATCTTGTGACGACAATCTTGTGGGTGTATGTTCCCTGTATCTTTGTAGAATATGTCTGGCGGTCGCGGAATCTTGGATTCGGCACGGACCGGTAGTGTGGAAACTTAAGGCCCTCTTTCCGTAATGCAGCTGCAAGGCTTAATACTCCTAGCAAGGATATTTTACTGGTAGTGACAAGTACCTCTCGGAGAGCTATATATATATGACAAGATGGAAACCCGATCTAAGAATCAACAATTCAGCAGCCAACACTTAAGACTATTGCAGAACAAGAGACAAGAACAATTTGAGAAAGCATGATGATTTTTCCACGAAGAATTATTGTCCTTACGTTTTACACGTCACTGACTATCGGAGCAACGGCACAGTACGCATCACCTCAACATATCAGGAGCTCTGGTGATCCTCAGACAGTCGCTATCAACTGGACAGATGCATCCAACGATTTGGGCAGACCTGGTTCTTACGGAACGCTGGCTGTTCCCCTCGACTACAATTCGCCACAATCGGAGAACAACACGCTCATTCTCGATATCTTGAAAGTTGATGCGACGAAAGAGCCTAGGTTAGGGAGCGTCTTGACGAACTGGGGAGGGCCCGGGTTGGATGCGATGTCTTGGCTGTCTTCCCAGGCTCGTTACGTCCTCGCGTAAGTCTTCCCTTACGGTGTATACATCCCAGAGTTATGCTAAAGAGGAATCTGCTAACGATATCATGTACGTAGTATGACGGGCGGACAGTATGACATCATTGGTCCTGACCCGCGAGGCACAGGAAAGACGTTGTCCGTCGACTGCTACAAAGATTCGGAGGAACGAACGCGTGCCTGGTTACTAACACCCGCGAGTACTAATTCATCTGACGCAGCATTGGGTGCTGCTTGGTCGTACAACGAACAGTTCGCACAACATTGCTTCCAGAACGAAAGGGTGGCTGGATCTGTGATGAGCACAGCGTTCGTTGCCAGAGACTTTATGAAGATAGTCGATGCCCTTACTTTAGAAGGCGAAGACGGGCTGCTGCGGTACTGGGGTAAGATGCAGGGATTTTCCAACTGTAGAGCTACCACGTACTGACTTTCCAATCTTAGGGATATCATACGGCACATATCTCGGGCAGATTCTCGCTGCTATGTTCCCAGACAAGGTCGAAAGAATGATGCTTGACGGAGTTCTCAACCCGCTCGAATATCAGCAAGGATGGTTCGTGTATTTCTACCGATGAAGGTGGCACAAACTGACCAGAGACTAGGGAGACGGGCCCATCTGTCTCAGCATCAGTAAGCTTAAAAGAATTCACAAAGCAGTGCATCGATGCTGGGCCCGTCTGTGCCCTATTCCGCCCCAATATCTCCGCGAATGCATTATACAAACGAATTCAGGATCTAAAAGAGAGTGCTAAACACGTCCCGATCGTCATGGGTCCTAACATCACGACCGATATTGTCACCTACGACGAAATCGCAGAGGCCAGTGATACAGCGCTTCGTTCTGGTCTAGCTTTCGGGCCTTACTTGGCTGGCTATCTCAACAGTATCATGATCCGCGATACTTCCGAATATAACCACACCCAGTATGTGGCGAACCGATCAATGATTGTGCGGGACAATACGTTCAATGCAGACAGTACGCAACTCATTCGTTGCTCTGACGCCATGCTACGTGCTGAAGAGCTCGCCGATATCGAGCACCACGTCCAAAATCTAACGGACTTGGGTGATTGGAACAGTGATTACATCATAAGCTCGTACATGCTATGTTCACAGTGGAAGATCCAGGCAAAAGAACGCTACGAGGGTGATTTTAGAGCGAAAACGAGAAATCCCGTACTACTCATCGGTTCGCCATATGACGGTCGCACTCCAATCTCTGGGGCGTTTGCAGCGAACAAGACTCTTGAAGGAAGTGTGGTACTACAACACAACGGTCTGGGGGTAAGTCGGTCCACTTTTCTCACTCCGTTGCATGAGTGAAGAATCCCCAAGTGAGACGTTCGCTAACGAGACTGATAGCATACTGTCATGTATAGCCCGGGGATCTGCGCGATCGCTGCTAGCGCTGATCATTTCGTAAATGGAACTATGCCCAAAGAAGGTACTGTCTGTGAGCAAGACTTCACATCCTTCTCTGGAAAAGGCATGTCTGATACTCTCGACTTACTCGGAGAGTTTTGATTCATGCATGCGTCGAGGCTGGAGCTGTGTAGATACAACTTTGGAAGGATAAGTACTGGGAAAACTGCAAATAGTGATAACACTTAGTTGGGTTCATCCGAAGCCTGATTACCTGTTGTAATGCTGAATCTCATCAACGTGGATACTGTGTCGACGTCTACTGCGGCCAAGAAAACAATTACTCGAAGCATCAACGATACATCAGAGTAGAGGTGAGAGGCCAAAGGATACGGAGCATACCGAAAGACTGTCATGTCTGGAGATAGCGTGGGGAGAAAAACAAAAGCGCAAAGCGTAATCCAAAAAGCGTTTGTAATCTACCCCGCACCACGCCTCATGTGCTTATCATGGGCCTGCCTTACTTGAACCTAGGCAAAAGCATGACAATTGTAAACCAAGTCTTCCCTCCCTCTTCAAGTCTATGCTAGTTTGTAGCGAAACAACCTGTATACCTAGTATGGAGGACATCGAAACAGAGATCATAAACACGACAGAGCGAATCGGTGATTTAGTCGATTGGCTCGTCTTCCGCCATGATAGGCTTCAATACTCGCCAACCATGTACATAGATCTCGAAGGCGTTAACCTCTGCCGTGAGGGCTCCATTTCCATCCTCACCCTTCTAATCGATACCGGCATTCCGACCGGGCGCGTCTACCTGATCGATGTGCATACACTAGGCGCACAAGCGTTCAACACTGCTGGTGCCAAACGGACGCTAAAGGGGACGACGCTAAAGGATATCCTCCAAGATGAAAGGATTCCAAAGGTCTTCTTTGACGTTCGCAACGATTCAGATGCGCTATTTGCGCATTTCGGCGTGGCGTTGCAGGGGGTCGAGGACGTCCAGCTTATGGAGAGTGCGACAAGGAAGACCACGGCATCTCGGAAGTTCTTAAACGGCCTGACCAAATGTGTTGAGAACAACTTGCCCATGCCCACTTTTGGCAGCGGACTAGTCAGTTGGAAGCTAGCTAAGGAGAAAGGCGAGCGATTGCTCAAGGCCGAATATGGCGGCTCGTATGACGTGTTCAACCAGCGACCGATTCCAGAGGATATATCATCTTACTGTGTCGGTGATGTCCAGTACCTCCCTGAGTTACGGGATAGGCTTTACAAGTCGAGGGCCTATCGGTGGCAAGACCTAGTCGGTGAAGAAACCAAAAAGCGCGTTGTGACGTCTCAGAGATCGGACTACCAGCCCCACGGCCCCGATAAGGTGATGGCTCCATGGAGCAAAGGACAGAACATGGTTTTGGATCAGTGGAATAATGTGCCTCCTCGAAATTACTTCGCCGAGTACTTCGCCAAGTCCGGCGACTCAGATGATTGGGATGGCGGTCCGACCAACTGTAGGGACATCATCGACGATTACGACCTTTACTATTCAGACTAAGCCTCGTAAGATAATATATCTGCATTAGATTCGTTACGTAGATACTCTTCAACGGTGTGTTAGCCTGTGTGTTTATGCTCGGTCTACGAAGAAGCTTGGTCTAATGAGTTGTGCTCGCTAGGTACTGCCTACGTAGAACCGACCCTAAAGACATGCGTGGTAGTGTATGCTACAATCATAAACGAAAAACCACTGTGTATACTTTTACAGTACATCATGGTGATGGGTATAACCCATGAAGAACAGCTTTTCATAACGCGATAATTCTTCCAGGTTTCTACTAGAGGATCTCGCGGTCGAGAAACCTATATCATCAGCCAGGTACTCTACCTCGAATTTGCCTCGAAGTCATCACGCTGAGAGCGAAAGGATTCAAAGAAGCAGTTAAATGGTTGTGGTTTTATCCCCTCATCCACCCCACTCTCCTCGTCGACCAGTATCAACACCGACAAGGGTATCGGTGCTTCCGTTCCAACTCTGCCCAATGAAAGTCCATGTTGCCCACGAATCTCAAGCATGAACGTGGCCCATCTCATATGCGCCGAAACATGCATATTTGAAACGAGCAAGTGGGCAGCCTCATCCGAAGAGGCGCCTGCGCATCGCCACATCATTCATCGATTTATGCATGCTCGATAATGCTGAACAAAGCTGATGGATGCCGGCAGAGCGGAGTGGCAGTGCGAAAGGTTAGCGCACAAGCTCGCAAGTTGAAGCTCCTCCACAAACTACTCCGAGTGCTAAGGGGCGATCATGTCCTCTTTACCCTGCCCAACAGCTCGCATATCCATGGCCAGGCCTAGAAGCCAAAAATAAAATCAAGCCGCCAGAGCTGCCCAGCGCCAGCGCGCGAGAGAGCCGCGTACCCGGCGTTAAAACGGCGCGTCGAGGCAGCCAATCAGAGCACGTACCTGAGACGCCATGACGACTCGCCAGCCGAGACCCTTGCCGATTTCCCTTGCGGTCCAGTCGACCTGACAGGGATCAGCGGCCCTTTTTCCTTTCCACTGCGCTATCCTCTTCCACGTCGAGGGACGCGACGACAACTCGTATCTCTCACTGCTGTTGCTGTTACTTGTCTGCTTTGTACACTCGTTCTCTTTAGCGCATATACCCACCCACGTTTTCTTTGTTTGCTGAGACCGCAAGAGGGGAATTGAATACGACCAACAGCCAACTTTCCGATAGAGAGATACTGTGAGAGCAGCATCGCCGCAGGAAGACATGCGCTGAGCTGTCTGACCCAAGATCGACCCTCGATACGAACGGCCGTCAACGTGCACACATAACACGTGCTACACCCACGGCATTCACAACGCTCATTACACACTACAACCACATTCGCTGCGCACGTTACACGACCTCCACTGTGCCCGCCACACTCACCATGGCATCCCCACTACCGAATACGCTGCTCCGGCGGGACCTGAGCATAGAGCAAAAGTTTGAGCAATTAATGTCGGACAATCCATTGGGCGCCTCGGTACGTCCAAAACCCGGTCAATTGCATACACCTCTGACAAGGCCAGGTATCCCAAGATTCAGTCCTTATCGCTATCGGCACATCCTTTGGCATCACCGCCGCCATCTTCGTACTTTTCCTCCTACTACGCCCTTTTAATACCATTGTTTACGCGCCCCGTCTCCGACATACCGACGAGAAACACCGACCGCCGCCGCTGGACAAGTCACTGTTTGCGTGGTATCACCCCGTGTTCAAGACAAACGAACCCGAGTATGTCGAGAAGATTGGGCTCGATGCGACCATCTTCCTACGCTTTGCGCGCATGTGCAGGAACATGTTCGTTGTACTGGCCATTGTCGCCTGTGCCATCATAGTCCCCGTCAACGTAATAAAGTCGGTCGAGTTCCAGAAGAACTTTGACGGAGACATGTCGAGCAAGGCCATTTTCCTGATGACGCCCAGGGATTTGTTCGGTCAGGTCTTCTGGGCTTTCGTCGTCTTGGCATACGTTATCGACATCATTGTGTGCGGCTTCTTGTGGTGGATGTACCGTGCTGTACATCGGCTGAGACGCCAGTACCTGGAGCACCCGGACTACCAAAACAGTCTGTATGCACGCACGCTGATGATCACGGACGTTGGCCGCAGCTTTCGTAGCGACCAAGGTATCGTAGAGATCACGGATAGCTTGAAGACTACGCCCGAGGTGCCCCGCGCGTCCGTTGGACGCAATGTGAAGGATATCCCAGACCTGATCGAGGCGCACGAAGAAGCGGTCATTGAGCTGGAGAAGATTTTGGCCAAGTACCTGAAGAACCCGAATAAGCTCCCCACCGAACGCCCACTCTGCACCCCCTCGAAGAAAGACCCAGAGTACACCGATCGAACGCAAAAGGTAGACGCAATCGAATACCTAACAGCACGCATCCAGCGCCTGGAAATCCAGATCAAAGAAGTCCGCGAAACAATCGACAAGCGCGATGCTCTGTCGTATGGATTCGCCAGCTACGAGACCATCGACTCCGCACACATGGTCGCCTTCGCAGCCCGCAGCAAACACGTCAAGGGCACCACTGTGCGCCTTGCTCCCAAGCCCAAGGATATCATCTGGAAGAACCTGACCCTGGATCCTAAAACGCGCCGCTGGAGGCGTATCGTAAACAACTTCTGGATCACGCTGCTTACACTGCTATACTTCATTCCCAACGCCCTCATCGCTGTTTTCCTCTCCAAGCTCAGCAATCTCGGTTTCGTATGGCCAGAATTCCAGGTCGAACTAGGCAAACACTCTGATTTCTGGGCCGTGGTACAGGGTCTCGCTGCGCCTGCTCTAACGTCGCTGTTCTACTACTTCCTGCCCATTATCTTCCGGCGCTTGAGTATCAAAGCAGGTGATTTGACAAAGACGAGTCGGGAACGTCACGTGACGGCGCAATTGTACGCCTTCTTCGTCTTCAACAATCTCTTCGTCTTCTCGCTCTTCAGCGCCGTGTTCGGCATGGTCGTCATGATTGTCAATCTCGCGGCTGAGCAGCACGTCCCGTTTATGGATATCCTGCGTCAGATTGCTTTCTTCGACACGACTATGCGCACGCTGTGTGAAGTTAGTCCGTTCTGGGTTACATGGCTTGTGCAGCGCAATCTGGGTGCTGCGATTGATCTCGCGCAAGCTGTGAATCTCGCCTGGGGCAGTTTTTCGCGCAAGTTTTTGAATCCGACGCCCAGGGAACTTATCTCGAGGACTGCGCCGCCGCCGTTTGATTATGCGAGTTATTATAATTACTTTTTGTTTTACTCGACGGTGGCGTTGTGTTTTGCGCCTTTGCAACCCATCACCCTCGTTATCGTTGCCATTTACTTTACGTTGGATAGTTGGATGAAGAAGTATCTCTTGATGTAAGTCCTCCTCTCAGCATTTGAACATGAAAACGCAGTGTGTTGACTAACGTGGGATAGGTACGTCTTCTGCACGAAGAATGAATCCGGCGGCGCATTCTGGCGCGTTCTCTTCAACCGCATGCTTGTCGGTACTTTTCTGTCAAACTGCATCGTCGCCCTCCTCGTCGTCGCCCGCGGCTACGAACACAAATGGAAGATGCTGGCTGCCATGGCCCCGTTGCCCCTTGGTCTCATCGCCTTCAAATTCTACTGCAAGAACACGTTTGACCACTCGCTCAAATACTACACCCAAGGCACTAGAGCAAAGGGCACCGAAGCCCCGACCCCCATCGACAAGGAGTCTCGCCGCAGAGACCGTGTCGCGGTGCGCTTTGGGCACCCCGCGCTGTACCAGAAGTTGACTGTGCCAATGGTGCATGAGAAGAGTAAGCACCTCCTTGCGGAAATCTACCGTGGGCGTCTCGACGGCGATATCGGCGACAGTGCGGCTTTCAGCGACATTTACATGAAGCGTATGAGCAAAGAGCATCCTGGGAAGATGGCGACATCAACAACTGCCGCCGCTAGTGCGCCTGCGCCGTTTGAGTTTGTGTCCGAGTCGAATATGGATTTTGAGAATTACAAAAATAGGCCCGAGTTTAGCGATGAACATGGTGGCGAGGGTTCGGTCTACGGCGGCAGCACAGTTGGTGGCGGAGGAGGAAGACCTGATAGCCCTGCTGGTAGTAGCCATTGGGGACGCGGTAGCGAGAGAGGGCGTCCTTCCAGTCAGGACTCACAGCGCACTTTTAATAATAACGGAGAGGACAACCCTGGTGTCTTGTATCCCCAGGGGTATCACCAGACGCCTAGTGCACTGAGGGAGTACAGTCCCAGTCCTAGTCTTGATCTGAGGGGCGTGGATTCTAGAGACGCGAGTCCTTATTATGAGATGGGCGCGGGCAATCATTCTGACCAAGGGAGGTTGGTGTCGGGGGCGGCGCCCATGGGAAGTAGTGGTGGTGCTGGAGGGAATAGGGGGCAGGAGCAGTATACGCCGTATAGTCCTAGTAGGGATGGGGCGAGGGATTACTTCGCGCGGTGAAGGGAAGGAAAAAGCGGAGGGTGACACACGCATATTGAGACGAATTTCCTTTTTTGGGTACAAAGATGTTATAGAATCTTAGGCTGACATCGGCTCTGCGAGGAAAGGCCTTGCGGAAGCGAAAGTGGCATTTAGATGGGGAGTATTGTATAGATGCCAGAATCAGAAACTGGTTTCCACACTTTTTTCCCCACGATGTTTGTTGTTGTCCTATTTTCTCTAGATTGCTTTCGTGTGTAATATGTTATTTGTACCGAAAGTCACCACCACTGCCTACTTTTGACAGTTTCCAAGTAGTTCTTGGGTGACAGAAGGCGAAGCCATCATCATCAACTAATACAAGCACCTCCAAGGCATTCAAATAACACCAACAATCTCATCGGTAATGAAGTAAATTACACGACATCTGGTGTTCAAGCGCCACGACGTCTGCAACCGGACGTCTTCTCCCACCCCACTAGCTCCTCTTGGCGAGACAAGGGTCTCTCCGCGCATCGCGAATTTCCACTTCGACCATCGTCACCAACATCGCAACCACCAAAGCCGCCATTGCGCCTCACAGAAACCCCCCGCAACCATGAATCTCTCGATATTCCGACCCGTCTTCCGGCCCTACAAAGCAACACCGCCATCGCAGTCAACCAACATCTGGCAACGGACCGCACAACAAACATGTCGGCAACCGCCCAAGCCGCAACGAGCAACCTTTTCCACAACACCGTGCCTGCAGAAGAGGAGTAAAAAAGGGCCCGGAAACGATCCCAGGATAAGTACGTCCCCCACGCCTACCTCTACCCGTCGCGGAACAATCACCCTCCCCTCTTTCGCGCAAACACCCCAGCCCTAGAACACCAAGTTGAAAGCAACAAAAGAAGAAGAAGAAGAAGAAGCTAACACATCTCCCCTCCCCCACAGCAAACATCCGCTACCACCTCTCCCACCCCCTCACCCCCCGCCCCCTACACTTCTCCCGCAACCGCTCCCTCCGCCACTGGACCATCCACCGCGCCTGGCTCCTCTTCCTACGCAAGCGCCGCTGGGCCGAAGAACGCGAGCTAGAGCGCCAATACATGGCCATGCGGTCCGCGTGCGAGCACCTCCGCCTCATGGATAACAACGGTAACCTCGTGCAACAGGACGAGGCGGGCGGACAGGGCGCCGATCCGAGTCGTCTAGGTAGTAAAGGAAGAGAGGTGGGACGATTGTATCGTAGTGCGATGCTTAAGAGGGGGGTGTGGGGGAGTGTGCCGGTTGAGTATGGGAGGGTGCAGACGGATTTCCCGCCGAGGGAGGGGTGGAATCATGCGTGGGTTAGGAATCAGTAGGAATAGTAGAGAAATGCTGTCATTGCATTGTTTGTTGTTGTGCTGGTTTCATGGGCTATGAAGGTTTTCGAGGGGGACGTGTTTTTTTTTTGGGGGAGGAAATGTGTAAATATATATCGTACAGCCTCCACCACTCCGGGAATCTGCAGTTACAAGGCACAACATGGTATCACCACATTATCCACACGTCCAGGCGGCAAACATATCAAATAACGGTACATTGATGAGCGGGAGACAAGTTCAATGGCTTAGCTGTCGATTGTCGCTAAACAGACTACTACATGTCGCTATTCTAGAGCAGCGCGTTTCTAGACGCATACAGCGAAAACCCCTTGGAATGTACAACTTTGTAAGGTGAGGGAAGGAGTGGATGATGATGGCGGATCTTCTCGTCAAATCATTAGCCAACATCGCAGATATAGTAGGACTCGCAAATCTTGTTCTTTCTCCATCGCATATCATCTTCCGGCCAGGCATAGAGAAAGGTAGAAAGAAAGGAAGAGAGAGAGCAGTCTTGAGCTTCCTCATTCTGAGCCCCCAATTTCGTCGCCCCAAATGCTACACACAACAAGCCAGCATAGCTTTCCTTCTCTCCAACTTGAAAGGTTACAATGCAGCTACGCTCAAAAAGATGTAAAAAACATAAAAACGAACAAAAAAACAGAAAAGAATTGAAGTTAAACCCCAAGATATATCGCCAACTCCATGTTGTTTACTCCGCCCAATGCAGTGATGTGTGATGGAAGAAGAAGAAGCAGAAGCAGAAGAAGATCAGGATGCGGAAGCAAAGAGAGACAGAGAGCGAGAGAGAAAAAGAGGCCAAGAGAGGAGAAACACCATCTCGTGTTTTCCCATGGCCCCCCAAAGTCCCAAACCCTCTCAAAGAACAACACACCCACACCCCGGATTCTCCTTCTTATCCACACTCAACAGCGCGGCCCTAGTCGCCGCCTCAAAGACATCATCAACACCATCACCCGTCAGACTACTGCACTCGAGATACTTTCTCGCCCCAATCATCTCCTTCATATCCGTGCCCTGTTTTGTCGTCGTGAACCTCAGACTCTTCTTCCTCATCTCCTCTTGGGCCAACGGATCGTCTCTGAGATCCTTCTTGAGAGCGACGAGGATAATGGGCACCGTGGGACAGCGTTCGCGCGCCTCTTCCGCCCACTTGTGCTTGACGTTATCGAGGGAGTCGGGCGAGTCGACGCTGAAGCCGATGAGGATGACGTGCGCTTTGGAGTAGGCGAGGGGGCGCAGGCGCTCGTAGTCTTCTTGGCCGGCGGTATCCCAGAGGGCGAGCTGCACAGATTTGCCGTCTACTCGACAGTCGGTGACGTAGTTTTCAAAGACGGTTGGGACGTAGCGCTGTCCAAGTTAGAAAAGGAAGATACTTTGCAAAGGCCAGTCACGTGTTTGGGAACCTTACAGTTGGAAAGTAACCGAGAGTGAAGACACTCAGAAGACTCGTCTTTCCGCAGGCGCCGTCGCCGATGATGACGAGCTTCCTAGAGGCACAGGATCAGCATGTTGTATGGGTGTGGCATAATGTATGAGCGTCATGGTGTGACAGTGTCGGCGTGAGCGAATGACCGAAAGTAGATAGAGAAAGTTCGCATGTACTGAATAGCCAGAAGGAGAAAGAATTGAGCGCGAGTCGATAAAAAGTGGACATGGGGAGCCTGTAGGGTGGCCTATTTTTAGTCGGACGTGTCGTCGGACCGGGTGCGCCAATGCAAGCTATGGCGCAAAAGCCGGGGTGCCTCAGCTCGCATGTTGATGCAGTCGGAATATTCTCCTGCGACGTACATGCAAAGTCTGAAGGGGGGAGATGCTCAGAGGATGCAGAAGTCATGTCGTCGAAAGAGACTCGGACGGGATGAAATAGAGTTGGGGAAAAAGCAAAGGGCGCACTTGGGAAAACGGTGGTGAAAGATCGACATGATAAAGTGAAGTGTGACCAGGGTCCAAAAAGTGAAGATCAAACGTACCTGCGCATTACGGGCTCGCCATTCTGCTGCTGTTGTGCCATTATGGGGGTGAAATACCGCAGTTAGCGGGGGGTTGTTGGGAGATGTTGGGCGTGTTGTTGGGCCGGCTTGCGTGTCGAGGATGGATGGTGCGTGTCGAGGATGCGGTGGTGCGCGGGTGGGCAGGATACAGCCAAGTAGCCTTGTCCGCGCGAGGGAGCGAGGGATCGAGGGGAGCGAGTGTGATGTCGGCGGAGCGCGTGTCCCGGAGCGAGTGGTGAAGGCGTCGAATGCGTCGAGTGATGCGTCGACGGGTGTGGATGCGACGGGTATCGAGTCGACGGGCGTCAAAAAACGTCAATGGTTTGGCCGGGGGCAGGCGCAGGATGAAGCGACAGACTAGCGACGGGCAGTGTGTCGAGGGAGAGTGTGGTGAGAGTGTGGTGAGAGGGTGGTGAGTGGGTGAGTGGTGTGGTGATATGCCTCTGCGACAATGGGGATGGGTGTGATGGAGAGGTGACGGGGGGCGTTTTAATAATGAAGCTTGGGGACGATCACGGCGGAGACATGCACGAGCTAAAGCTACAGACGGCTGGACTGGGGACGGGGTGCACTGGCGTCGGTGGTGGTGCGGTGTGGGAGTGGGTGTTGAGATACGAATGGGAATCTGAGCACCTGCACAGCCTCTCTCTCCCAGCTTCCCTTGGTTCCAGAAGGCTGCCGGGGTGCCAAGACGTGGCACTTGCGGCAGGTGCGAATCGCAACGTCGGTACCACAATGGGCCGTCGACCATCAACAAGAGGCTACGACATCTCGGCATGACCTAAGCAAGACGCCGCCCGAGCACACGAGCCAGACACACCAGCGAAGAGACACTGCGCCCGACACTCGATTTCTCTCCCCATACTCGAATCGCATACCCTGCTGTGCGTGGCCGGCCCCTCCTCCACCTCTGACCTCTCCTCTCACTTTTGCTGCCCCGGGTGGCTGCACGCTAGTCTGCCCGCGCCATATCGGAGCTGTCACCCACGACATAGCGAGCCCGCCCTCTAACACGTCTTCCAGCTGCCACTCCATCCCCATACATGGCCCAGGGCACCCGAGGGCCGACCCCGGCTACTATGCCGCCCAACGGCACCGCGACCCACGATCCCACCCCGACCGCCGTAAACCGCAAGAAGCAGAAGCGACGGGAGAAGGAGGCCGCCAAGAGAGCCGCACAGGAACCGCCTGCGCCTGCGCCCGCGCCTGTGAGAAACGGTGCTCCTCCTCCTCCCCCTCCCCCAGGCCAGCAGTACGCGGACCCCGAGCTGGACGAGGCGGCCTACGACGAGGGGGAGTACTACTCGGACGAGGAGTATGAGCACGCGTACGGCGCAAATGGCGACTACCAGCAAGCCTACAGCCACGTGCCAATGCGAGGGAGCACAAACAAAAAGTCCAGGCGGAAGAAGAAGGCGCCCTCCGCTCCTCCTCCGCTCGACTACACCCAGCACGTCGCGTCACGCCTCAGCCCCGCACCCGGACACTCCATGTCGCCCGCCCACTCTGTCGCGCGATCCGGCTCCAGACAGGACCGTATATGGAACACCACCATGCAGGACGAGAGGGATCGCATACGCGAGTTCTGGCTGTCCCTCGGCGAGGACGAGCGCAAGTCGCTTGTCAAGATTGAAAAGGAGGCGGTTCTGCGCAAGATGAAGGAGCAGCAGAAGCACTCGTGCAGCTGCACCGTGTGCGGCCGGAAGCGCACAGCCATCGAGGAGGAGCTGGAGGTTCTATATGATGCCTATTATGAAGAACTCGAGCAGTACGCGCACCACCAGCAAGACATCGGTAGTTTCATGCCCGAGGCTAATTATGGTTATGCGTCCAGTGCTCCTCATCACCCACGCCCTATGCTCAACTCCCACCCCCATCCACCCCCCGGCACCTACGACGACGACGACGAAGAAGAAGAAGAAGAGTACGACTCGGGCGAGGAAGACGACGAAGATTCCGAATACGACAGCGAGATCTCGTCGGAAGGCGACTACAGCTCCGGCGAGCCAAGTCTACCGCCGCCCGAGCCCTCAGACTTCCTCCAGTTTGGCAGCAGTCTGCAGGTCAAAGGTATGCATTTTCCTATACCCGTGCTGGGAGCATGCTGATTCATCCTTTTAGGTGGCATACTTACGGTTGCTGACGATTTGCTCAAGAACGACGGGAAGAAGTTCATCGAGATGATGGAGCAGCTCGCCGAGCGTAGAATGCAAAGAGAGGAAGATGCTCAAGTTCAGGCTCATCCAGGTGCGCAGCATCGATCGTATACCGGTCACAGTCACAACGCTCCGCCGCCCGACGAAGACGATTACGACGACGAGGGCGAGGATGAGGACGAGTACGATGACGACGACTACGAGGAGGATGAAGAGGATGAGGAAGTGCGTATCTTGAGTTGGCGTGTCTGTCTGCAACTAACCCTGCCAGGGCGCCATGACTGAGGAGCAACGGATGGAGGAGGGCCGCCGAATGTTTCAGATCTTCGCAGCGCGAATGTTTGAGCAAAGGGTACTCCAAGCGTATCGAGAAAAGGTAGCCGCAGAGAGGCAGCAGAAGTTGCTCGAAGAACTAGCAGAAGAGGATGTGCGAAAAGACGCGAAAGAGGCCAAGAAAGCAAAAGAAGCCCAGAAGCGAAAAGAGAAGAAGGACAAGCAGAGGCAGTTGAAGGCGGAGCAGGAAGCGAAGAAGGAAGCCGAACGAGCAGCCAAAGAGGCCGAGGCCAAGGCTGCAGAAGAGAAACGACTCGAGGAGCAACGGAAGAAGCGAGAAGAGCAGCGGAAGAAGAAAGAGGCTGAGCGCAAAGCCCAAGAGGAAGAGAAGCAACGCAAAGAAGCCGAGCGTCTGAAACGACAGCAGGAAGAACGCGAGCGACAGCAGGAAGCTGAGAGGAAAGCACGAGAACAGAAAGCGCTCGAGAAAAAGGCCAAAGACGAGGCTAAACGAAAGGAACGTGAAGAGCGAGAAGCGAAAGAGAAAGAGGCAAAAGAGAAGAAGGCACTAGAGGACAAAGAGCGCAAGGAACGCGACTCAAAACTAAAGGTCGACAAGAACCGTACGGCCAAGGAAGACCAAGCCGCCGCCGCTGCTGCTCACAATGCTATAGCTGGTGCGGCGAAAAAGTCGTCACAGCCAGCAGTCGCGGTGCCTCCCCAGTTGCTGAAGCAGAACTCGTCTGCTGGAATGCCTTCGCCACTTGTTACACCAGCTGTACCAAAGGCTCCAACACCTAACCGACCACGACAGACATCGCACCAAACCTCTCACAGTTCATCCCCCAAGACTCCCCACGCGACTCTGGGGGTGAGCAAGTCAACATCTCCGAATTCTCAGATGCCGAATCAGTCAATACCAAGGTCCATTTTGACCAAAGCACCAATCCCACAGCAAGGTCTATCCAATCCGCATGGCCAGCCAGCTTCTCCGATGCCTCCCATGGGACCACCACCGGGGATGCAAGGACCACCAGGACTCGGGATGGGTAACATGCCACCGGGTCTGAATGGCTTCCCTGGTCACACCTCAATGATGCCCGGGATGATGGGCCCCCGTCCAAATATGCCCTTCTACCCCCAGCCTGCGCCCCAGAGCTTCCGTGGTTTCCCACCACCAGGAATGCACACATCAGGCGCCCTCCCGATCGGTCGTGGCGGTTTTCCAATGGAGGGACCACCAGGTTTTCCCGCACCCCCTGGTTTTACCGCCCCAATGCCCACCGCGTTTCCAATGGGTATGCCGACGCATTCAAGACAAGGAAGCGGATCGTTTGAGAGACTTTCAAACGAAAGCCCTATTACGGGGCCGTCAGCACAGCCCATTCAACGACCTACGCCCATCAAGCGTCCAAGTAGTGTAAAGGAAGACGGTCAACAAAACGGGAGCGATGTAGATGAACTTGCGAACCACCTCGGCAGTAAAGCACTACTGGATGACGACGACGATATACCTGAGTTACCCGAGAATCGACGGCCGAGCATGCAACAACATGGCTCCGTGAGAGCGCCATCATTTGGGTTTGCGGATATTCCCGGAAGCCAATATGGGTCGTTTGGTGCACCAGGCGTTGGTGGGGGTAGTATCTGGGGTACACCTCCCTTGGGAGGTTTCCACCCAGGTCCTGCTGGTGGTGGCAATTGGGGCAACTCACCCACATCCAACATATTCAACTCGCCATTTTCTCTGAATGGAGGCAACGCAAGGGGAACGGAGCGCAACGCGAATGAACACCGCATAGTCTGGCTCCGCCGCACAATCTGCGCTGCATGCAAAACCCTCGGCCCGCGTGCCGCTGACGCAGAAGGCTATGTCGATGCAAGCGAAGTGCACAGACAAGTCGAAGCGTCAAGAGGGGCCATGGACCCTGCTGCTGTGTCTATGGAGGAGATGAAGGAAGCTTGCGACATCCTTGACGTCACGCATACTAATGGTGGTGGCACTCTGGATTACAAGGAGGCAGACAATGGGAGGGTGGAGAAGATTAGGTTCAGCGAGAGTGCGCCTGCAACTGCGATGCCTTCTAGTTTGGGCGAAATTGGTAGCCCCGTTCCTGGCCATAGCGTCCTTGCGGGTGGGTTTGGTGGCAGGTTTCCTGGGCTTGGGCCTCAGGGCTTCTGATTTGGGAGCGTAAGGGGAAGGCAGAGTGGAAAGAGAGAGAGAGTAAGGGGAGAGGGGGGGTTCTAGTGGACGTCTTAGTTGCTTGAGACTGTATCCCTTTTGTGCCTCTGACCTTTTTGACTGTTTCCGTTTCTTGTATTGGAAACTGTTTGAACCTCTGAAATTCTGGTGGCGCTACCTTTTTTATTACCTGTCAGGCAGGTTTTCTAGTCACGTTCTGATTGACTAGGGCTCTTTTCAAGTAGTCTGGTTCTTCCCTTGTCTCATTTCGCAAGTGGAGGTAATTGAGTCGGTTCGAGTGTGTCAAGATATGTTGCCCATTCTGCTTGCAACTGGTGATGTGATATTATGCTCAACAGTAGCAGTAAATCTGGCAACCATTTCATATGCCTCTGCTGGTGACGGCTGTGGTACTAGCTGACATCTTCTAGGATTTGACTAGAGCGAAATTATGGTGCATGATACCATTGCTTCACTCAAAAAGCGATGGCTGAGTAGAAGAATGTGATCGAATTCTAGGTTATTCTACGTTGACGGGTAGCGTCGGACAAAGCTCCGGACTCCACCTCAAATCACCGGAAACGTGTTGCTTGTCGCACGTTGCAACGACATGGTAAGAGGAGCGGTCAAGCTCTCCGCTTGGTACCAGTGACACAAAACCCCGCAATTGCGACATGGCCACGGCACGCCAAAAAAGAAATTCGGCGAAAGCGACAATCATCTTGCTGGCATTTGACAGGCGTTCAGACAAGTAGGTTTCAGTAGCAGCCTCACACTCTGGTCGAGCAAAGGGGCGAACAGCAACGGATGGGTACAAGACCTAATAATAGGACTCGTCAGTTGGAAGGTGAAAACGTGTTAGTCAGGCACGCATCATCATCAACAGGCACGCACAACCCTGCATGCACCATCCCTGCTAGTGCGCAAGGTTGGCGGGGTCGTGAGGAGCCTCATAGCTACCGTCAGCTAGCTATACAATACGGAGCATTCGCATCTTTTCCATTGTCAACATCCCCATCAACTACCACTCCATCCATCCACCTACCCCCCACCATGTCCGACCCCGTCGCTGACGCCGCGCAAAAGCACCCTGCGCCCGAGGGTCTTGTGTATACGTATGGAACAGCTGGCTTCAGGACAAAAGCAGATGTCCTCGACTCCGTCCTGACCCGTGTCGGCCTCATTGCGGCTCTCCGGTCGCGAGCGCTCAAGGGAAAGTGGATTGGCGTCATGATTACCGCCTCGCACAACCCACCCCAGGACAACGGTGTGAAGCTTGTTGAGCCAATGGGCAACATGCTCCAAGAAGAATGGGAAGTCATCAGCACCAAGATGGCCAACCAAGCCACCCCCGCCGACGTGTCCAAATACTACCACGACATTGCCGCTCAGTACAAAATCGACCTCGATACGCCTGCCCGCGTCGTAGTAGCCCGAGACACAAGAGCGTCCGGCTCGAGGCTTCTCGAGTGCCTCAAGGACGGCTTGAACAGCGCTGGTGCCGAGACAAAGGACTATGGCTTCTTGACCACGCCGCAGTTACATTACATGGTGCGGTGCTTGAACACCGAAGGCACCAAGGATGCCTACGGTGAGCCAACGGAGAAGGGCTACTACGAGAAGTTCAGTGCGGCTTTCAAGACGGCACTCAAGGGAAAGCAGCCTTCTGGCAGTCTGACAGTGGACTGTGCCAATGGTGTCGGCGGGCCAGCGCTGAACAAGCTGGTCAAGTATCTTCCGTCCAAAGACCAAGGCGGTCTCGACATTTCTGTAATCAACGACAACGTTATCAAGCCCGAGAGCCTCAACGTCGACGTAAGTCCTCCCGTCCACAGAAGATGCAACATCGAAAAGACAAAAACGCTAATCCATTTCCCCAGTGCGGAGCAGACTTTGTAAAAACCAACCAACGCGCCCCTCCCTCTTCCAAAGCCGGACCCGGCGACCGCTGCTGCTCCCTCGACGGTGACGCCGACCGCGTCGTCTACTACTTCAAAGACGAGAAGAACGTATTCCGGCTCCTAGACGGAGACCGCATCGCCACGCTCGTCGCCAGCTTCCTCGGCGACCTCGTGCGACAGAGCAATCTAGCCGACAAGCTGAAGATTGGCGTCGTCCAGACGGCCTACGCCAACGGTGCTGCGACAAAGTACGTCGAAGACAATCTCAAACTCAAGGTCGATTGCACACCCACGGGCGTCAAGTACCTGCACCACGCGGCTGAGAAACTGGACATTGGCGTCTATTTTGAAGCGAATGGCCATGGTACGGTCATCTTTAGCCACGATACGTTGGCTACGATTGCGAGCCATGAGCCGAGGAACCCGGGGGAGAAGGAGGCGCTTGATGTGCTTCGGGCGTGCATCGAGCTAATTAACCAAGCCGTGGGCGACGCGCTTTCAGATTTCTTGCTCGTAGAAGTTGTGCTTGCGCATAAGCGGTGGGGACCGCAGGAATGGTTGTCGACGTATTCTGATCTGCCCAACCGCCTGTTGAAGGTGTTGGTTAAAGATCGATATGTTTTCAAGACGACGGATGCGGAGAGGAAATTGGTGAGCCCGGAGGGTTTGCAAGCGAAGATTGATGGCGAGGTGCAGAAGGTTAGGCAGGGGAGGAGCTTTGCGAGGGCGAGTGGGACGGAGGATGCGGTTAGGGTTTATGCCGAGGCGGAGACGAAGGCTGAGGCGGAGGATTTGGCGAGGAAGGTTGCGGGGCTTGTGGAGGGTGCTGGGGCGTAAATAGAGAGAGAGAGAGAACATTAGGATTGGGGGCTGTTTTTGGACGTTGGATGAATGATATATATGCATCAAGCTTGTTAGCATTAGGAAAGGATGGTGAGAGAAAACAAATAAAAGTTTATACCAGGAAGAATTTTGACCACGATTGTTTTCGCTGGAACTTTCGTTCTTTCTTTATTATCGTTTTCGGTAGTTACCAGCACAGCAGCATTTCTTGAAGTTAGTATGCTTGTTGTACGATGGGCTTTTGCAAGGTCTCTCTTTGGAGGTAAGCAAATGAGGATGGTGTAAGAGTCCTTGGTTCGCTGGCTTCCGATTTTTATTCTTATCGTCATGGTCAGGTGACTCTGGCGCATTGCTATGATTTGAGGCGTTTAGATACTGGTGTGATAGCGATTCGGGGCGTGCAAAGAAAGAGAGACATCAGGGTCAACTGCTGATATAATGAGGTAGGTAGGCTGGAATCTCGAATGAGGCGACAGTGATTGACCGGTTGATTGTAAATCGAGATGGAGGGATGGTTTGTAGATCTTGGCTTGCATGTATGTTGGCGATTGGGGAGCGTCGAGCCCTCGTTGCCGCGGCTTAACAATAATGTTTGAAGTGTTTCGTATCGTCCCCTGTAGCTTCTGGAGATGGAAAATATACCGGGTTCGTAGCATGACGCATTACCGCGCGCATATCGAGAGCTGCCTCTACTGCTATAGCCTAGAGGCATGGGTGTAGTAGAATCCTCGCTCAATCACTGACAACCGTGGTACAGCGGCGACCCAGAACTAACAAGTGACTCATAACGTCTCAAATTATAGAATCTACCGAATTTCAGTCTTTGCAAATTCAAGCAACAAATATATAAAATACAGAATTCTTTCTTCGTCTCTCAAACATTCTCAAGTTCTACATCTCACCAAGCTGCCTCCCGGACGTATACCAAAGCTACTACTGCTACACACACTTTCCACCACCGAATCTTTCCAACTCGCGACAAAAGAATTCATTACAACATCGCCTCAACAGCATTATGCACCTCACCGCGTGCCTCTCCGCCATGACGGCGATCCTCACGATGAGCTTCCCTACTGTAAGTCCCACTCCATCCTTATCTCCCTACCTTCTATCGTCCAGCTCCTTCCACCTTGTAAATCCTCCTCACTCTCACCTTGCACCCGCATCCCAAACACCCGCAACTAATTCCATGCAGGCTCTAGCAAACGACCACAGACTGAGCCGCGACTGCAGCATGTACCACGACGGCGCAAAGCGCTGTTCGTATTACCGCGGTGAGGTAGAGATCTGCGAGGGAGGTAATTGGAGGTTCTGGGAAGATTGCGAGGGCAGCTGGTATTGTGGTGATTATGATGAGTTGGGGATCAACGTCACGTGTATTCCTAATGAGTATTGGTGGGGGGAGCATGGGTTGAAGCCTGTGGTGGAGCCTTATCGGTGATTTTTCTTTTGAACTGAAACTGTTAGAGGGGGGCTGTGGATATTGCGCTATGGATGGGAAGGGTCGCGGACTGTGCACGGGGTGGGACATGGGCTGGAGATGGGCACAAATTGAGAGGGGGGAACATGTTTGCCGATATCGGAAGGTGGATGCGTCGCTCGTTCATATTTGGATGGTGGACTCGATTAACTGATGTTGCAAGTATGGTGGGTTTTTTCATCCTTGGTAGGGGACAAATATACGTATGCAATACACTATACATTCAGTAAACGAGTGGATTAATGGCTCAGTACCATCGTCATTCCTACGCTTTCACATTCGCATCTACGATGCGTCCTATACTCATGTAAGTATTACTATATGCGCGATTTTTTAATGACTTCTCAGTCTTATCGCTCCATACGCTAGATCAGATCTTGATCGAGATCTATCGCAAAGACGGGTAATATATGTGATCATAACTCAGATCTCTGGGTGGAAGTAATCTTGAAGAGGGGACTCATGGTCATCGCGGATGCTTACCATATTATCTGCTAGATCGATTAGTCACTATCAACCTCTTTCCATGGTACAGCCACGCTCTCTCAGCAACGAGCCATTTGTCACATGATACCAAGCATGGCCTATGCCGGAGCAAGTAGTGGGCGTGTTCCGTTTTAGTCAGCGCGGTAGAATTACCCATACATCTCGAGCCATTCGTGATTGCAGGCAAGCGAAAGCCTGCAATTTTGTAGTCATATCATTCGAGGGCGACAGCTGCGCTGCCTCATCGTGTTCGCCAAATTACTCCATACATATATTCACCCCACACATACAACACAATTACGTCCTCCGTAACCCCTACTGTACACGTATACGAAAAATTCCAATATTGGACATACCGCATTCGTGAGAAACGCTTGCTGGGACACGTGGTATCGCAACAACCCTTTCTTAACAAGCCACTCACAGCGTCTACAAGTCTCAACAATCTTGAAGAAACGAACTCTGGATACATCTACTCGTAAGTATTGTTGAAACATAATTGTAATGGATTGAAATCATGGAGAATTCGCTACGCTAGTGGATGTGGCAAGCACCAGTAAGGGCACGGTAAGTACCAATAAGGGTGCGGTAAGTACCAGTGAGGGCAGGTAAGCACCACTAACAATACATGAGATGGCAGCTTCTCACAAGTATAAATACCCGCTGTTTCTTCCTGATCCTCCTCATCTCCTCATCTCTTCATCTCCTCATCTCTTTAACTCTACATCTCTTCAACTCTACATCTCTCATTGTTGCTTTCAAGCTTCAATCCCTCATTGGTGGTTCCTCATTGTTGCTGGAAAGCTCCAGTCTCTCATCGTTGCTCCGAAGCTCCAGGGAGAAGCTTGATCACCGCCTAGCAAAGAACAGGGTACGTTTCTCTTCTCATCGTCTTCCTAACGCTAACACAACTACAACCACAGGCCTACAGCTAGAAGTCCACAACTACATCTACACCACCACAGACCGACACCTACAACCAACGTATCCTTCCCACCGCACTAATACATTCGTGTCTCTCGACCTTCGTCGACCATACATCGAGCATCTCCCCACCGCCGATCATACGTTAAACACCTCATCACTACCAACTATTCATCAAGCAGCCCCTCACCAATACATTCGAGTCTCTTCTCCTCCACGATCATGAAGTACTCATGCCTTCTCGTCGCCGCCTTGGCCTCACTCATCCCCACCGTAAGTCTTCTCCTCTCCTCAGTCAATTCACAGCCCGCTATCATCATGCTAATCCCTATCTCAACCCTCAGGTCGTCGCCCACAAGCCTAGGATGATGGATCCCTGGGCCTGGAAGCCCACTGGACCAAGATGCAAGTACAACGAGAAAGGCGTGTACGGCTGCTTTGGACAGCCGATTGGCCAAGAGGAAAAGTATCCCGAGGATGCGGGGTGGCGCGACACGGTGCCGGAAGGCGGGCGATGGCCAGGCACGCCAGGGGGCCATGCATGAGTTACTGTCGCAATCGCCATTTTGACTTGGATGGACAACTTGATCGTCGGTGTCACCAAGGGATACAAGTACAAGATGCGTTATGGATATGCAGCCAGTAGTAGCGCATATGGGACATGAGATTCGCGGATGGACACGCCAACCACCGCTGATCATGGGATCATAGAGTCTTCATCGGATTGAGCCTATAGCTGAGTCTCGATAATTCACTAATCGAATCATGAAGTTCTTACTTGACTTGGCTTGAATGGAGATGTGTTGATGTCGTGATTGCGTTGCATTGAATGATCTGTCTTTGTGAAGACCATGCTTATCGATCGGAAGCCGCTTGAATCTCAGCACTTGAATCGTTCACTTGAACATAGTGTCGATCGATCCAATGAGGACTATATAAGTATATCTAGGATACGGCTGTCTTTTCTTCTCTATATTCAACGACGTCTGCATAGCTACACCAGCATCTCCGAGCACCTGCTATTACACAGCTTTCAGAGACGGACCTTCTTAAATACTGACACGAGCAAGTCAACCATGCGTCTCGTCTCTAACATCCTCCTTCTCTTGGCCGTTGCTCTCCCCACACTCGCCAACGACTTTGACGAATGCAAAGTGGGGGCAAGGTCATGCTATGGGGCCGCTCCCCAGGAATGCAAGAGAGAAAACTTTATCGCCCCCGCAGTATGGGTATTTGCGGAGGAATGTAGTGGGGATGGAGCGTGTAGCGAAGCCGACGGAAAATGTCATTGGCCAAACAAGTGAATTGCTAGGAACTGTAAGTTTGGTTGGGGATCCGATAATTTCGGACTGCCGACAGAGTGAGCTGACGACTGCAGGTTGATTAGAGGGAGGGTAGCTGTGGCTCTCTGGGCGATAAGACATGGGGGAACTGGAATATCGCTGTCTCCTATGGTTCTACCTGTATCGTGACATATTTGTGAATTTAAATTTGGTGCCTTTTGTTAGCAATTAAACACGTGGTAGAGTCTTAGCTTGTGTAAAATCTGATCAAGAGTTCCTTTGTTGCTTTGAATAAGTACCATAGTTTCTAGGTGGAATGATGTTATGAATGATTTCATTGTGTTGTAGGTTGCTTTGAAGGCGAAATGAAGTCTTCACACTTGTACTCTTCACATGCGAACATTCACTGTACCTTTGAAGCTTTCTCTGAGGACTATATAACCTGCGAGCTGCTGCTCTACTTCTTACTCTCCACCACCACATCCACATCACCACACCAGCATCTCAATCAACAAGATATCTCGCTGCCACCCAAATAAAGAGCGAAAACAATACGACTACGATGAAACTGCTCACCTCCTCCATCTTCACTGCCCTAACTCTCCTCTCTCTCACGCTTCCTACCCTCGCCAACGACCGTTCTAAAGATTGTAAAGAGGGCGAGAGACGATGCTCACCCGCCAAAGACAACACCGTTCAGCAATGCAAGAACGGGAAGTGGGAGTGGGTTGAAACATGCTATGATGTCTATGTTCCCTCTGTGTGCGACGTCGGCGGGTTCTGCCGTAAACACTTTCCAGCCGTGCCTCCTACTTAGGTACGTCTAGTTCATAGATTTGCGAACTGAAGTTAGGCCGCAGACTAGGCTAACGAAGGGAAATGTTATAGATCAAAGGTTTCGGGAGTGAATCGGCATGAGGGGTCATGAAGTGGGAAAGATGACTAGGTGGATCTTTTGGGCGCAAGATCTATAGTTACTCACATGCCTGGCCATGATGCGATGTTCAGAGAGGCGATGCAAGTGGATCATTCGTCGTTTTTCTCACTGGTCTGTTGACGTGTTGGTGGTATCTCGTTTAGTTTACTGGTTAGAGTTCACATTCAATGCAGTTTGAATGAGATAAGAGGCCTATTTCTGATGCAACTGTATGCACCTGCTTGTTGTGATTCTGGAGCGAGTTTGTCCGTGGATGTTTGCGGTATAGTAAACAACCCAACTCTGTTGGCATATCTAATGGTACTGATCAATCTCCTGGTCTACGCTTCTGACTAGGAACTTAGCAGCAACTTCCTCATCGAAGCGATGGGAAGCAACTGCGTCTGAGTCGAAAACACAGCTAAAGCAGCTACAGTCGCAGAGAAAACATAGCCCACACGTTTCCAATCAACCAAGTTTGCTTCCTTCTCATCATCCCAAAGATCGCTGTGCGGCCGACTTGGCAACGGCAGCGCTTTGATATGCGTACCCCCACGTGAGGTGCCACAAAGCACGTCGATCATCTTCTCTGCATGATACAAGGGCACGATATATCTTGCTATGAATTTCGATGTCACAGTGTCCATGGCCTGTACACTTTGTTGGGCGTGAGAGAACTTCAGAAGAGCGGTCGCGCGGTCAACACGGAGGCTTTGGGTTGTTTGAAAAGCCTTGACGAAGTCTGCGTCGGTGATGCTTTCGCCTTTACGGTTGAAAAGAGCGTGGAGTTGGTCTGCGAGAACTGCGGCATCTTCGATTGCGCTGTTTCCGCCATGGCCGCTGATAGGGTTGAACTACGAGACGTATCAGTTTGGTGATCCCCCTCAAACCCGCTAGGCTTACCTTATGGGCGGCATCTCCAATGGTTATGATGCGATTGTAATGCCATTTACTAAACACCACCTCCGGAAGAGCTTGTAGGGTCGATGTTTTGCGTAATGCATACAGTTCGCCGAACGTCAGAGTATCTGTGATATGATCGGACGCGTGTTCCGCTACCAGCGCGTCCTCTTGATCTTTGGTGTAGCGCGGGATCTTGCCATAGGCCGTCACTGGAAGCTTCTTGAACAGGAACCAGTAGATGCGGTGATCTGGTCCGGTCAAGACGAGGTATGAATTGTTTCGACCTTGTACATTTTGTGTCGAACAAGGGAATTTCTCGCTTGGTCGCGATATGCCGAAGATGCAACAGTACTCTGTTGGTATCGATCGATCGCTGACAGAGAAATATCCGGGTGTTTCCTGATCTGCCAGTCTCCACATCTCCTCGCGCACTGTACTGTGAATACCATCCGCGCCAACAAGGATATCACCGTGGTAGGTTTCCCCGTCTGCGGTGACAACTTCAACCCCGCCAGTAGACTGCCTGACCTCGGTGACCCCTTTGTTGGTGAGGACCTTCGATTTGTCAGGCAACTTATCATATAGAACCTGGATTATCATCTGACGGTCCACGAAGACCGGCGAATATCCAAAACTGTCCACATCAGCTTCAAGACAATGAGGTCATGCAGACGTTTGTAACTCACCGCTCGGTGATGCGTTTGTTGGCTCCCTCAAAGAGTAGTACAACCTTGCCATTGTCGTCCCTCTGAGTCAATAGCTCACCAGCATCCACACCCTTGAGTAAAGCTTTGACATCGTCAAAGCAATCAAGCTGATCGAAAATACGAAGGCCATAGGGAAGTATGCCAATACTCGCACCTAGATCAGGAGCAATCTTTCCATACTTCTCTAAGACCAGATAGTCTATTCCAAGCTTTTCGAGGATGTTGGCCAAGGTGAGTCCAGCAACACTCCCACCCGCTATGAGAACCTTGGTGTGCTTCTGGGATGACATGATGAGAAGTTCAAGAAACTGGTGATATGATACGTTGAGACAAGAGAGAATGTGCTACAAAGTGATCCAATTCGTCGAAATGGATGACAGAGCTATTTAACATAGCGTTCTTGTGCTGTTGACCGAAGAAGGTCCGACCTTCCAATCCCTCTACCTTTGCCCATGCCTATACAGCAGCTTCACATCTAACATCTAGAGACGTTCCAAGATTTGACTCGTACGAACTCAACATAAGAAATCACTAATCAACTGTTCGTCGGTCGACTTGGCCAATCAATCAAAATCAGAACCTAGTATCTTCTGATCTATTCATCGGGGATTTCTAGCCGGACGGAGTGGAGTGGAGTGAAGTGGATCTCGGAGCCGAGCTTGGGGTCAAGACCTTGGCTTTTCATGGACCCCACGGTTAGCGGAATGTCGCAAATTCCGAGCACAAACAGAGCCGATGACGACACCCAGCCCGATAGCAAAGGCTTGGTGTTGGCTCACATTGATTAGTTGTAAACTTGCTATGTACTCAACGATACTCTGCTGTAAATTTCGCAAGTTTTCGTTTCTTGAAGCATGCCGTTTCTGGGCGTGCCTCAGCTACAGCGGCCATGATATGCGGATTTCAACTTGATGACGTAATCACCGTTGATCGACAAGCGCGATTAGGTATGGACGCGACCACCGCTCTTTACACGCGTTTCGGCACTCGTGCGTCGCGATGCCGCCCAAGAAAGGTGCGTCTTCCATCTGGATTTTCAGCAATCATCAAGTTGACATGACTAGCTGCCAAACGCAAGGCGACCGATGATGACATAGCCAGTCGCAACGCGGCCACCGCCAAGAGAGTCGCGCTCGAAAATGAGAAGTTCGTTACACGTAGAGAACTACCTTATGAGGCCAGAATAGGCATAAGAAACTTGTTCAACTCAGTCGTTGAGACTGATGCCGGCCATCAGGATTCTGACGAATCGGACTCTAGCGCATCGGACCTTGACGACTTTGAGGTCGACGATGGTTACGAGAAAGCAATGAAGGTAGAAGAGGAGTATGAGAGAAGCGTCGAGAAGGCCCATAGATATCTAGCCATCAAATCCGCACGCGAAGAAGAAATCCAAGCAGGTGATGTGCAAGGCCAATGGGACCTTTATTCTCCCAACTTGTTGGATCTCCGCGAGGCCGAGCACCGAGGAGAGATACATTATCACTTTCGTCAATGGAAAACAGGTACTTTGGTCATCGGAGATCACACCAACAACACTGCGCTGTCTTCAACGGATGCTATCGCGTCACTCTCTCTCGCCGACCTTGAGAACGATTGGCACATTCCTCTCGATGTCCCGAAACTGGCGTCCTTGGACTTAGTACCTCTCACAGGTGTCCGCAAAAATTACACAGGGTCCGGAAACGCGGAGGTGCGACTTGGCATATCGTTTTTGGGGAACGGCTATCTGAAGATGAGGATACCAGGCATATACATCGGCGGAAAGAAGCAGTGGAGAAGACACATCCCGTTGTATGGCGTGAATCGGACGTTTCCTCCACGCGAAGAGGAGAGTCCAGAGCCTTTACCACGAACGGAGCTGATACCGCCTGCAACTGTAATTGAGGGATCCGATCAGCTTATCGCTGGCCCTAGTGAAGAAGTGCTCTCCCAAGATGAGATGTCATTGAGACGACGGCTTTTGGAAGAGCTGGATGACAGCTTGTTCGTGAACTGGCCCGATGACAACTAGATGCCCTAACAGCGTTCAATCTGTCGACAGAATTGGCAGTTATGAATGCAACCCAAGATGCGGGCCGAACGTACGCGTCGCGCAGCGGACCGGCGTCTTCGACTGGTGTCGCGCTCTTCCTCGAATTGGAAAACATCAGATCATTGTTGCCAATCTAGCATGCAAAGACTTCCTTGATAGCCGATGCGCGCCAATGTCTCAACGGCCAATACCAAGCTCTCTAGTGACTAAGGCCATGATCTGCGAGTACTTGGATAGGTGAAAGGGCTATGGCAGCTTATGGGTCTTCCTTCACAGGACTACGTGTTTAGTTAGTGGCTCGGAATGCGCGAAGGTGTAGAGTGACTTCTACAGTTTAGACATCGCTAAGGCGTAACAAGTAGTTTTGCAGGTTCTTGAGATGCGACTTGAAACCATGGCCGATGCAACCTACTGGTTCCGACCTCCAGCCCCGCCCATTCACGTGCAGGCGCGCCATGTACAAACGCACGCATCTCACGTCTGGCCAATAAGAGATTTGGTGTACTTTCTGTACTCGAAAAAGCGCACGGATTCGCAACGCTAAACCAAAGCCATGACTGGAGCCGGCACAGCGGCCTGCGCCTACGGTTGAAACATAGGAAGAACGTGCAGACGGCCTAGTAGTGGCATCTTCTTTTCAGATCAAGAGATGTTGAAGAGACAGCTTATTTACAAGTAAAACAGCCTAATCAAGTACCCGGGTGATTATGCGTTCAGTATCCCGGACCGAACATGCAGCTCTGAATACCTTTTTGGTGTCGCATCCAGTCCCGTTTGTCTATGTGCATGCGCGGCGTGGTACAGACTTACGTGTTACGCTCACAGCCAATGAAACCCCTCGCGTACAAACAAACGATAATGTGATGCAGGGTGAAAGCCTTTGATGATAAAACTTGGTCATCACCCCTGATGGTCTTTCGATTCATCCGCTGATACTGTGATGACGCGAAGCAGAAGAGCCATTAACGACAGTCGCAATCAGTACCCCGATCGAACGTAACTGAACCTCCCGAAGGAAGGCCATCAAGAATATCAGAAATCCCGTTTTCAGTAAACAACGACTACTTGTCAAGTTCTCCGCAACAACGTTAACACCATCATCCTGCCCCCGCACCATCTTTGCGCCACCCCACAGCCATGGATGTATGCAAAGACGTCGACAATTACATGCAGTACATTCAACAGCATAGGCGTGTTCTACAAGACGCTAAAAAGAGACGTGGCCAGCGTCCGCGCGATCGCAAAGACAGACACGTAATGTTGCTCGAGTTCATGATGGTGTCAATGAGTACCGCACAAAGGACTGGAAAGAAGGACACACAAAACATACACTTATCGTTCGTTTCACCGGCATATCCGCCTTGCAATACTGCACTCAAGAATCTCAAACCTATCAAGATCGAAGAACTGAGGCTTGAGACACATCACCGTGGCAGATTCCTTCTTCTGCGAGTAGTCACACCGCCAAATCGTATGACAGGAATCCTCGTTCTGGTGGAAGATGAATACGGAGACGTTGTGATACTGCAACTTTACCAACAAGAAGATGAAGTCAGCCGCCCAGCTACCAATGTTGTCGACAAAGGCATCGTCCTCATAGTAAAGGAACCTTTCTTCAAAGTCACAGCATCTGGAGACTACAGTCTGCGAGCGGATCATCTTTCCGACATCGTGTTCTTGAACAGCGACGATACCAGGATACCACAGTCGTGGCGGCCGCGGTTACTAGAAATCGGAAAATGCGCAAATACATTGAAGCTTGAAGGCAATGCCCATGTGGGAAAGGGAGAGTACTGGCAGGCGATCGAGAAGTAAGTGAAACCTATGATCAGCCAGTAGCTACACTGACAACTTTGCCAGGTACTCAAATGCCTTAGTGTACTCATCTGCGCCGAGCGAAATGAACGTAATCAAGCGAAATAGAGCGATGGCATATCTCAAAACCAAACAATACGACGCTGCATTGTCCGACACAGGCTTCCCTGAGTTCGGTGAAGAAGCCTCAGAGAAGGCATTGTTTCGTGTAGCGGAGGCTCTCTATTATCTCAGACAGTATGGAGACTGTTACGAAGTGCTTGAACAGCTATGCAAACTTTTCCCGTCCAATAATGAAGCGATTGCTGCGCTGACGCGCGCCAGACGTCGCTGCGACGAAGGTAGTACCGGGCAATTCGACTTCAAGCTCCTCCACGCCGAAGCAAAGAGGTACAGCCCACCCCATCTAGATCACGCTACGTACATCGGACCAGTGGAGGTTCGGAAAGTGACCGGGAAAGGTCGTGGCTTATTTACAACTAAGCCCATGAAAGCCGGGGATCTAGTGCTGTGTGAGAAAGCTTTCAGTCATGCTCACGTTGATGATAGGGAGAAAGGTAATGCAAATATCACTCTCTTGGTGAATGTAGAGACGAATAGAGCTTTCATGGGAGGCCAAGCGGATCTCATCCAGTCAATAACGCAAAAGCTCTACAAGAACCCATCAATGGCTCCCGATTTCACTAATCTGCATCATGGTGATTACAAAGCAGTCGATGTTCAATTCGTTGATGGACAACCTGTAATCGACACGTGAGTGTACCTTCCATGCAATGAACTAGTAAGTTCGGTAGACTGACGCTAAAGATTCTCAGATTTCTTGTCGAACGAACAATGTCTCTCAACGTGTTCGGCTGCCCGGTCACGACACTGAAGAGCCACACAGAGGTGACTTCCAACAACTTTTCGAAAGAGAATGCCAACTTCCATTCATGTGGCATCTGGATTAAGGCCTCGTACATCAACCACAGTTGTCTCGGCAATGTCCGTCGCTCTTTCATCGGGGATATGATGATAGTGCGCGCGGCCAAGGACCTAGATGTTGGCACAGAACTGATGTTCCCGTATGAAGCACCAGAGGGTATCTATACTTCAAAGACCGAGCGAAAGTTCAAGAACTGGGGCTTCGTGTGCACGTGCGCGCTCTGCGAAGACATCAAAGCCACTAAGCCTTCGGAAGTCACGAAGAGGAAGAATCTTTTGGCTCAGTTGGACCGTCTCTGCAAGTTTGGAATGATACCTCAGGATATGTCAACGAAGTTTGAGCGCTTACTCAAGGCGCTGAACGAGACCTACGCTCGCCCAGCGGAAGAAGTTCCTCGACTCTCGCTATGGGACCCACAGCTGCTGTTGACACGGATCTACATGGGAAAGCTTGATCTTACGAAGGGATTGGAATCGGCTAGAAAGACTCTACAGACTCTGGGTTTCGTCGTGACTGGGCTCGACCGTACCTCAGAAGCTCTAGTCGTCTTGAAATGGGGTCACACAGTGGACCATCTAGTAGAAGTCTTCTTACACGCACGCTCGGCGTTGGAACAATTAGGGCTGTCAGAGAAGTCGAAGCAGGCGAAACATTATGCAAGAGTTGCGTACCGAATACTGGTTGGGGAGGATACATCTTTTGGTGACACATACCTGTCGTTTCGGGACCTTGAGTGAGGAAGCAGATGGGTTATGTTGCCTGTGGCATTGTATACTGGTGGACTAATATGGACTGACTTTGTCACCGTGCTCCTGCAAGCGCCGCTAGTACCCGCAACTGAATAGACAGCTATTCTGCTATAGCCATTCTATGTCCAATCCATGATCCCCTGCTATCCGCAATAAGGAACATCATGTCCCCAGATCACCAATTGAATTCCTCCAATGATCGGAGGAGCGATGTCACACATATAGTGAAGACCTAATTCAATCCAGAAGTTTGCTATGCTTCTAGCGTTCATTCGCATCCAGCCAGAATAACGTTGTCCTCTCGTGTGCCGCGGAAGATAGTCCTCAGCACGGTAGTTGGCATCCACACATTTGACAATCGAATCGACGCCTGATAAAACCTCGACATCGGCGAAGAGAAATATCCGGTGCGATTTGAAGTCCGCGTTCATTGGTTGGCCACCCTCGCCACTGTTGTATAGCTGGCGAAGTTGATCTATGTCGAGGCCGGCTAGAGCTGGGTTTGAGCGTGCATCAAGACGAAAAAGCGGCCACAACTTCTGGAGTTCAGGGTCCTCTTTAGGGTCTTCTCCCTCAGATTCGATAGCGTCGAAAGCTTCCTCGTGCGCACTAGTCTGGATCGTTTCGAGGAGTCGCTGCCATTGCTGATCGGAGGAGGAAGATCCGTATCCGGTACGGTAAATGGTAAAGCCCCAGTTTCTGTGGCCGGCGTAATTATCGTCGTCTGACGGGATGAGAAGCTCGTTCAACCATGCTTTGGCGGAGGTAGTCATTGGAGGCAACAAGAGCGGCCTGTTGTTACAATTGATACCAGGAGTACTTAGGGGTCAGCGTAAGCACTTTGAAGGAACACGAGGCACAGTCAAAGAATTGTGGCACAGCGACTAGGCTGCAACCATGTAACTGCTTTTCCGCGAGTAGGTTATGCTAAACCATAAGCAAATGCTCTTCCACGAGCGACAACAGTCAGCTAATAACCATAGAGTGCATCACTGCTCTGCTACAATTACCCACGCTCGTACAAGAGCGCAGCACTCATCGGTATATATTCGTAGGCAACGAGCTCATATAGCTTATTATGTTCAACTTTGTAAATGTACTCGGAATTTCTAAATGTTAGTACTTGATATAAGTCTTGGGGTATTATATCAATCTACTAATCATGCTAGTACAACCCACCTGACCATGGCACTCACTCATTCCCGAGAACCGACTCTGGGTCGTGCAAGGATAACCTTCACACCTGTGCAGATGATATAGGCTGCCCAGTGCGTAAGAAACATTGACACGTCAAGGAGCTCAGAACTTGGGATATCGAGATGTGTCGGCGATATGATATGTGGCGGATACCCGGACCAACGGCCTGGAAACGTCGAACGGATTAGGGGATGAAGCCAGTCACCTGGATCCGGTGTAAATCGACTTTTGACCGATGGGAGCGGGGCTCGTAGATTGGAAAAAGGGAGAGCTTTTCGGAGATGTCGTCTCTTTATAGAACGCACCGGTTTGACGTCGCTTAAAAGAGGTCTTTTGTAGATCACTTTTAACCTACATGGGACTAGCGCGCGGATATAGACTGAACGTGGGAAATGCCGTATTATGTACCCACGGAAAATCGGTTCCGCTCGGGCCATCTTTAGCACTTGCAGCAGAGAATACTATGATGTTCGCGCTAACTGTGCCCACTTTTTCGATTCGAGCAGGTGGGTTCATTCATGGGGGCGCCACGGTTTCGAAACACGCCTGAGAATGCCTGAATGGGCTGGAAAGACATCCTCTTCTGCTTTGATCGATGGCTGTGTAGGCATGTTCATATTGCGATCACTAATCATGGCTTTGACATATAGTGCAAGGATGACTCAGAGTGTGAGAGGCATCACACATCCAAGTCTTACACTCCTTACTTCTATTCTTCTTCTATCATTACCGCTTTCGATCTAGTTCTATATTCGCCATGAAGTTCTTGGCAATTGCTGCTCTTGCCAGCCTGGCGCATATGGCAAGCGCAGTCGGCGTTGTTGGCAAAGCTGAAGGCTTCGCAACTGGAGTCACGGGTGGTGGAAGTGCCACACCGCAGTACCCAAAGGACATCAACGAGCTCACAAAGCTGTTGACTGACGCAACCGCTCGTGTCATCGTCCTTGACAAGACCTTTGATTACACCACATCCGAGGGCACAGTCACTGGAACTGCTTGTACGTTCGAAACGCTGGTGACGCATATCTCACATACTAACCAAAACAGGCGCATCCTGGGGAACTGGAGCAAAGTGCCAGCGCATTTTGTTGGACTCTTGTGATGCAGGTCAAGTGAAGGAGACCGTCACCTACTACAAAGCTGCGAAAACGCCCATCAAAGTTGGTTCCAATAAGACTATCTTGGGTATTGGAAACAAGGGCATCATCAAGGGAAAGGGACTCTCATTTGCCGGCAAGAACGTCATTGTCCAGAACATCCAAGTCAGTGACTTGAACCACAAGTACGTCTGGGGTGGAGATGCTCTCTCCTTTGCCGGAGCTGATCTCATCTGGATCGATCATGTTACTGTAAGTCCCCCTATTCATATCTCAACGTACATTTGCTCACATCACGCCAGACTGCTCGCCCCGGCCGACAACACTATGTCTTCGGATTTACACCCAGCACTCGCATCACTCTGTCCAGCAACTTTATCAACGGTGCCTCTGACTACTCCACTGGTTGCGACGGCTACCACTACTGGGTTTTCGAGATGGTTGGCACTGGCGACTCCATCACCATGAAGAACAACTACATCACCAAGACTGCTGGCCGCGGCCCTGCCCTCAGCGGCAAGACCCTCCTTCACGCTGTGAACAACGTCTGGTTCGACGTCAAGGGTCACTTGCTTGAGGGAGGTGATGCCGGCGCCCGTGGAATCTTCGAGGGTAACGTCTTCAACAACGTTCAGAATGTTGTAGCCGACTACGCTGGCAAGCTCTTTGGTTCCCCCGACGCCAACACGAACAAGCAGTGCAGCACTGCTCTCGGCAGGTCTTGCGAAGTCAATCTCTTCCAAGGCACCACAACTACCGCCAGCTCTTTGACAAGCAAGAAGAACACCTCGTTCTTCAGCGAGTTCAAGAACCTAGGCATTGCAAAGGCCGTCGCTGCTTCTGCTATTACCACCAGGATCCCCAACGGTGCAGGCAACGGTAAGCTTTCTGCGCTTAGCGCGAGGTCTGCGTCAGCCAAGTTCAGAGCATGAACATCCACGGGAGTGATATCTGGGTAACTCAGAGGGTTTTCTCAGGGCGAGCCTGATTGCATGCATTCAGAGGTGTAAATACTGGAGCGAATTGTTCGCGCGGAGCTGTTTTCATTGTACATAATCTTTTCTTTCTCTTGCAAATACTTATAAGAACTATGTGTTCCGTTCAACAATACGCACATATGATGGACTAAACCTTACCACCTTAGATGCACTTGATGCGATGAAGCTTTAGCTGACTGGCCATCATGGTGTGTTTTTGGCCTGCTATCAATCGACACTATGGCCGTCTTTGCCTGCAATAAATACTCATCCACGCGACTTTTCTCATCTCGCAAGGAAGAACCAGAGAACGGGATGATATGACGAGCTCTCTGTCTTCCATGGTCGCCATATAGAACGTTGAGCTTGTAAAAGCAGCCATTTATTAAAATATGAGAGAAGAAAGACGGAGACTAGATAAGTGGAGTGATCTGGGTATTGTACATAGGCAAGAAAGACTCCTTCCCTTCTATAAAGACAGACCACATATGGAGGTGTGCCAGAGCACGTCAGTCACACTGATGACAGTCGTGGCAAACGCGCACCTAGATGTTGCCTGACGAAATCGAGCAGCACTAGCCAAGGTGGACTAAGCGGACTAATCGCTAACAGTAATGCGTGACATTCTCAAAATGCTGCAGTCAAGCCAGATCACCTGGAGGGCTTTCAGTACTAGAAAAGGCCGAGCGAGCGAAGTAAATGTCGGAAGCCGTATGCAACGCTCTCTTGCTTAGGACTTGACGTCGAACGGTCCAGATATGGCCAAATCTCTCTCATCCGCTCTGGCGACATGCCATGTTGACTACTCCTGCGCACTAACTCCTCAAGCAGCGCCGTGTTCTGCTGCTGTTTCATCTCAAAGTCGACATAAGGTGAGATCCAGCCTTCGAAGTCGGTACCAAGAACGTTCCTCGCCAACTCATGTACCTTGTGATAGTTGCTGTACTCTTCAAACTGCTGCTCGTGTTTCTGCAGGTCCTCTTCGCTGAAGCTTATCGGACATTCGCCTTCGAAGCCAATCTCCTTCCAATTTGCCGCATACTCGATGAGACATGCCCGAAGTGGAATCACACCCTCTTCCGAGGCCTCTGCACAGCGTATGAAGAGTTCTCGGAGGAACAACGGTATCTGCAAAGCTTTCCAACCCCGAATATTCTTTGACCCAGTACTAAGTTCGTAGCCTTTCGCTGTTATGTTGTCCTTCAGCCTTTGTTCTGCAATCTTCTTGTCTTCCACGTTCAACTCATCAAAGTCAGGTGGGAGTTTGGGGATCTCCTTCGTACCCAAGGGGTAGTCTTCACCAACAGTAACGAAGTCGGGGAAGCGTGCTTGTAAGAACAATGGCGATACCAGTATGGACTGCCAGTCGATGATCGACAGGATTTGCGCAGGTTTCCCCTCAGCCACATAGACGTTACCCATGTCGAGGTCGGTGTGCCAGAGTACTGGTTCGGAAACCTTTCCGATCAGCGTTCGCTCGTTGAGTCGAGACATGACCTTTTTGGTCATGTCAAGGACAGCGACATGCTCCTCGAAAGACCCTCGCTGTGCGCCAGATGTGCTCGCAGACAAGCTCTTCTCCAAGCGCGCAAGCTCCCGTTCGACAAGGGCGGTCCCAAAGGAAGACAAGGTTTACCCTACGAAGAAGAGTTAGCCATTGCATTACTTACCAGATACTCTACTGACATGGTCCCTGGTGGCGCGAATTCGCTATTTCGGCTGCGGTGTGCCATCCTCGATTACAAGAGGGGCCGATGCAAAACTCTTTCTCAGGATCCATGTCTAGGTCTAAGGCCATGCATGTATCGTCGGCCGCCATGGAATGACGAAGGTAAAGGCTTTCGCTCGCTGGAAAGCGGATATCCGTCATCTCACCCTCAAATTCGGCCAGCTGTCTCACGACTTGGATCCGGTCCAACTCATCCATATCACCCCATACCTTGAATAGTTGAACCCCAGGAGCCTTGGTCATGATGATGTACTCCGCACCGACAGGATTCGATGCATCTTCATTCCAGGCGAGGACTTTAGGTACTGGAACCGCAGTACGTGCGTGTACTTCACGAGGCGGTATAGTCAGCTCTTGACATGGAACCTTTTCGACAGTCGTAATACTTTACAATAGTGGAGAATGGCCACCTCTGATGCTGTCGTGTACTTCGGCGGTCCAGCGATTGTGCATGGTATCTTCGCAACAACTTCTGTTCCATCCTCTTTACGCAGTAATAGTGCCTTACTGAACCCGCCTTCCATCTTCTCAATTGCGCATACTGGCGAGTGTTTCCCATTCGTGGTCGCGGCTACGGCGCAAAGCTGATCAACGTCAAACTTGACATATCTCCGATTGGCAGCTTCCTTCTCGTTCGCTAGAAAACTTCCATTCGTGTATCTGAACAATTCTTCGCGGGTGATGAATTTGCCTGTGTCTGTTAGATTGCTGACACGACTAACATTGCGCGATGTGTACCTCGGCATGTAATGGTGAGCGATCGAGAAAATTGGGTCAATGCACGACGTGCGCTACCGTTGTGAAGGTTTCGTTTTGTGATGTTTACAAGAAGCACGGGTAGCATGGCTGTATCAGTGATTGCACATCGCTAGGTGGTGAGTAGGCTCGCGTCGCGTGTTCCTCCACGCTTACCCCACTTCACGTCAAAGCGCCTTCTGCGAATCGTACCGAGCTGCGCAAGCGAAATCACCGGACCTCAACCGAAAGAATTGGCATTCCGAATTTTGCATGTCAAGAATGCTTCCCTCAAGAATCAGCATGTGCCTATCGCTATGAAACCAGAAACCCACACTGAACAAGTGCAGAGAAGTAAGAAATGATACCGAAATACGACAGACAAATTGAGAAGCGATATTTTAGCGGATAGTGAATGAAGGCGATCTACTGTTTCCCAGAAACCGTCATCCCGGATTGGTCCGGCAAAATTACCAAAATGGCCCATGATTGAAGGCACTTCGCCACGGACACCCTAAATACGATTCCAAGCTCTCATATCCAGACCTTGACGGAAGTGTTGCGCTACATGATCCATCCTTGTGGTAACAGATTCGAAGGACTGCCCGCAGAAGCCACACCAGCAGGAGTTAGGTTCAATCGCCGACGACTCCACCTCTCTCGACCATCCTTGAGGAACTGTAAAGTTCTTCTTCACTGAGACGGGTTCGCCTGCAAGGTGCACATGCAGGACGTGCTGCTTCAGGAGGTCCTTGCGGAAGAATGTACGCTCGATGATACACTTGTCCGAGCAGGGTGCAATTAGGTGTTTGGTTAGATGATCGACCGAATCCATCGGTTCTAAGCAAAAGACGCATTCAGAACGCGTCCTGAATGCTTCTGTCAGCATGCAAACCCACTCCCGGTCGCTGTAGCCATGCACTCCAGCCTCATGCCTCTTCCAGTCAGATGCGTTCTTGAACGATCCGTAGCATCCCACCACAGTACAGGAAAACCGGTTCTTAGGCTTGCTCAGACCAGAAGGTGCGATGTGTATTGGCTGCGTGTCGGACATGTTCTCACCTACGCCGGCTTGACATGTCTGGGCGCGATACCTCCGGCCTTTGCGCTTTGGCATAATAGAGCTTCGTGGGACAGGTTTCTCAGGACGTCTTTGACAAACTAAGTCCGTTTTGAAGTCCTGGCATATCTGGATTATGACACCGGGAACACTGTCCGGTGTAGGATAACCTGCAGCGGGCAGAGACAACCAGTGACTGTTCTCATTCGTATCGATGGCATGCGGCATGTCGTGACTGTTGACCATCGAGCTTGACTGCACATGAGTCAAATGTACCGTCGTCAAGTCCCGAGGCTGGGGTCGAGTAATGCTCCCACCGTGGCATTCGTTAGGACGGCCCCCTAACACTGAATGTGTTGTCAGAAAAGGTCAAGAGATCAGGGCAGTACAATGAACATACAATGCTTTTCCCGGGTGCGAAGATTGGTCAAACAAGTTTTGAGTTGACGTTCAGTGCAGCCGGTCGCCTCGACTAGCTCTGAAATCTCGGCTGACGTAGGATACGGGTTCGATGCGTGAAGTGAAAGCCAACCACGGATAATTCGCAGGCGTTTCGGTTGTTCCGTTCGTTCGGAAACGACGCGCAATGTTTCGCACCGAGAGAGTGGGGTTTGCAAATGATTTTGTTGCTCGTCGATAAGATCTAGATTTAGGAACAACTGATCTTGCATCCAAAGTTCGACATCGGAAGCGTCTTGATGCAAGAAATCTCCCGCACTTTCCTCAGTACCGAGGAATCCATGGAAAGACCAAGGGCTGTTAGTATTCTCGTACTCTTGTACGACTTCACCACATTCATATTGAGGTGGAGACCAAGGTTGTTGTGTATCTGGGTTGCGAACATCAAGAAGTCGATCGGGTGCTGTGTCACCTAGGCTGACGTCGCCGCTATGGCAGTCCCAGTAGGTAAGGTCGCCGGAGACATGCTCTACTCGTGCAATGTCGCCATTACCACGAAAGGAACGGTTGCCGTGAATATTTGTCCCATTCGCGTTGTGCTTCAAGACATCTCCGTCATTGACCTCTTCCAAAGTTTCGTGCAAGCAGTAGCTGATAAGAAGTAATGTCAGCGCTGTAGAGCTGTAGCTTGATTGAAGGCCTGCAATTCCGGTTTTGTCACTACGTCTCTCCCAGCCGAGAGGTTGACGCGCGATACGAGTGTCCTGACATGAGCCTACCAAACCCATCAAACGACCTTCGCGCGTTGTTGTACCTAAGGACGAGGGTGTAATAAGCTTACCTTTCTCTATCGGTATTTGTGGCAAAGCCACTGCCAGATGATATTGGCAACTGCGACTGCGATCCTGGACGCAGAATGCGCGAAGTGTCGAAGTTCGGGGTCAAGGTGGACGTCGACATGCCCGTGTTTACTCAACCGAGTGTAAAATACAAAATCACGTACAACACCACAACATATGTCTGGATATTGATTTTGACGATGGGAAAAAGACTGCACAGTCTCAGCCGACTTTAAATGCTTACTTCCAGCCATTAGAATGAGTTTTAAGGCGTTGCAGTAAAGAAGATGCGAGTTCGATGGGCTACTGTTGCATGATTCTGGTTAGACTGGTGGTGATATTCCAAGCCAGCTATTGGGTGGAAACCGCGGCGCAGAAGGGGCTCCTCTACAGTCGTACGGCTCCGTGGCGGCTTCGACTATGATTCGTCGCTCTCTGTCTAGTCCCAAGAGCAACTGGTGCCGAGCGCGGCCGATCAATGATGTTTGGGTGTCTCCGGGCTAGCGTGCTAAGGTATTTGCTTTTGTAAGCCTCGCCGTCAAGAATCTATCCTAACAACGCGTAAGTCCTACACGACCGCAAAGGTACGTCGCATGCTGTTTAGTACGTGACTGTTAGAGTTTAGCTACGTCTACACGCCTTTACTCTGTCCTCCCTGCCTGTCTCGGCCAGTCCGTGTCGTTTTAGGCTAACGATTCTACCTCTAGGTCCCCTGGACACCTGTGGCTTGACTCTCCCGGGCTCGACTTTCTCGTGGCAGCTGCTCCCCATTTTATCAATCTATAGTCTGCTCTTTCAAGGCTCTCCAACCCAAATATCTTTCCTTCCCTATCGACTTCCTAGCTGCAACCCGAATTAAACAAGACCTAATACCGCGAGAGCGGGCAAGTCGACTTCGCCATCACGTGTCGAAGAAGCAAAGCGAGATGGCCCTTTTGACGTCATATTGGGGTTTCATAGGATGCCAACGGTCGCGACTTTTCGTCAAAGTTGGTGAGCCTTCTTGTGCCTCGAAGCTGACAGAAATGATGTCTTGTACCCTAGAGTGCGATAAAATCTATGAGAAGTCATGCCTTCTCGCAAGGAAACTCAACACCACAAGCTCGAAGAAGACGAGGAAAGAACGGCAGATTGGCAAACAGACGTCGTTGTCTTCTCATGAATAGGTATTCTCATGTCAGCCATACAAGGCATGCCATCCTGAACGCCGTACGCCAAGCCGTGATCCGGCTGTTGCACACAACTGCCTGAACGCGACGGGTAGCTGACAGTCGAATCACGTAAAATTATCAGAGAAGGCTGCTAACCAATAGTCCATCCATCCGTAGCGGACATTCTATGTACACATCGCCTATGGTCATTCACCGAGTACGCCGCTACTGCGAACACTGTGGCAGGAAGACAATACGGACGGGAAATCCGTCAGAAACAATCTCAAGCGACTGTTCTCTTGTAAGCATCCATCCTACTAACCCACGCACTCATCCGAAACCCATCCTCAAAGTGTTGCTCAACGTGGTCCATTCGCACAGCGGTAGTTTTGAACGAACGCTGGCAGAAGCCACACCAAAGGCCTTCAGGGTCCGGCGAGTATCTGTCCTCTGTTTCCGACCATGCTTTTGGAGGTTTAAATCCCCTCTTGGTGTAGTCGTTCGCGGTATGTAGGTGCGCTGATATAACGTGTTGCTTGAGACCATCCTTGCGATAGAAGACGCGTGCATCCTTGTCCTTCCCCATGCAGATCTGGACGTTGTGCTGGTTGATGTGGCTCACATCATCAATGATGTCGGAGCAGAATACGCACTTCCCACCTGCCATGATGTGTTGGTTGTTGAGCATACAGTACCACCGGGTACCTCCGAAGTGATGAACTCCAGTCTCGTGCCGTCTCCAGGAGTACGAGTCCTTGAAGGATTTCGATTCGCACTGTGTGCAGTGATACTTATTGGTAGCCTTTACTTTGTTATCATTGGGGGTCTCGGCGACATGCATCATCGAAGCGTCTCCCACGGCGGATGAAGCCCTTGACTGATAACGTCTCTTGCCCTTGCGTCCCGGGTTTTTGGCTGTTCCTGAAGTACTTTGGCCCTGTAGAGCGGTAGAGGCCTTGGAGGTAGCGGGTGATCCGCTGCATAATCTGTCAAGCACTGGGTAGCGGATCAGTCTCCGATAGATATTGGGCGTGTGTACTACTGACCATGTTTGTCACGCCCTCTGAGGTTAATCAAGCGACGCCTTAACTGAAGCGCGGTGATGCCAGCAGCGGCAGCAAGCTCCGCCTTCTCTTTGGTAGTAGGATATGGATCGTGAGGATGGTCGTAAAGCCATTTCTTGATGGGGTCGATTTCCTTCTGCGGACATTTCGTCTTCGAGTCTTGAGATCCTGAGACTGTCTCTGCTGTCTGCGATCGCCCGCAGGGAGGAGCTCCTAGCGGAAGATCTGAACCCACTTCACTGCGTGGTTGGGTTGCAGGTGTTGGGTATGAGTCTACAAGTCGACGATCGTCATCAGGGTACCACTCAATACCTTGCATGTCTTCATATTCGGTTTGGCTTCGCATCACATCTAAGTCGGACAGCGTGACATAATCAGGCTGCAGGGGTTGAGTATGTTCGTCCCATAAGATGAGATCATTTGGTTCAGCGGATGCATATGAGGTAGCATCCGCCTGCGTGTCGCACACAACAAATCCGATCGATAGATCTGATGCTTGTTCGACTTGCTCAATGTATGAATCATCGCGGGTGGAGATCGGCTCTGCCGAGTAGATAACTGCGTTGTTGCTGATGCGGAATACTCAGCGTGGCCCTCTTATATGTGAAACAATCATTTCATCATCAAGCGACGACGAATCGATAGGGCGCCGGAGTGATATAAGGCAGAGATACATACTGTGTGCGAAGTGTGGCCGACGTGCAGGCAAGTGCATCAACACAGGCGGCGCTCCAAGCCGGTCCGTTTATTGTATCACCACGGAAGGCATCGTTGCAAGCAAATTGCTGGTCGTCGAGACTGACGAAATGATCAGGGAAGCGCTCGACGATGGCGGGTGAATCGTGAAAAGAGTCGATGTAAGATTGGGTTTCATACACCTCTGGGTCGACTCGTGTTTGGAGAAAACTAACATTGTTAGCGCCGTTGTGCGGGTGAATCGTAACAGGGGAACTAAACAATGCTGTCTAGCTTGGTGCGCGCTGCATGCGCGCTCGAACGCCCGCGCTTATCTTCTCTCCAGAGCTCAACGAAAAGACTTTAAATATGTACCTCTGGCCGGATTCCTCGATACCTGTGCTGTGGATCACTTCTGAGGAATGTTCGTCGTAAGAATAGGGCGGGAAGGTATGGGGCAGGCCTTCGAGAGCGTCCAAGCAGGCATTGCTTACTTTGGCATGCCTGTCGGCCATCGGAGACCCAGGGTCCATAGTTCAGCCGCTAAGCCTTTTCTGGTCAAACTGAGTATAAAATTGAACGCAACACAACAACAGATAATCGGAAAATGTTTTTGAAAGCTGTGGGAGAGACGGCATAGGTTCAGTAGAGCATCGAGGCTTATTTTTTGCATTTTTGTTGAGGTTCAGGGCGCTGAGCTGGATGAGCGTTCGGAGCATTGGAACCCACGATCCCCTTGGCGGCTGCTTGAGAGGGGGTCTAGTCACATGACCGTGGCGCAACCATGGCGCTCTCTCAACGCAGGACTTCAGTGCTAGAAGTATATATTGAAATGAGTTTTTGACAAATGGTTGTCAGGATCTTGTCTTCCAAGACAGGTTTGACGACATATAAAGCGTGATCTTTCCGAAACATATCTCAGCAATGCGTACCTAGAGGCTCGAATCAGCACGAAAATATCCGAAAGTGGGAGAATTTTGTAGGGGAAAATAGGTATAACTTGTCTCATGTCTATTTGCTGTCTAGAAAGAGCACGGAATTTGGTTCAATAATCAACATGATATTCTTCTCATGATAAAAATCACTACGTCGTCATATATACAAGCCATCCGGCACCTCAATCCGTCACCTAAGCCTTAGCAGCAGCCAAGATAACATCCGCCGCCTTCTCAGCAACCATGTACGTCGACATGGCAGTGAAAGTACCCGGAATCCTAGGGAAGACAGACGCGTCAACAACCCTCAATCCAGCAGTACCACGAACCTCAAAGTTGCTGTTGAGGACAGCCATCTTGTCGTCATCAGCACCAATGGGGCAGGTAGACGAAGCGTGGTGACCCCAAGCAACATCCTTTGCGTACTGAGCAATCTTCTCGGGGGTATCAACATCCTTGCCAGGAAGGACCTCATCGATGGGGACGAGCTGGCGCTTGAAAGAGTCACGAGCAAGGTTAACAGCCTCGGTGAGGGCAGTGAGATCCTTGTCGTAGTCGCCAACACCAGTGTCGAAGTAGTTGTAGACAATGTCAGGCATGTCAAGAGGGTCGGCAGATGCGAGCTTGACGGTACCAGCGTTGTTGCGGGGGTGAGCCTTGAGGATGGCCCAGGTGAACCAGTCGTGCTCGGCAGTGGCATTGTAAGCGTAGTTGGGGAAGTAACCACGGAAGTTGACGGGGCCACCGAAAGCAAAGATGTCGTACTCGTCACGCTCGGATGCGCTGGACTTGTAGAACATGGTTGCGCCAAGACCGGGGGAAGCGTAGATACCACGGTTGCCCAAGACGCTGGTCTCCCAGCGGTCCATGCAGGCGTCGGGCTGGCTGTTACCGAATGTGCAGCCGTTGAGTGCGGAGAAGTCGGCGGGGGCTTTACCTTGGACGTTGATCTCGTAGTGGTCCTGGAGGTTGGTTCCGACACCGGGAAGGTCGACAACGACGGGGATGTCGAATTGAGAGAGCTCATCGGCAGGGCCGACACCACTCAGCTTGAGGAGTTGGGGCGAGTTGTAGGTTCCACCTGCGACGATGACTTCCTTGGAGGCGGTAGCGGAACCAGCCTCACCCTTGGCACCGGTGGACTTGGGGCTGGCCTTGTAGAGGTACTGGCCGTCGAGGAACTCGACACCGGTAGCGCGAGGAGGAGTGACGTCCTGGTCGAAGGTGACCTTGGTCACGTGGCAGTTCATCCTGACATCGAGAGGGTACTTCTTGCTGCCGTCGTCGGCCTTTGCGTCACGGACAGCGAGGACAAACTCGCGGGATCCGCCACGCTTGCCATCGGAGGTAGAGAGAGGGATCTGGTAGAGAGCGGGCTGCTTGTCACGGCTCTCGGTGTCGGCGTTGGCATCACCGGCGACCAAGGTACCAAGGTTGACGATGGCGTTGGTAGCGTTGCTGAGAGCGAAAGCGGCACCACCGACCAAGCTGAGAAGCTGGGGGTCAGAGGTGACGATGTCGATGGGGGCGTAGTCGGTTCCTAGCCAGCCATCGTAACCGTGACCCTTTTGGCCGGGAAGGAGGTATTGGTTCTTCTCGAGCTTGGTGAAGTACTTGCGCATGTTGTCGGCTGACCAGGAGTCGTCACCAGTGATGGTGGCAACATTGTCAAAGTCGGACCGGTGAGGGTAGACGGCAATGAGAGCGTTGTGCGCTGTGCAGCCACCAAGGGTACCAGTGCGGGGGTATAGCGTACCCTTCATGGTAGAACCCTCCGGTGGGTTAAGACCAGTGTACTCACCACCATCGGGTGTCTCGTAGGTAGTCTTGAAGTCGCGAGCTTGCCTCTCCTCATCAGCGTAGTGCTTGACGAAGAAGTTCCAGCTCAAGTTGGCGTCTTCCGAGGACCTCGCGCTGAAAGCGGGAACGGTGTAGTTGGCGTTTGCGCCCTGGTCGTCACCGGCTTCGATGAGAAGGGTCTTGTGACCAGCGAGGGCAAGGCGGGCGGCCAGAGGCTGTAGTATGTCAGTGATGATCCAATCCATCCAAGTATACTTTGACTTACACCACCACCAGCTCCAGAACCGACGACTACGTACTCATAGCCGGTAAGATCGACAGCTGCCGCAAGAATAGGGAAGGCGGCGACGAGGCCGATTAGACGAGGGAAGAACATGGTGATTAGGTATTACTTTGCTGTCCGGGGTGGGTAGTTAAAGAAAGAATGTGACAGAGGCTGTAAAGTGGCCTGCTTGATCCCATATCGTGCAGTCTCACCAGTCTTTATAATTTCCCGCATCCCATCAGTCGATCGCATATGTCGGCTTTCCCCTGGAATAGGGGATATCTACCGGTGGTGGCCTGCAATGCCGAACGACCTCGACCTCGGACGAAACTCATTGGAAGGCGGTTACCAAACAGATGGTGTTCAGTAGTTGCGGTGGTTGATCCTTTCTCGGTCTGGAAAGCAATGCTTTGAGTCGGTCCGGTGCGTAGATCATACGGGTCCTCCATGGATACCCTGTACTTCGCAATTTGCGCCACGGGAGGGTACCGTCGAACTCAGAACGATTATGACGACGGTCCGTACCTGTGCTAGCTGAGAGAACTTGGACATTCTTGCTTTTGGCACCTCGAATCTATTCGAAGAATTTATTCGAAAGTGACCACTAGATTGAGAGGCTTCTTCATCCAGACATTTTGCGATTGCATCAAGGTATGGATCTTGTGGCAAGACACGTCCGCGGAAAGGTGACGCCTTCCCCATTCTGCTCCCGCACCGACCTCAGAATCCAGTCTGTTCCATGTCTCTTCCCAGGTCTGTCAATTCCAATTTCTCCTGTCAGGGACGCTTACCCTGGTCTGTCAATTCCCAATTGCCGGACGTTCCTCCCGCTTCGGAAGGGACCTCCACGGCTACAACGGATGTGGAGTAAACGGGCCAGGGACAAACGTGCGCTAGCACCTAGCGTGGATTAGCGTCAACGTGCATTGAAAACCCTCTGCACCTGGACGGGCTTGGACTTTCGCCATTAGGCGCCCAGCATCGCACCCAGGTAACGATTATCGCCAGAGCGGACACTGGAAATAACGTGGTCATCTGTAGATTGCCGACTTCATCGCCGAGGAACAAATGACGAAGCATACCACGTGGGATGATAGTCATAGAACTGACGCAGGAACCAGCTTTTTGTCTCCTTGGCCCACGAGGCTGAGGCCAAAAGTGGGACTGACTCAAATATTCTACCCACCAAACTGCTCGCCATGCGAACGCCATGTTGAATTCGGCATTCGGGTCTAACTCCACAACACCTTTTTCCTTAATGCTCCACTCGCTCCAATCGCATGCGTTAAGGCGTACGTTCCTGCGTTCTCCCGCCCGGTAGCTGCGCCTCGTCCGAGAACTCTCCTATCCGTTACCAGGTTGTTCCCTTCCATCCCATCCGCCCCGAAACTATTCTTATTCCTTCATTCTATGGTTGCCCAGGCCATACAGCGTCGGCGATGCTCCTTACAAGCTGCAGCTTCTTCCTCATATCCTCGTAGCCGAGACTGTTACCTTCGGCGTGTGACGCGAAGCCGCACTGGGGGCTGACGCAGCATTGCTGGAGGGCATCTTCACGAGATTGGCCGGTACCCTTTGCGATCCAATCAGCAGCCTGGTTCACCCTTGCGATCATCTCATCCTTGTCCTCAAGCTTAGGGAACTTGGATGTGATGACACCGAGAACGACGTTCTTGTCCTTGGGAAGGTGTGCTAGTGGCTCGAAACCTCCTGCGCGGGGGGTGTCGTATTCCAGGTAGTATGTGTCGACGTTCAGGTCCTGATATGGTCAGTACGAAGGAGATGTTGCACATGGGGGAGGATGGGTACCTGGAACAGCTTCTTGGCGATGTTGTCGTATGCGCCCTCTGAGAAATGACGGCTGCCGACGTAGTTACCGCGGCACAAGTGGATGCCGAGATGCATGTCATCGGGACGTACGAAACACTTGTTGTAGAACTTGACATATGCATCAAACATCTCGTCGGCAGTCTTGTCGTTCGTGGTGTCGGCCTTCCAGCCTGCAAGCATATCTTCTGAGCAGAAGTAGGCCAGGTTTGGGTCGTCGATTTGAATGTTCCTGATACCCTGCGCGTGGAGGATCTTCAGCTCCTCCTGGTATGCCTTCGCGACGTCCTCGAAGTATTCTTCGTCATTTGCATAAACGTCCTTGGGGTAGGCTCTTCCGTTCATGTAACGGAAGTGGTACCACGATGGTGAAATCAACGTAATCTTGATGTTCTTCCACTCGCTTTCAGGCAAAAGGCTCTTCATAAGGTCGACTTCGCGCTGGTTGCTCGACGTGCCGGGGTGCTTAATCTTGTCGACGCAGACAGTTACATGGTTAGGGACCTGTTTCGCTTCCATGAAAGACTTGGTATCAGGCGCATACGCGCGGAACATGTCCACAGTGTAGCCCTTCAAAACGCCGAGTTGGAGTTCCTTCATTCCATGCAGTGTTTCGAAGAAGGTACCCCAGAACATGTGCCTGCATAAACAATCAGTCTAGACTTGGACTAGCAGCATGCAGCCGCCTTACCTGGTGTACTCTCCACTCGACACTACCTTGAGACCGCAATCTTGCTGAAACTTGACTACCTCTGCGACAGTCTTGTCCTCTAGAGGGACGAGCTCCTCTGGCTTAGCTTTGCCTGACGCGACATCGTAACGTTTCTGCACAAGCTCCTGGGGACGGAGCAATGAGCCAACGTGCTCGGCGCGGAACGGGGGGCTTCTCTTGAGGGACGACGACATTTTCAATGCGATAGTATGGATAGCTCAGACAAAGAGTATGAGATGAGAACGAAGCAATTGGCAGGAGAAAACTTTGCCCCTCATCTTGTCCACTTGCCCCGCAATCACCACCGCTCATTAAGGACCGCTGGACCCTTCATCAACCCCGAAAGACCCATGCTCAGACGCCGGAGAGCTAGTAAGCGAGGCTTAGTATATAGAGCGTTGACGGGATTGGAAGAGCGATTGAAGGTGGCGGGTAGGCAATGTGGGATGCAGCTCGAGCTATGGTGGGGCCTTTGATCGATAAGAGAGGCGCCGCCCGATGTCAGCGCCGAGAGCCATGTGGTCAAAGAAGCTGGCGTCTTTAGGTTTCGCTTCCATGATGCCCTTCTTACCACAATCACATACTTTCGGATGCGCGCAAATAGCTTCTAAGTTTGTCGCAGAGAAAAAGCGATACCGCGAATACGTTCTGTTCTGGGTACTTTGAGGCGCAAGGCGTGTGCGGAGGCAGATTCGAACAAGTCGAACATGAAGATCTGGCTATGCTGTGGGGTGTACTGGGAAGTTCACAGTCCCTTTGGCAAACCAAAACGACCTGAAGCTGCAGACCAGCAGTTGTTTGCCGTGCCACGAGAGGGCGACACAAAGACACAATATGCCCCACCAAAGGTGTCGCATCGATGAGAATGACGCAATGCTCTGGGGACCCAGCATCATCGAGCCGCGGATATAACTACGAAAAGAACAGCTTTCGTAAGCAACGGCGGCAGTTACAACGGCGAAAGAGAGTAAATTCCGAGTTTCGGGAAAGCGCTACCCCGCGCTAGGTGGGATGTCGATAGCTACATATATGCTGTCATTACCTCCGTGGCTTCAAGTCCGGACATTGACCTGAAGAAACATCCACGCAACACCTACAATCGAAATACAAGCAAGATGACGCGAGTTCTACTCACAGGAGGAAGCGGCTTCATCGCCGCACACACACTCGATATCCTGCTAGACCACGGACACAGCGTGGTTACAACGGTGCGCACGCAGGAGAAGGCGGACAAGATTAAGGAGTCTTACAAGAGCGCAGTCGACAAGGGTCAATTGAGTTTCGCAATTGTGCCGGACATTGCACAGCCGGATGCTTTTGAGAAGGCAGTCATCTCAGACCCTCCGTTCGAGGCTGTACTTCACACTGCTAGTCCGTTCCATTTCAATGTTACAGACGTACAAAAGGTGAGTACACTTTGAAGCCTTGAGATGGGGCTGTCCACTAATGAAATACAGGATTTGATTGACCCTGCTGTCATTGGAACAACTGGAATCTTGAAGTCGATCAAGAAGAGCGCGGTACGTTGATATGCATGAGGCACCTTCTGCGCGCATGCTGACATGACCATGTAGCCTTCCGTCAAGAGTGTCGTCATCACATCCTCGTTTGCCGCCATCGTCAACGGAAGCAAAGGCTTCTGGCCGGGACACTCGTACTCAGAGGACGATTGGAACCCTATCACACAAGATGAGGCGCAGGAGAACCCGATGATGGGATACAGAGCGAGTAAGACGTTTGCTGAGAACGCGGCATGGGAGTTTGTCAAGAACGAGAAGCCCAACTTCACCATCTCTACGATCAACCCCCCGATGGTGTTCGGGCCAATTGTAAGTTGCAGAAGGCTCGTTCAAACACTTTCACTGACAGAAGACAGGTACACGCTCTAGACAGTCTCGACAACATGAACACGTCAAACCAGCGAATCCTGTCGGCTGCACAGGGCAAATTCAAGGACGAAATCCCTGCCAGTGGAGTACATCTGTGGGTGGATGTCCGCGATGTTGCAGAGGCACACGTAGCTGCGTTCGAGAAGCCAGACGCTGCCAACAAGCGCTTCTTCGTCACGGCTGGCTACTTCTCCAACAAGGAGCTATGCCAAATCATCAAGAAGAACTTCCCAGAGTTCAAAGACCTGCCGAGCGACGACACACCTGGCGGTGACTACCCAGAAGGCACTCCTGAGAAGGGTCTGTATGGATACAACAACAAGCGCTCCATTGACGTTCTTGGCCTAAAGTACAAGACTTTTGAGCAGTCAATCGTTGACTCTGTCAAGTCATTCCAGAAAAAGGGGTTGTAGAGATCAACGCGAATTGCGCGTAATGGCAGACGTAAAATATTGGTACGATTCGATTCGCTATGTATACTATCTAGGCGGCGCGCTTGATCGAGCGCAAAAGCATCTGTCGCATGCATAGTGATCTAGAAGACGAGATGTCAGCATTTGAAATCCTCGAACGATAGAGAATACAAAGTGGAGATGAGCAATCAGCCTGTTGAGCTTGAATTATTTTGGACTTCACCGTGGTTTACGAAGCCACTCGGAAGTTATCGTTTGTGTTGATCATCATGTTGCAAGGAGATGAAGATGAATGGGAAGTGCTTACCTGTAGAATGTGAGCGCGACGCTGACCACTGCAAGCTGCATAAAGCTTGATGTTGGCCGGCGATGGCGCTCTGGAGTGGAAGAGCAAGCACGACGAGCTTGGAAGAAAATGACAGCGCTCGGCTCAAGGTCGGGCCGAGATCGTACCAGGACTAGCGCGTGCCCCACCAACGAAGCCCATCGATGGCGGGCAGTGACAGCAAAAGCCCAAACACTTTCTCGAGATTTCCACGTCACATCGTCATATCGCCGTCGCGTAGCCATTCCCCAACTCCGCAACCAACTCCAGCCTCCATCAGACAATTCACGTCGAGGAACCGCAAATATGTGTAAGTTGTCCGCGTCTACCCCACTACCACGGCTCCGATGCGCATGCGGTGCAGGTGTACAGCTTCGGATCGTGATCGCAAGGCTACACCGAAACTTGCGGAACTCGTAGCAGGCGCCTTCGATGTCGTTCTCGTATCGCGTTCTCTTTACACGCTCAAAACTGACTGCTCCACCTTAGCCGACTTCAACGCCATTGCTCGTATGTACCACCCGCTGCATACACCGCGCACAACCCCGCCTACACATCCTCCTCGCACGCTCCACCAGCCAAACCGCGAACGCGACTGACCCACGCTCCAGAGCAGTTCGTCGAGTTCTACTACAAGACCTTCGATGGTAACCGCGCTGGTCTCGGTGCCCTCTACGTATGCGACTCAGATGAAACGCAGATGCGCGAAAAGCAGCAGATGGCTGACAAATAAATACAGAAGGAGCATTCTATGCTCACCTTTGAGGCACAAGGAACTCAGGGTTCAGCCGCCATCGTAGAGAAGCTCCAGGTAACAATGACTCCCTGATACGCAACAGGGGCTGGGGCTAATTCGGAGAAGAACCTGCCATTCCAGGAGATCCAACATCGCACCGACACCGTCGACGCTCAGCCTTCTGCTGACGATGGTATCCTCGTTCTGGTGACTGGTGCGCTTCTGGTAAGTCGATCCCTTGTATTGCATTCCGTCTCGTTTTAACATCAAACAGCTTGGGGGCGAGTCCAAGCCAATGAGCTTTACTCAGGCTTTCCAGCTCAAGAACGATGCGGGCAACTGGTTTGTGCTAAACGACGTTTTCCGTCTCGTATACCCCGCCGCATAGAGTGCTCTCTCTTCTCTCAGCTTCGCTTCATGGCGGTGGTTACAGGTGCACATAGAGAATCGCGGGGTCTTTGCGACTTTGCCACGACTGACGCGGTTTCCTTTTACGGGTTTTGAGCATTTTGGCAGGGGAAATGGATGGCGGATGATGATGGGGTTGAGAGCCGATGCGTGGCGCAGTCGCCTTGGGGAACGTAGCTACTTACGAGTTCTACATGATTGGGTCGAGAGCTGAAATCATTTAAAATTGACATTGCACTTTCTTACAACACGTCCGTCTACCCCACGTTACGTTCATGTCATGCATATGCACCGAGCCCTTTTCCACCTGCATACGGGTTTGTTTTCCGCTGCTCACTTGGCGGAAGAGAGCTTTGCCGCCGTTTCTCCGCCCCGCGCTCACTTGCCGAAGTGGAAGCTCCACGCTTTCCGAGGAACCTGGAGCTTAGCTTAGCTCACAACGACCATGGCTTCATTGTGCGGCAATAGCCAGGGCATTTTGTTCCTTGCTCGCCTCTACCTTACTCTCTGTCTCCCGTTTCGTTGATACCCTCACATCTGTCTTTTAGCGTTTCCTCACAGCAGAGTGTTAGTGACAATGGCATTCGTACAAAAGGGTCTCAAGAACATCCTCCAAAAGAATCCCCACGACGTCGTCTTTCTATCCGCACTCCGCACACCAGTCACACGAGCGAAGAAGGGTGGATTGCGGGATGCTTACGATCATGAACTCTTAGGCGCCGTATGTCAATAGTCACCCAGACACAGATGCATGTCCAAGTACTAAAACCATCACCCCAGGTCCTCGCCGCCACGCTGAAGAAGTTCCCCAACCTCGATCCCGCGAAAATAGACGACGTATGCATCGGCACCGTCCTGGCTGAGCTTGGTGGCTCAAAAGCCGGTCGCATGGCTGCCAACCACGTCGGCATACCGACCACCACGTCCTTCAGCACCGTCAACCGTGCTTGCGCATCTGGTCTCAGCGCCATAACGTCGATTGCGAATTCCATCGCCGTGGGCCAAATAGACGTCGGCATTGCTGGCGGCATGGAAAGCATGACACGGAACTACGGGTCACGAGCTATTCCCACGGAGCTCTGGCCCGAGATGAAGGACAGTCCGGTAAAAGAAGCTCGAGACTGTATAATGAGCATGGGCATAACATCGGAGAACGTCGCCTCGCGATATGGAGTAAGCAGGGCAGACCAAGACGCATTTGCAGCGCAATCACAGCAGCGCGCCGCAAAAGCGCAAGCTAGCGGGAATTTTGACGATGAGATTGTACCGGTCACTACGCGCTGGATTGAGCCTGAAGTCCCCGAGACACAGAAGAGCGTGACGGTGCACAAGGACGATGGCATCAGACCGACCACGACGATTGAGAAACTAGCAGCCATGAAACCAGCCTTTAGCAAAGACGGCACAAGTACAGCCGGAAACTCGTCGCAGGTTTCCGACGGCGCGTCCGCAGCTCTCATGATGCGTCGTTCCACTGCTACCACGCTCGGTCTTGAATCCGCCATTGTGGGGAAGTGGGCGGGTACACAGGTTGTGGGGTGCTCGCCGGATGAGATGGGCGTTGGTCCCGCTTTGGCCATACCGAAGTTGCTCGATTATACTGGTCTTACGGCGGAGGATGTCAATGTTTGGGAAATCAACGAGGCGTTTGCTAGTCAGGCTTTGTACTGCGTGAGGAAATTGGGATTGGAGAGTAAGATGGATAGGATTAATCCGAATGGAGGCGCGATTGCATTGGGTCATCCGCTTGGGGCGACGAGTGGGAGGATGTTGGCGACGCTGTTGAGTGAGATGGGGAGGAGTGGGGAGCAGGTTGGTGTGCTGAGTAAGTGTATAGGGACGGGTATGGGGATGGCTAGTTTGATTGTGCGGGAATAGAGGGAATGGATGTCTATTCAATTCATGAATTATTTCTCTTTCCTGAAGAAAAGATTAGGCTCATTGATTAATTTCGCCATGGGTTGTATGTAGGTCTACTCCGAAGCTGGTACACTGGGTATCGAATTAAGAAAAATGCAACGCCGTTGTATCGTACACTGATTGATTCCGTCTTGCGGCTCCTGGTAGGCCTTCATGCTTTTGATTTCTTGCTCTTCTTCTTCGATCGTTCGGCCAAGATCTCGTCAAGGAAACTCTTTGGTTTGGTTCGCGCTTTCTTGGGAGCTGGTTGCGTGACGTCTGCTTCCGCTTCTTCGTCATCGTCCTCTCGCTTGACAGGTTTCGCGTCTGCCTGAACTTCCATGACTACTTTTTCTTTCGACGCCCCCTCTTCTTCCTTCACCGCGCCGCCCTCTAACCTCTTTGCCCTTGTCTCTTCATCCTCGTCATCGCTGTCGACTTTTTTGGCTTGTTGGTTCTCTTTCTTTGCCTGCCTTTTGGACTTGAATATAGCGGCCCTCCCCTCGTCGTCGTCATCCGACTCTTCCTTCTTCGCAGCCTGCTTCCTGTACTGCTGTGCTTTGGCTGCTGCAGTGGGTCTCGCAGCTTCCTGCTTTGCAGAAATATGGGCTTTTGCTTTCTTCTTCCCGATCAGCTGCTGTAGAAGCTTATCGTCCGAGGTAACTATCCTGCGGGTAAAGCTGCCATCTTCGATATCCTTAGGGAGTATACCGCCAAGACCGATTCTGTAGGATGGAGTTAGAATCGCAAATAAATTCATGGAACATGAAAACGGTTGCATCGGATTTACCTGTCGTGAGCATAGTTTTGTTTCAGATCTTGGTCATCGTCTTCATCCCGTGACTGGGTAGCATCATATGTGGTGTCCCAGTCAGGGCGCGATCCGTACAGCGACGCCAAGAGCTTCTGTCCTTTTGCTTCGAGCAGACTTATGCGGTTGGCGATGACATCGCCGTCGTTTGTTCTCTTAGACATGTCTTTTGCGACTATGTGGGGGCTCGATATAGATCAAGCTGGGGCCTGACATTGGAAACATTTGAAGTTCCCGGCCGCGATATTTTTGAGGACCCGGTTCATTCTCGGCGCGCTAGCAGACGTCCGCAACAGCCCTGTGAAGCAAGCAACACCAGCTGCTAGTACTCCAGCTTTAACCCCCCCTCTCAACCCACCTCTCGATATACCCCGACGTGTGTCTGCCGCTCAGACATCATGTACAACTTTGCCCGCGCCCGGCCGCTGGCTCGCGCTGTTCGCGCTGCTGCTGTACGCATACACACGGGCCTAGCCCACCTGCAAAGCTGCGAAAGCCTCTTACGCAGCGTGCACCACAAATGAGGGCCATGGGCTAACAAGGTGCCAGGAGACACCACTGATGCGCTCCCAGCAAAGGAGAGGGCTCGCCATCCACGAATACAGGTCCGCTGCCCTGCTCGAGTCGGTACGCAAATAGTCCACCTCCACCGCATATCCCCCAATTTCGCAGCACGGGTCAGATGTCTAACCAGGATTTCAGTATGGCATCGGCGTGCCCAAGGGTGGTGTCGCTACCAGCGGCGCCGAGGCAGAGAAGATTGCCAAGGACATTGGTATGCGACAACAAGAGTAGAATGCACCTGTTCTGGACTAATGCGCACAGGCGGAGAGGACGCCGTGATCAAGGCCCAGGTTCTTGCTGGAGGTCGTGGAAAGGGCACCTTTGACAATGGCTTCAAGGGCGGTGTCAGAGTCGTCTACTCGTATGCTACTACACGACCACACCCCACGCACCGCGGCCACCCTCTAACATAGCATGCAGTCCCCGCGAAGCCTCCATCCTCGCCGACCAGATGATCGGCCACAAGCTCATCACCAAGCAAACGGGAGCCGCCGGCCGGCTCTGCAACTCCGTCTTCATTGTCGACCGCAAGTTTGCCCGCCGCGAGTTCTACCTCGCTATCCTCATGGACCGCGCGTCACAAGGCCCCGTCATTGTCGCTTCGTCGCAAGGAGGCATGGACATTGAGACAGTCGCAAAGGAGCACCCAGAGGCTATCATCACCACCCCGATCGACATCCACAAGGGCGTCACCGACGACATTGCCCGCAACATCGCAAACGAACTCGGCTTCTCCGAGCAGTGCATCGAGGACGCCAAGGACACCATCCAGAAGCTGTACAAGGTCTTCATGGAGAAGGACGCCACCCAGATTGAAATCAACCCCCTCTCTGAGACCACCGACCACCAGGTCCTCGCCATGGACGCCAAGCTCAACTTTGACGACAACGCCGATTTCCGCCAGAAGGAGGTTTTCGACTGGCGCGACATCACCCAGGAAGACCCCGAGGAAGTCAAGGCCGCTAAAGTCGGTCTCAACTTCATCAAGCTCGACGGTGACATTGGCTGCCTCGTCAACGGAGCCGGTCTCGCCATGGCCACCATGGACATTATCAAGCTCAACGGCGGCGCGCCAGCCAACTTCCTCGACGTTGGCGGTGGTGCTACACCCGAAGCTATCAGGCAGGCGTTTGACCTGATTACCAGCGACCCCAAGGTTACTGCCATCTTTGTCAACATCTTTGGTGGTATCGTCCGTTGCGATGCTATTGCTAAGGGTCTGATTCAGGTTGTCAATGAGATGAACCTCAAGACTCCGGTTATCGCTAGGTTACAGGGTACTAACATGGAGGCTGCTCACAAGCTTGTAAGTTCTTTTGTTTTTTCCACACTTCGATTCGACGAAGAAGAGGATATTATGCTGACACATATTTTCTATCTAGCTCAACGACTCTGGTCTTAAGATCTTCTCCATCGATGACCTACAGGCCGCCGCCGAGAAGTCGGTGCAGTTCTCCAAGGTTGTCAAGATGGCGAGAGACATTGATGTCGGTGTTGAGTTTACACTTGGTATTTGAGCACTTTCAGGCTAGAGTTTCCCCTTTTTGCGGGCTCGGCTGACTGGGTGCGAGTATGACAGGTTTGTAGATATAGCGGCCAGTGAGCCGATGTTCTGAATCCTTGTTTGGTCGATGATGATGGCTTTTGTTGTGTGTGTGTGTGTGTGTGTGTGTATGCTGTGCCGCGCGACCTGCGTGTGCTTTTTCTTGTGCTTTGATGAGCTGTGCCACCGAGGTATCGCCTTACCACGCTGCAAATGCAGACTTCCACGTACAAGACCAGAGCTCGTTCTGTGGATCAAAAATATAATGACAAAAATTCTGGCGTTTCAGAACAGTCTCATCTCAATGTCCTTTTTACATAGAGCGCTGTCTTGCTTCGTGGACAATCACTGTACTGCGAACTTGTTCATCCACATTTCCAATCTGCTCATCCCTCGCAGCACTTACACATTGTACAAGTATTGCAGAGCGTTTCACCATCCGATCGAATAACAAAGACAGACTCGAAATCATCTAACAATTCCGGGATAGTATGTAAGAGGGATCTCAGTAGCGTGCATCTACAATTGGACTACCAATAACTATCGGTGGACAATACTTGTTGATGTGTCCGTAGTCCGGCGATAGCCTTCGCTTGAAAATTCGATCATTACAATACACTTGATCACATTGCTCATACTCCAAACTGGCCTTTGAGCGTCAGCTTGAGCAGGTCGTCCTTCACAATCTCTTCTTTGCGGCTAAGCAGATCCTCCACGTCCCAGTTTGCCGCGATGAAGCGTCCGCTCAGGAACTTGGCCTTCTCTTGACACAGCCAAACGGCAGTACCGCCAACAAGCTCGGGGCTATCCTGGTTGAAGAGCGATCGGAAGGGCTCGCGGAGCATATCAGTAGCGACTAGGCCTGGGTGCATCGACACCGCGGTAACATTTGGGTACTCAGCAGCGACGTACGTAGCCAGGGCATCTAGAATATACTTTGACATGAAGTATGCGCCGAGCGGTGGAACCGTGAAGAACGCTTGCCACGAGCTCACATTGACAATACTGGCAGGTGTATCGGGGCTCGGCAACAAACGCAGGAACGAGCGGATGAGCAGATAGTTGCCTTTTCCGTTGATCTCCTACAACCGAGGTGTCAGCTCCATCCAAAAACGACTCAGTTTACTGCGGGTTAAGGAACGGGATCGGATCTTACAAAGTTCCTCCACCATTGATCGGGGTCTGTGTCGTGCAGTTTCGGTCCATCTCCTGTCATGGCACCGGCGGCGTTGATGAGGACATCCGCATGGCCGAACTTGTGCCGGATCGCTTCGAAGGCAGCCTCAACGGCTTTGGTGTCGGAGATGTCGAGAGCATATGTCAATGTTTCGATGGTGGGGTTGGACGCCTTGACGGACTTTTCGGTAGCTGTGAGCTTTTCGGCATTCGAAGCTAGGAGTACTACACCCTTTACGCCTGCCTTTACAAAGGCTGGTACCATGGCCTGCGGGACTAAGTCTTAGCACACGCAATCATGACACCAGGTTGTTGTGAAAGGCGATGTGCTCTGTGAATAATGTTTCAACATACCATGGCTCCAATACCACGCGAAGCTCCAGTGATAACTGCAACTTTTCCTGCCAGGCTATGCTCTGGGCTACTGGGATCGATTGCAGGGTATACGTCTTGGTGTGCATTTTTGGTGAACTGCATGGACGTGACATAGAAATCTTTCGGAAGTTTGCTTAGGTCTGCCATGGTGGGTGTGGTTGCAATTGGGCTTTGGAGGATCGGGAGGATACGACCGATATGGTGGAATGCTGTACAAGAAGGATACTAATCAGAGATGCTACGGAACCCAGACGATAGCGATAACTTATGCGAGGCTTCAGGAGTATGAGGCCCCGCATTTAGGCCGCGATACTCGCCTCTGCGCGTCGTCGTATCGCACCGGGAAGTATTCCCAGTACATCCATGTTTCACAAGCGTTGGCACGTCAGTAGCGGGGAGCCCGGCAGTGGTCGTTAAAGTTGCGGAACGTCCCAAGCGAAGCCAGCCGTGAATGATTGCGAGGAGGAACGGGATGATCATATCTTTATTCGAATTAGCGTAGGATCGCCGACCTTGCTCTTCTCACTCACCTGAGATCAATGCAGAACGCCAAATTTCCACAACGGTCCGAAATCCACTGGATCCTCCATTAGCATCACTCTGCTCGTCCAACAAATCGTGTTCGCGTTCGAAAGCTTGACCAGAGATGCGTACAGTCGTACACAAACTTCATTCCAACGCGCGATCTGTCATCTCGGGCGAAATCCTGAGGTGTGACAGCATCCATGGCGATGCACGTAGCCGAAAACGAGACAAAGTGATATCGAGTATCAGGGGCAGCAAGACAAGTCGTGATGGTGGAGACGCACTGCATGTTCTTTTCTCAGCACGCCGATCATCAGGATGCGCATCCATGCGGGTGAATGGGGCTCCGGGAAATTCTGGGACGATCTTATACGAGGCAGTGAAGGTAAAGCGTTCCACTCCCTTGGAGCCTTGGACCAGACCGTTTGCATTCCGTACTTGAGGGCACCAATAATGCTAAAAGCTCCCCCACCACTTCATGCCCGTCCAGCGTTGCGGGTTGTTTGAGAGAACCAACTCCAACGTATTACAATTCAACACTCATTCTGATCGATAGAAAATCATCATTATGGTGCTTCATGAGGTGAGTTGAACTAACATCAGACGTGTTTATGTAGAGCTGATTGTGGAGAAGGATCTAGGCCCAAACCTCACGGCGACGGTCCTCACGACAGGACTGCTGGCCTTCATAACGATGGGTATGCGCACATATGTCAGAATCACCAATCGGAGCTGGGCTCTGGAGGATTGGATAATGGCAGTTGGATGCGTACGTATCCATCCTTCTCGAATATCAAAAATCTTGCAGCTCACTCGTCACAGTTGCCTCTTATGACTCTTACCATTGTCACGACTATCGGTTCTTACTACGGCATCGGTGCCAAAGACAGTACTTTCGCTCGGCCTGGCAATCAGAAATATGTGGAGACCGCGTACTTTTGGTTCTTCTTCTATCAAATCTTTTACTGCACCTCCATCATCTTCATCAAGCTGAGCATCGCCTTCATGTTGAACCGGATAGCTGGAAGAAGGATGATTTTCATCTACATCAACTACGCCATCATGGGTCTCTGCGCAGCCACCAACCTAGCAGCCATTCTTTACATCATCTTCCAATGTCATCCTGTTGAGTAAGTACAAAGCGATCGTCGGCGGCTCGAGCACTGCTAATCACTCAACCTCTAGGGCTGCTTGGAGAGCCGATCTTATGGCAGAAGGGACACACTGCGAGCCATCAGTCTACTTGCAGAACGTTTACTTCTTCTGCACATCGGTCAACATTTTCACCGATTGGGCTACGGCACTCATGCCAATCGCTCTTCTGTGGAACGTGCAAATGAACAGAAACACCAAGATCTCAGTTGCCGGCATTCTGGGCTTAGGTATCTTGTATGACAACCATGATTCTGGCTATGGTTCGTTGCTAACAACCCCTTAGCACATCGGTCTCTGGCTTAGTTCGCCTAAAGTACACCGTCGGCCTGACAAGCAGCCATGACTACCTCTATGGCCTCGCGAACATTCTCATCTGGGGCTACGCCGAACCTGCCCTTGGTATGCTTGTCGGCAACATCGCAACCCTTCGCCCACTCTTTCAACGCCTCCTGCACCTCGGCTCCAGCGGCTCTCAGCAGCCTCACTCTGGAGGTACACCGCACGGCATCAGTGGCGACGGTGGCCGTTCGCATCGCTACAAGCCATTCGACCACGAAGTCGAGCTCGGCACCATTGCGGACAACAAGGATGGGCATATTCCTTCGATTCAGGTTCGCGGCGGTCGTAGTAGCGTGTCGAGCGATAGCGAGAGCCAGAAGGAGATTCTGGAGAAGAACGATCGGTTTGTGAATAACAATAAGGATAGTATTGTTGTTAGTCGGCATGTTGAAGTCAGTCGCGAGTGAATGGTTGCTGGCTAGCGGCATGTATTCTGCGTCAGCGAGCAATAGGATCAAGCAGTATCTCAGCGCGCATTCGCTATACTGTGAAGTACTTTGTGAGAGGCTGAGGACCAGGCAGCTTCGCAATCAACCATTAGAAAAGCATTCGTATCTCTCATTCGAGTCCGGCTGGCGCTAGCCTGATTCCATCCTCCTGCTTAATCATATCGTCCGTCAGGTTCATCCTCAGATCCTTGAGGTACTTGCTGAATCGATTTCCCACGCTGATAGCATGCTTAAGATGTGAATACTGAAAGCATTGCTCTCTGAACTGGGCCAACTGCCGTGCAATGGTGATCGCGTTGCGGATTTCTCGTCCGTTCATAGGTTCCTTGCTGAGCTCATCAATATGGTCGAGAATGTCCTCGAGATCTGTTGTTGAGGATTCTTCGAGAGACTTCATACGCGCGATAAAGTTGCGCCAGATCTTCTTACGTTGGATGAACCCGAGGTTGTCGTAATGCAGGGCGAGCTGGATGCGGGACTTGAAGGCTTCGTCGACTGTGATTTATTGTTAGCACCACTATTGTACCTCGATGATCATGAGTGTGACATACAGGTGCCAACGCGGTTTGAGGTCAGTATCAGAATGCCATCGTAGTACTCGAGTGCGCGGAGAAATACAGATACTAGGGCATTTCTTTTGAGATCTTTCATATCACGCTCTTCGAGAAACACATCCGCCTCATCTAGAAGCACAACTATACTTTTTTTAGCAGCTTTCAGTAGTCAAAGAAATGGGAGACAACGTACCGCAATCCCACAACTTCCCAAGTCGAAACGTGGCACGAAGTCGCTGATCGACAACCTCAGCATCTGTTCCTATGTCACCACAAGTCACACGAAGCAGCGGTTTCTCTGCAAATTCAGCGACACCCTCAGCCGTGAACGTTTTGCCAGTTCCAGGAGCTCCGTGCAAAAGCATGATAAGACCATTTCCTTTGCCAGCCACGAAGTCAGTCGACCTTTTGGCGTTCAGTTGCTTCATGACCAGTGCCTGAACTAGTTCCTTAGTCTCTGGTTCAGCAACAAGGTCCTTGAAGGCCTGCTTGTTCCATGTCACATCGGTAATGCGGTCGACGAGAAGCTCACTCCATTGTTTCTCCTCTAGATTGTGGGCCATGATGGTTGTTGGAACCACTAAAAGCACGTCGCGTTCTTCAGGTGGTTCATCGAGAGCCATAGCCACAGCACCAAACGCGTTTCTGAGATGTTGTTGTGCGATCTTCGTATCAGGGCATATCATTTTGTACGCTTCGGTGTCTACCATATATCTGTCCTCGATCTAGAGTCACTTCGTTAATCACTTGAACGTTCCACAGAGTTCCACTTTCGCGGACATACATTGTAAAGCTCATCTCCCTCAGAGCGCATGTAAGAAATGAATTTCCTGTGCCGAAGAGACCAAAACGTCTTGCCCCTCTTCTCGAGCAGCGTTCTAATCTCTTCGTCCGCATATCGGATGGGGTAAATGTTGAGATCCCTGATTCGGATCGAATCCTCTTCGTAACCCAGAGACATGACAATATCTATACGGGTTTGGTGTTTCGCAAAGCTGCCGTCGAAATCCCAGTACCACACTGGAATGTCCCAGATATATTGAGTTGATTTGCGACTGGGTCCACCGTTGGTACGGTCCCCGTGCTTTGAGGACGACTTCTTTTGTTTGTTGCCGGAGCCAGCCGCCCGACGTTGGACCCAGCCTGTAGCAATGTATGCCTGAGGAGCGTGGCCATCCGCACCGTTGCTGACGAGAACGTCCCCAGGACGAAACAGATAATGAAGGTGATTGTGCGTCACCCTTCCCTGCTCTGCTTTCAGCTTCGCTGATTCGTACTCGCTGCCGTGACTCTGCTCGATAGTCGCTTTCAGTTGTCTGATTAGGTCTTGACTGAGTATGTCGAGTCTAGGTAATAGTTCAGATATAAACGGTGCGCTGTAGTACATGAACATATACGGTGCCGGAATTTCCTCCTGAAGATCGAAGTTGGGGAAGTAGTCGTCAAACCTGGGTATGTGCTGGATCAACTGGTCGACTGCGTCCAGCATCGCAGGAGCAATGAGCGAGAGAGATTGGGTCGTTGGTCTCGGAGAGCGGTACAAACCGTCCGTGGTGACGAGCTCGCGAAAGTCCTCGGGTGGACGCTCGTCATAGCCTTTGTCGATAGCGAAGGCTATTTCGGGATGTCGCTCTAGATAGTACCCCATGTTCGGAACCGGGTTGCTGGCCCGCAACACGACGTGAGATCCTCCAGCGTCAGAATCCCAACGTGGCGCGTCCAGATACACCTTTCCTTGAAGTATGTGGAAGACTTTGCCGGTATACGCAGGTACCGCGAGCTGAGTAGGAGCGGGTGTTCCAATAGCCCTCCGTCGTAGTTGTTCATTCTCCGTTCTGAGGGCCTCTAATTCGGCCAATATTGCTTCCGAAGGGTTATCGTTCTTTTTCGCACGCGACGGGGTTATACCGAAGGCTATGCCATGTGACGGGACTGAACGTTGCTGCTTTGGTGGCTGTCGGTACCGCATCGATTTTGATGAGCTCGTGGTGCTTTCTTCATCTGAGGTTTCCCATGAAACATCTCTAGGTGGGATTTTTGGCCGAGAATACTGCTCAAATGAGAGGTCTTTGGTCTGCACATCTTAGTTCATTCTCCTTCCCGTTCAAGTCTGATATGGCTTACAGGACGATCAAATCTCATACCTCGCTTTCTATACTCCATGGGGTTTTCTTTTTGCGCTGGAATCGAAACAAGATCAGGTTCTCTCGGACTATCTGGGGTGTTAGAGCGAAACATATCTATTCTTCGAGGGTCTGCATCGTCTTGGTGTCCCGTGAACTCTTCTTTGCTTTCGTGCCTCAGATGTTGCCAATCCAACCCTCTCGCAGTCTCCGCGTCCCGTGCAAGAGGGGCATAACCTCTTATCACGTCTAGAGATCCAGCATCCCATTGTCCTCCCATTTGTACCTTACGTGTGTTGTCGAGGGTCCAAGGCGCGGGGCGAGAAGCGTGGTCGAGAGGCTTGTCAACCATATCGCGAGGAGCTTGTTGTAGCTGTTCCCTTCCTGTTTGCTCCATGGTGCTCTGCTACAATGGGCTGAGTGATGCAGTGTGTCTTGTGAAGGTATCTGCACAGAGATGCGGGGTTGTTCGCGGGAGCCTTGTTGATTGCATGCGATCGACACCTTATATGGGGGCTAGACGACTGCGCCTCAACGCCTTTCTGACGTATCGTTCGTCGTAGGCTTCTACAACGTGACATCTCATCAGCCAGACAATGATAAATTCGCCTTGGTCTGCATGATCTGAGATTGACCATCATCAATGCAGTCGCAAAGTCATTGGTATTCGAAAGCACAGGCGAGTTCTTCTACCAACTCAGCTGAAGATGCTTTCAAAGAGGCGATTTCCGTCTTCCAGCTGGATCCCCGCACCTGCGCCAGATTCGACCGAGTGCAGCAACTTCGAAGCCTCAATGACCTGGAAATCATTCTCAACGAAGCGCGATCCAAGTATGAACAGCAACATGAGGACAAAAAGATCGCCAAGTGGTTGTCGCAGCTCTCGTCACGCATCTGCCATTACGGTCAGATCTTCGATGTTCTTGTCCAGCATCATCCTGAGTACGTCAGCCTAGCATGGGGAGCGATGAAATTTCTCTTCGTCGTAAGTACTGCTTCCGATTGTGTGCAAAGCAGGGACTGATAATTGAGCGCAGTTAGTCGAGAACCACGGGAAGCAACTTAGAGTCCTTGCTAAAGGGTTGAGCCAGATCGCGGATGTGCTGCCACGTATAGAGTTCGCTAATGCTCTCTACCCCACCGCCCGCATGCAACAGGCAGTATCCGAGACCTATAGCAAGATCATTCGATTCTTTCTCCGAGCTGAGCGTTGGTTCCAGCAAAGCAAACTACGCCATACGTGGGAAGCTCTGAGTCGGCCAACCGAGCTCTACTATAGCGACTTGATTCAAGAGGTAGGGGAGTGTACCAAAACGATCGAAGTATTAGCGAATGCAGGGGCACAAGCAGAGCAGCGCGACATGCACCTGGAAGTACAGGAGTTGAACAAGAGGCTTCAGATTTCAGAACAAATACTCCAGGAAATGCGAGGGTTACTCATCTGTAGGTCACTTTTGCAGTCGCTAGCGCTAGTCCTAACGATGCGCAGCATACCAGTCGATCCAAACAAGTGCGAATCTAGACACCAATCAGCGCCTGACTGATCTCCAATTGAACCAAATTATGGACTTCCTCTCGGGTGCCAATGCGCTGGACCCGCTAAAAGCCTTGCAATACCGCGCCTTTATGAGTGCTCGTACCAAGGGTCGTCAAACAAGACCAGACGCAGGGTCGCAATTTTGGTTAAATCCGAAGTTTACCGCCTGGGAGTCAGCATCATCACCGACAATGATCATGGTGAAAGGCGAGTACAGTACGCGATTCCAAGTCCAGAATTTCGCCGTCGACGTCATCACCAATCTTCGCAATCGGACCGTGCCCACACTTTGGGCCCTGAAGTCGGTACGGGCGGATGGCGCAACTTCCGCATCAGCGATAGATATCATCAAAGGGTTGATATGTCAGGCTATACAGCACAACATCTCACAGCATACAGAACGCTCACTTGCGCTGAGTTGTGCGCAGTTTCGCGCAGCTGATTCCATCGAGCAATGGCTTGACCTCCTAGCACGGACCATCGCGAGCTTCCCGCAGCTCTACATCATCGTTGATCTGGAGGCTGTGGGAGGTTCGTATCTCAATGGCATCTCCTGGCTTTGTCAATTGACTGCTATGTTTCAACGACACAACTCCGGAAAGTGGATATCCCGGCTCAAGATCTTGCTCGTCAGTTACGGATCTATGATGCGGCAACAAGACGATCTACTCAACTTCCGCGATATCGTCGTCCCTGTAAAATCATCTCACACGCGTGTAATGCTTCAAGGACGTTCGCCAGGATCCATTTCGCCAGGTCTCGGGCGATCGCGGCCTGTGAGAGGAAGCATGCGCACCCGTTATGGCGGTAGTCGAGCGCGCCATTCTACACTTATAGGAACCTGAGTGGAGCCGGAGTTCTACTCTTATGGAAGATTGAGCAGCCTGTAATACTGCTGCCTCCTTGTTGAGCTCGAGACATGCCAAAGCAAGCGAAGGCAGATCCGGTATCTCCCCGATACAGGAAACACGAAAGCACTTCCGCGGTGGTGTATCGAATGCGCCCAGTTGTCAATCTTCGGCCACTCTCCTCTTGATCGAGGAGTAGTCGTCAGCTCGACGTAACGCTCGTACCGAATACCTAGCGGACGTCGGCCGTAGCGGGATTGTCAGCGCTGGCTCGATGTCGTATTCGCTCCCGGACTCGGCTCGTAGTGTGCACCTTTCTTCACACTATCTTCTTCAGGCATTCTTTGACAATGTCGCTCCCCTATAGCAAGAAGATCTGCTCAATACCTCAGTACTTTGTGTCTTTGTCTAGTGCTATACGTGGGACTTCTTGCATACTACTATCTTCGGCGGCTTTTGCTCGGATTCCCTACACCGTTCATCGTGATACGTTAGGAAGGCAGTGCAAATACTTGGTAGATAAGCTGTAGTTGGGCGGTCGGTCCAAGCCCTTCCTTGAGGCTGACGGTACTGTAAGTAATGCCGTATCCGGAAATTCGAACTTGGCGCGATCAGTTTTGTGCTAGATCTCGTTCCAAGACTGTTCTTCGAGGCCGCGCACCCGAAAGGGGCTGCAGGAAGAAGACAATAACAAATGGGCAGCGTTCCGAAGAGCACACTATCTCCCGAATGAGCTAGAGTTGTTCTTTATACTAAAAGATGACTGTATGCTGATAACTCTTGCGATGATCAGTGTGGTAGAAGAGGAAGCTAGGGCGACAAACTAAAGGCTAGAATCGGACCTCGGGGCGGAGTTATGACATGCCTAGTTCGGGGGGTTTAGCTTACCTGGGCGACTTTGACATTGAACTTCTAAAAAATTCACCAAAACACAGAATAGTTGAGCGCATTGAATATGAATAAAAAATCATGGGCTTGTTAACTTAGATACAGAATCATGTCTTCGCAACTCGGCATGTTCTCCTTCCATCCCTAAACAGATAGTAACAACGTCGTTGCGTGCGAGGTATGTAGTCACGATCGCCATCTACTAGCTGTGGCCAAGATACTTGTACTTCTTGAAAGTCTCCCTGAGAGATTTTTAAAGCAAATGCACGGTTCTTACAGCTAGTAAGAGCATGCGGGCCGACCCCGAAGATGAAGTGCTAACGACGATGGTAACGCCTGTGATTACTGAAAGTCCAACATTGCTGCCTATCATAGTCGAAAAGAATGCATCTAGATCCAATAGTCTGATTTGGAAGCCCTTGCAGAGATGCTTAGAGAAGCTGGCGACCGTGGCTTAGATCTTCTTCCCCAATAGAAGATATTCCAAGACCACCTACAGGTATCTGAACATAGCATAATCGACAAACCCAAGTTCCGTTACCACAGCGAACAGTAGTGTTACCTGCCGACATAAGACAGCTTGACATCGCTACGAGGATGTATATAACCAAATTCGCGAAGCCTGATAAGACAAGAAATCATTGTTACCATAACCCCTGCTCAAAGATGTTCATCCGACTGTACTAGTCGGGTATGCCCTTTGGTAGTCAATGACTCGAATGTCAGATTGCCATGGCTTCGAAGATATCAGATTACTTTCTACGTGCTTGGATTCCGGTTCCGTACACTGTTTAGGGTAAGACGGAAGATGAGCATGAACTGGTATAAAAGACCTATCGCATCCTCTCCAGTGTAGATACCACTCACTCATTACGTCTTCACACTCCTTTGTTCTTACAAACACTATTTATTACCAACAACAATGAAGTTCCTCACCCTCATCGCCGCCGTCGGCACTCTCGCTGGCTTCGCTGCCGCCGGTCCAGCTGAACCTCTTCACATACGAGCACCTTCAGATCTGCCCATCGATGCAAGATCAGCCCAGGAAGGAGCTGGTGACGTCAACACCTGGTTCAAAGACAGGTTCTGCGCTTCAGGCTTCGCTTCTTGCGGCAAAGCAGGAACTAACGGTGATCCGGGCAACCGATGCGCTCTGGCATGCGAAAATTTCGCTGGAGGTGTTGCTCTGGGCCATTGCCAGTGCAGCAGGGGATGGTATCCTGACGAGTGCATCACTCTTGGCAAATATGCAGGTCGCCACAAGTGCTGAGCGAATGAGATGCGTAAGTGCATGGTATGGCATTTCGCTAATGGAGTACGAGACTGACCATTTCTTCTATAGAACTGCATGCGCTTAAACTCCTACAACGAAAGCGACTGCAAGGGAACCCAAAGAACTTATCTAAATTTACAGGCGGACAAGGGGATAATGTAGCAGGCGGAGGAAGGATCATCGGCTTGGGGGGGTTCAGGGGTTACTTCATACTATGCTTAATTACATTACATTCTACCATGCTATCTCGCTACCGATCTTGTTGTGCTCGATCCAGGTCATGCTTACCGCCACCGCGACCATACGCGAATACACTACATAGATATCTGCCATATGCCAAATCGACATGCCAGCCATAGAAAAGACTCTGTATTATTTGAAGCGATATGTCGATACTGAGATAAAGTGAAGTAGCTTTCATGGTAGAAAGTAAAGCGATTTGGTTAGACAAACCAGATATCAAGTCTGCTGTTGTTGATTTGCTAACAAACCACAGGTCCATGAAAGTCTTCAAATGCTTTTTGAGCCGGTTTTGGGGTTCATCGCGTGTCTTGTAGGCTATTTACAGTTGTCTACCGCATGTTTCAGATATTTCGGTTCAAAAGTGTCATGGACAGGTTATAAATTGGTTTGTAGACCGACCGGTCTCACGAAACATATCGGCAGACAGGAGCTTTTCGATTATGATGAAAAACAGCAAGAGAAAAACCACATGTGGATTGTTCTGATAGTTTTGGTGTTCTGGTTTTGACAGCTGTGCTACCCAAGCAAGTCACAACACAGAAGCGTTGCTTTGCATGCAAGAAGTATACCGACACTAGCGCTCTACCCAGTAGATCCAAGAAGCGTTATCTAGTAGTTTTGTGAATCTGCTTGGCAGAACTAGGCTAGAGGTTGTAGAGATAGTTCCAATCAGCTTCTCATAACTCTTCTCCATGTTCGTTTCGAAACGCTAGATATCATCATGACTTCAGTCTGGTATGTTCTTTCGAATGTGGGTTTTGCGACACATCATTGTATTCGCCACACCTTTGGAATAAATGTACTCAGTAGCAACACATGTTGACTCCATCTTCGATTGAAAGACCTATACCGGTGGCTACATTTGACGTTGAGGTTGAGACGCCCTCAACATGCCTTGGCTTGCATGAATGTAGATTTTTGAGAAGACGTGGAAGCCCGGAACCATGCGTTGGTCTTCGGCGAGTTTGGTTAAATGTATTTGAGATGTTCAGATAAAGGAAGAGAACAACGCCCCAGGAAGAAGGCTTCATATGCAAGCAGCTCGACGCTTGGTCCTCATGTGGATTTCGATGGTCATTTTCTGACACACAAAAGCGACATGTCATGATAGCCATTTGGGTTTGTTGACCAGGGAAGGACGGCACGTACTGCCTATGATATCGATTCTAACCGTATAGCAGATGAGAAGAGTCTTCTACTGCTCATATTTGCGTGTGAAATGGTTTCTTCGAGTTTAATAACAAAACATTGGATGAGAAGAGGTCGAAAACGCAGGGCATGTGAGCCTACGCATGTTGCTTTGTACGAAAGACGAAACAAACATTCAATCGTATTGTATAGTTTTTGACAGACCACAAGCTCTCATGATATACATGTGCTCGATTTTGGGAAGACCTCGTGGCAGGTGGAAACATGTCCAACCGATATTTGTATTTGAGAAGGCGGAGAGCAGAAAACTCCATGATAAACTCAGCGGTAACTTTTGGAAAAACATTAGAAGGAAGTGGATGATAGAGGTAAGAGTAGGCCGAAGAAAGAGAGATATTTATACCCGGCGCGGTGTTTAGGTGAGATGTGACGCCGTTCAAGCATCATCGCCCTGGATTCATAATGAACAATGTTTTTCCTGCATCATGTGCGGCCAGTAAGTTGTTTTGAGAAGTACTGTATCATAAAGGATAAGAAAAAGGGCGGAGGAGAGATACATGTCAGTGTTAGGTGTATCTTTCGCTGACTTTTCGCAATTGCAGTCGCCAGGCGTCCTCATAACCAGAAGCCGCACGGTTTTCGACAGCATGTAGAAAGAGCTGTCTTTTTGGGAATAAGGTTGTTTTGAAGTGGCTCCAAACAGACACTTCATTGGTAACAGCGTCATGAGTTTTTATACACGCGCAAAACCCATGCGGCATTTCTGATGTGTATCTCTGAATTCAGTTCCGAAGCCCAGTCATACGTGGATAGAGAGCGACTTTTGAAGAATATTCTTGAGAAGGCGGATGACAAGAAAGACAAACAGGGGAAGAGAAGAGCCAGCTTTTGTACTATTGACGAGGTGCTCAGGTTAGTGCAAGCGGTCAGTCTCATGATGCCCAACGCTTGGTACTTTGGAAAGGTCGGCATAAGTTCCTGCATTCTGTTCAAACACTGAAGATCTTATCTTGATCAATCTTCGTCATTATCGATTGACATCAAGCCAACCTAAATATCTCTCTTTGGCTTTTCATCCTGTCATGTATACTTCATCCCGCATGTTCAAGAGACACGCCACACTCTACTGCCCACCAGTCTGATTCTGACCCTTCTGCTCAGCACCCACGCTCTTACCCCCAGCCTTCGTCGTATCGCCAACAAAGTTACCAGCCGCTATCTCATGTCAGCAAGGATTCTCCCCACATTCCTTTCCCAACCCCCACTCCCTCTCTCTCTTTTAAACACCCCCAACCACCCACACGCGGGAAAGTAAACGTACCTTTAGTAGTATCCCCAACACCCTGCGTAACTCCTGTCACAGCATCGCCAAGTCCTTTACCACCGGCAGCAACAACGTTGCCAGTAGCATCAGTAACGCCTTGGACGCCCTTTCCGACCGTGTTCGTTGCTGCGCCTAGCGTGTTTCCTGTACTGTTAGCTTGTTTTCTGACGTTACCAAGTACGGCGGTGCTGGTGGGAAGGAAAAAAGGGCCAGAGGATAGATGAAAAGAATTTGTAAATGGAACATACCGAGACCGCTTGCAGCGGTGCCAAAGAAGCCTTTTTGCTGGTTGTTCTGGTCCGACATGGTTGATGTGTGTGTATGTGTGTGTTATATATCACGAGGTGATTCTGAATCTGATTAGGAAATGGCAGATTTGTACTTGAACTGATTAAAATGGTTGAGAGTTCGGCCCGCTGTGAGTGTAGTGTAAAAGTGCTCAGCCTGCCAACTTTCCTGGGCTTTACATATGTGTTTTCCCTTTGCTACTCTGTCCTTATGACGTAACCCGCTCTTGTCCTCCTTATCCCTGCAGCAACCCCTCTGCCCACCCGTTCTGCCCCTCATTTGTGAACAACGGGCTGAGAGACGCGCAACGCTCGTGCCGTCAGCGAATATCTCGCAGAAAGGATCGACATGTTTGCATCATGTCACATCATTGGCAGGGCACCTGTCTCCCACCAAATCTAGACCTGCCAAGGTTCGCAAAGATGGTCCGACCAGGCAACAGTATCACAGCATCACAACATCGCCATCAGGGCAGAATACATTTTTAGCACATTTCATTCTATCTGGATCGATATCGCAAACAAGAAGTCCGTAATGATTCTCATCATCCGTACATCATCGTTTTCGCGCATTTGCAAGATCTTTTTGTGTACTCTTCTTGCATCGTCGCACGTGTGCATGCCTGAGCAACGACATGCCTAAGCAAGGACGTTCTGCTGTCATGGGCGGACACCATATGCGATCGCCAAACCACCGCATTCTCTGAAGAGTTGCAAGCAAAGAAGAAAGAGAAGAAGAAAAGGATAACATGAGAAAAAGTGCAGGATTAGAGGCAAAGAACCTCCACAGGTGGACAAAAGGTAGACTCCCTGCTACCCGTCTTTTGACCATCCCTACCCTAGCAGCGCAGGAAAAAGGTGATGAACGAACCGAGGTCAAGAGAAATAACTCAATCGTGCCCAAAGAACCACCCATAGCGCTCGTAAGAAGCGTCAGCGGTGTAGGGCCGTCCCTCATCCATCCATCTTGCAAAGCAGGTCCCAGAACGCCGCCATCATGGTCCGTAAAAAACATGAAAACATGCGCATGCACATCGACAACAAGGAAACTTTTGATGAAAACCCCGGGCGTCCGAAATGCATGCAAACAATGACTGCGCGCTGTGATGCAACCCCCCTTTCTATAGCAACGAAGAAACAGGCGATCGATTAGATTACCGCGTGCGGTGTGGTCTATGGGTATAAGAACCGTCACGCGCTCGAATGGTTGGAAAAAGAGGTAATCACTCGGAAGGCTTGGCCTCCGTGTCGGCTGCAGATTCGTCTGCCGCGTTGGATGCAGAGCCAGCCTCACCGGCGTCTTCGTTGCTAAGAGCTGCAAGCGCACTGCAATAGTTGTTAGTAAAAACTTTGAATGTCATGAGGAATGGAAGCTTACTCGAAAGCGTTCGCGTGGGCAGTTTCCTGCTTCTTGACTGGTGGTGTGCCAGTGCGCGAGGAGGCGTTGGAGTCTTCACGACCGCCCATCATGCCGGGGCCAAGACCGCGACGGCCGCTACCACTGCGGCTACCGAGCATGGACGGGCCAAGGGACTGGTTGTTGAGGTTGCGTCCAGAAGCACCCTTGGAGAGCTTGCGGAGGTCGTCCATCTGTACACGGCTGCCAGTGTCTGGAGGAGGCTGCATGCCACCACCTGAGAACGAGCGAGCGTCGCCGCGACCCATGGGAAGACGACCACCACCACCGCGCTGGTTTGATCGTGTACGCTCCATCTCGGCGGCCTGCTGAGCCGCCATGGCTTCTTGATGGATCTCTGCAATGGTCTTGGGACCCTTGAGAATGTCCTTGGACTTCCAGCCAGCCTTGCGCATGTCGACGGTGTCGAGCAACATGAAGTGCATACGCGACGGAAGACCCTCCATGTTCATGACCTTCTCGATGCGCTCGAAGTACATGTTGATCATCTTGGGACCAGCCTCAGCCGACTCCATCGTAGCTCCAACAGTGCGGAGCAGCTTAACCAAAGACTCAATAGCAGCCTCATCGGGAAGGCCCTCAAAGTCGAGAAGCTTGAGCACACACTCGTGCATGATACGGAGGGTCAACATGCCCAGCTTGTACAGCTCTCCGATGAACTGAATAAGACCGAGACCCTTACGCTTGGCAGCAGCGGCGATGTAGTACTCGTCTGACAGAAGCTTGGCTTCCTTCTCGCCTTCTGGCGCCTCAGGCAGGTTGACTTCCCAACCACGCTCAAACTCTTCCTGACAACGGTTCAGGAGGTACTTGCGGAAGAGAGCGCCACCAACGACGGGGTTGCCATGCTTGTCGCGGACGTTCTCGTCTTTGATCTCGGTGCTCATAGTCTGCAACATGCGGCTACAGAACTTGGCGTACATAGAAGACCAATGAGACTCGTCGCAAGCCTTCTCGAAAGTGAGCTGAATGACCTGGCGAAGGGTGCGTCCATCAGTCTCGTCCTTGGACTGTCCAGCAATCTCGAGGATTTGGTCGGAAATCTTGTCAAACTTGTCGGGTGTCATCTTGTTGAGAGCAGCCTTGACCTTACGCTGTACCATATCGGGAGCCAAGTGGCCTGCACTCATTTGAGCCTGGACAGCCTGAGGCTGAGTGAGCGAGGTAGGTACCCAACCAGTCTGCGAACGCTTGAGTCCCTCGATTTCCTTACCAGCGGTCAGTGGCATTGCCTTGGCGTCCTGGCCGCCGCCCTGGCCGCCGCGACCGCGATGGCTGCCGCCGGCGCCCTTACCACGAGAGCTGCCAACGCGAGGAGAATCGGGTACGCGGTGGGCGCTCTGGTAGGAGTTGTTGCGTCCTCCCATAGCAGGAGCGCCACCCATAGGGAAACCGCCACGACCTCCACCTA